CCTTAAAAATTTCTTTTATATTTAAATTACTTTTCAATTGATTGAATAATTATTTTATTTGATTGCACTGTTTTACTTGTGTTTTACAATTACTATTGTTTTAGTTTTTTCGATTTTCCCGTTCCCCCCTCCTGTGCCTTCCGAACCTGTTTTTGTATAAACTCTCTTTTTATGTTTTTCCGCCGTATAAATCCTGATATGTGAATTCATTAGTTGAAGTTTGTGTTCCTGTTGTTGTTCATTGGGAACGAGTAAACCGAAATTCCATACCTGTTCGAGACGATGGATAATCTGATATTTTCCGAACAGTGGTGCGGGTATTGCAAACAATCGTTGGGCGCAGAGCTGAATATTTGGCAGCAATTGGGGTTCGGCTCCTAAATGACCGGCCAAACGATACCATAGGCGCAGATCGCAGAGCTCACGGGAACGTTGAATGAATTCATTGAACCATTGATGGTATTGTCCAATCACTTGATCCAATTCAAACAGACCTCTCAATTCCATAGCCATCTCGCGGTTCATAAAATAAATTCGGCGCCCATTGAGTCCAACAACGTCGGGAAAGTTGATAGTCATCACTTGAAATCCATTGTTACCTCCTTGAATGGGATCGTTGTAATAGCTGCCGGCCAGACCGTGACTATGTAACGGGTAGTTTGCGTTACGCTTGACGACCAATGACGGCCAATCGGGGACTTGTGCTATAAATAATTCATTATTTGGTATTTCTGTAAACACTTGCGACTGAACAATAAATCTGATTCGATGTTGTGGAACAATATATGGCTGATAAGAGACAATGAATTCCTGTTGATTTGTCAGACGAATCGTATGATTGACCACTTGACCCATCGCTAGATCTTCAATGGGCATCGATGTCTGTTGATTGGCCATATCATTGAAAGTCTGTCCCCAGTTTCGGGTAAACAGTTGACTAGCGTTTACTCTAACGATATACTCATTGATTCTGTCCATCAATTGTTGGACATTCTGAATGTCAATCTCTGGTGTCTGTTCGACATCTTCTGGAAGAAGCGGTTGCCTGAATGGATCCAATGGGTTATTTAGCGGCAAATAATTCATGTCTTCTCTGTAAACGATAGAATTCTTGTAGATTTTGTCTGATCTCACAGCTCTAGCAATTTGTACCATAAATTGATTTCCAAATTTATAGACATGTCTTCTGAAATTGTTGGCAGTTTCATCGTTGACATCGTTGCCATTACACCATTGAAACAAACGGAAAGCCAATATTGCGATTTTATGGGCAGACCAGACCAATCTGTAGACGAGTGACTTTTGGTTATCACGGCTTACACTTTGGTTGCGTAGCTCTACTGCTGTCGGCTCGTCTATGACTGACAGATACAGACCTTCCTCAGTGATCTCTATCTGTGCCTGTGGTCCACTAAAACTATGTATGCCGTATGAGAACATTGCTATATAACCAGTTTGTAAGTAAAAGCACTCAACCGGATACCAATGTTGTTGACCGTTATTGTCGTAATCGACTTGTCGGACGCCGACTCTGTAGCCATCGCCTAATCGGACGCTTCTTCTGCCGCCATGATCAATGATATTTACTGGATAACTAGTTCCGGCAATTGCCAACTGTTGTTGCCCTTGATGTCCCATATTGAGCCATGGATTTCCCTGACCATTGTCCGCATGTTCCCGTACACTGACTACTGGTTCCGTAAGAATAGGTGTAATCGCATTCCAAATGGTTGTAATCTGTTGTTCGTTTGGCAGAACCGCCACTTCTGGTTGTTGTTGTTGTTGATGTGGTTCAGCCATTGTATTCCCAAATGATATTCTTGTGGTCAACGAATATGTTGTTGTCTGGTGTTTGTGATAACTCTTGTAGTCTTTTTTTTCTAATTGGTGTTCATTTCAGATTTTATCTATTGTTAACTTTTTATTTTTTTTTCAAAAAAATTCAAACTCTTTTTATTTAAAAAAAATATTTTATTAATTATTTTTTCAAAATTTTTTTTAAAAAATTTTTTAACAACCAATTTTCATAACTTTATTCATTATTTTATTGTTTCCCCAGACGCTCATTAACATACAGATACGCCAGGTTCGGTGTGTCAGTATATAAATAAATGGCCGGTGCTTTATATGGAAATTATGACGGAAATAATCAGTTAATTTACAGTGAAATATATCGCCTTCGTATGGACTGTCTGGAGGCCCCCATCCCCAGCTTAGTGCGTAATGCCATTCAACTACATTGCTTTCCAGTATTTTAAAAATGAATTTTTTCTCCCGGTTTTTCAATTAAAATTAAAAATTAATCAAAACATAATAATAATTCATTTAAAAAAAGACAAACACTACATACTGTATGCGCCAAATTTCCACTATTTGCAGTTTAAATCAGGTTTAAAGTTTAGATTAGATAATTTCAATGACCAAAAAATTAGGCGATGATTATATTGAATTGGATGATGAGTTAGGCGACGGGGGCGGCGGCAGCGGTACTGATAATCAAAACAACAGTAACAATAGAACATCGCAGGGATATCGCAGTGGTCAACAATATAGGACTCTACGGAGGTCATTATCTTTGGGGTCACAGAGACCAACCAGGGTCACAGCTACCAGAAGGTCATCTATGCCGTCTCTGGGTGATGCATATTCATCATCACCGCCAGGACCTCAATTTCGGAGATTTCCACCACGAAACACTTATCCGCTAACACAACCAGATTCATCTCGACAACAACCTATATCGGGACCTAATTTTCCAGCCGACACCAGAATAGACATTCCGGAAACCGGCGGTGGTATCGGCAGCGGCAATACAAACGAGTGCCGAATATGTTTTGACGCACCAATAGTACCCTATTTCATATGTAACTGTACGACCGGTATGTGTGCCGAATGTCTGTCCCGACACATTGCACGGCGCGAATTGAATGGTCAACTGTTTCGCGACGGTATTGTATGCGAGATATGTCTGACACCCTATAGTAATCTACAACTGATTCGCGATTATTTCTTTTGGGGTTTTGTTAGGTCAGCTCAACACCATTTCAATCGACTCGTCCGAACAGATCTGCCGCTTAATCGCCAACTGCTCCTAACGACGGCACCGCTTATTAGTTCACTTCCGTTAGCTCTGTTGACTCTCTATCACTGGGCAACTGGTGATTCCGATTGGAGTCGTTCGCTAGTAACTCTGGGCGAATTTCTAAGCCTAACCTATGGAATCGTAGGACTCTGGTATCTCTATCAGTGTATCCGATATCTTTTAGGTGAAGGCAGTATTGTCGGCGCCACTGTCGATGAGTCGCGGGCAGTGCCACGAGGCAGACGTCGACGCAGGGACAGGGATGATAATGATGGGGCTGGTAGTAGTAGTAGTAGTAGTCAACAGGTTTAATTTTTATTTGCAATGTTGTGGATGTGTCAATAGATTTTTAAGTAAATTAAAACTGTATATACTTTATGATTAAATATCATGTATACTAAAAAAAAAAGTTTTATCTTTAACTGATTTGGCTCTCAGGGTGTCAACAATTTTTTAATTCTTACTAAACACCGTTAGGTTAATCAGGGACAGGTATGCTAGTGCTATATATGATATAGACAAATCTAGATATAACCTATAAATGTAGTCAAAGAGCATCAATACGATTAATACGGTAATTATTAGAGTTATAATATTAATATAATTAATAAAATTATCCATATTATTTATTATTAATTTAAATATTTAATTACTTTTAAATATATAGATACTGTAATAATTTTTATTTTAATTAACTGTTACTTTCTATCATACAAAGACACAATTTATACTTTTTTTATAAAAAAAAGTTAATATAGTTTTATAAAGATTAATTGATTAATTATTATACTTAATTAATTTACATATCAAATGTAATTATAAAAAAACAGTTAATTGTTAATACAGTAATAGCAAGTATTATATTCAGAAAAATTTATTAATTTAATACAATTAATAAAGTTATTAATACTGTATAATGTTATTACCAGTGTTGGCAGAGACAAAGTGTATGTATAATACAAAGCGTATTATACAGTATAATACAATATAAATTACATGACAATTTTGGCTTACAAAAAAATTTTTAGCGCAACCTAGTAACAAAAATACTAAGATTCACAAACAAACACATATTTTGTAAAAATTATTTTTTTATTTTGAAAAAATTTGAAATTATCTATTCAATTTAATTCTGGAAAAATTAATATTTTATCATTGTTAATGTAATTTTTCTATAATTGTAAAATTTTATTCTAATTTTGTAAAATTTACTGTATTTTACAAAGCCAAAATTGAAAACCTTGTATTTTTCCAACCCTGGTTATTACTGTACTGTAATCAGGGTTTTAAAAATGGCAGGCATAAACAATAGATGCCAATTTTGCCAAATGCCTGCCCTGCCTCTGCCATGCCCTGGGCATCTATTTTTTAGGTGGTTTAAATTTTATATTATTAATTAATTTATAAGACATTGTTTTTATAATATATTTGCTTGTATTTTTGTTTTGTATACCTTTAATTAAAAGGTAATATAATTGGAAATAAGTAAATTAATTGTAAATTTTATTAACACGTTAAAACACTAAATTACATTATTTTTATAAATTCAGTTGCTTTTTAGCAATTTAAATTGGCAGGCAAATAAAATAGATGCCCAAAATGCCAGGCATTTATGGCATCTATTTGGGCATTGCCAGGGCAGGCATTTATTTTCTTAAAACCCTGACTGTAATACATGTATATGTATTGTCAAATTAATGCATGAATTTTTAATATCACAAAAATCCCTCAAAAAAAATAAATAGTGTTTATGTTTACAAAAGTGTTTTCTCAAAAAAAAAACATTAAACAAATTATTTTTAAAAAATGTTTAATAAATTTGTTAAATTATAATTAAATGATTATTTTTTTTAAAAATAGATAAATGATGATGATAAAAAAGTAAAAAGTGATCACCAACACAAAAAAAACTGATCCAATGGTGATGATGGTTGCCATCATCGAAGTCGACGATATGTTTGATGAACTACTGGTTGAAAACAATAGACTAATTAATGAATTGTTTATTGCAAACAAATCTTTGAATTTATTGAATGAATTGATAGATCACTTGAATTTTGTTCACAAGAAATATGAAGACACTATCGTAACAAAAGATTACAAACAATGGCAAAGATTACAGCAATCAGTTGATAAACTAATGGTCAGGGATTTCAAAAAAAATATGACACAAAACTACTTGAAGACTACTGTCGAAAATGTCGTGAAAACTAACTTAAATGAAGACATTAGACAAGCATTTAAAAACATCATCGATGGTAATAATAATAATAATAATAATAATAAGAGTCAAACAACTACTTCTCTAACTACTTGTCCGACAACCAGTACTACTATCACAGCAGTTCCCAATCTGAAGACGACGTCGACGATACAGATAGTATCTAATGTCAAAATTATTGACACAAAGACCACTGCCGCCGCCACCGCTAAAGAAGTCTCAATAGATTTATCACAAAGTGATGACATATCTGATGATAGCGATTGTTGTGCTAACGATGCTAAAGATGATGATAATAGTGGACACAGTTTTGCGACCGAATCGGAGGATCACAACACAAAACATTGTGAAAGCGAAACAACAACAACAAAATCAAATGATAATACAAGAATTACTGATGAATCTGATGTCAATTGGTTAGCATTGCTAAAGAACGACACAATGGACAGCGCTAGTGGCCAGTTTATGTGCCCGAAACAACCCGATTGTCAGTCAATGTTTGCCACTAGAAAGGCCGTCTACCAACACTGTTACTATTATCACCGATTGAGCGGACCGTTCAAATGTGATTACGAAAACTGTGATAAATCGTTTGCGCTAATTGGCCACATATGTCGCCATTTTCGTCAGCACGCGTTTCGTGCGACAGCTAAATACGATTGTCCGTACAGTGGCTGTACTAAATGGTACAGATGGCGGAAACGCTTGACTGAACACATAAGATTACAGCACAGGACGGATCAGCCACCGCTTGTCTGCGAACATCCCGATTGCGGTAAACGATTTATAACTAAATGGCAGCTCAAATGTCATTCCGTAGTTCACTCGGCCAACCGTAAGACCTATCCGTGCGGACAGTGCGACAAAGTGTTGTATTCGGAGCGTACACTCGATGAACATAAACGAATACTGCATTCGTTGGCCAAGACATTCAAATGCGATATTCATGGCTGCGATGAATGGTTTCGCAATGTGTTTCACCGGCGCCAACACAAGATGGCCGTTCATCAGATAAAGTATACACCGAAAAAACGATACGTTCACGACTTTCCCTGCCATTGGCCCGGCTGTGACTATAGGGGCCGTTCAAAAGTATTGCTCGACTATCACACTACTGGCCATACCGGTGAGCGACGGTTTGTCTGCGAATGGCACGACTGTGGCAAACGATTTCGATCGAAACGAGAGTATAGTATACATTATAACTATCATCTGAATGTTAAGCCCTATGGATGCCAATGGCCGGGTTGTGAATACCGGGCCACTTGTTATGGAAATATTGTTAATCATACAAAATGTGTACATAAAAAATATGTGTCACGATTGTAATTATGTAATAAACTACTGTATATATATCGGTAATTGTAAAAATAATATTATCAATAATGTGTAATATTATGTAGATTTTAATCAACTGTTGTTTATTTTTATTGTTTAGTATTATTATTTAAATCTATAAATTAATTGCAAAGTTTGAAAACTAAAAACAAATAACAATAAACATAACATTAACCTTAACGAATATACTGTAATGTATATATAATAATTATTATGAAATATTGTACAATAATTGTCAATACAATTAATTTAAACTATACTGTACTAATAAAAAAAATGTAATTATAATAATAATGTCATTTTAGTTTTTATCAACAAAAAATAATAATCAATAAATGTGTATCATCAAGTACTATGATACATATTCAAATTATTAAAAAAAACTGGTCGATATTTTTTTATACAAATAATACTATAATAATACCTAAATTACATTATTTTATTTATATAAGAAAAACATAATTATATTAAAATCATTTAAGCATATTAATATTAAAATCGATTTATTTGTCTTATATATATACAGCAGTATTAATAAAATAGTATAATATAAATATATAAATTACAGTTACATTAAATATAAAATATTAATATATAATATGTGGCATTCAATGTAAATTTAGATTCATTATTGTTTTGCATTATAAAATTGTAGTCAAAAAATATTTATCATATATTGATATACAGTATAATTACTAAATAAAAACATTTTACAAATTAATAGATTGAACAACAACAAAAAATTAATTTAAATATATTTAAAAAATAAATAATATACCTGGGCGTAACTATTACTATATTTAAATGGCACCTGTACTCGGCTACTGGAATATTCATGGAAGAGCTCAACCAATACGGCTAATGTTGGCCTACACGGGCACCGACTATGAGGACAAACGCTACACCAGTGCTAGCGACTGGTCCAACGATAAACATACACTTGGACTGGACTTTCCCAATCTGCCCTACTATCTGGACGATGATGATGGTGTCAAACTGACACAAAGCGTAACTATTATGCGATTCATTGGCCGAATCAACAATCTTGATGGACAGTCACCGGAGGAAAGGGTTCGTATAGCGCTCGTAGAGCAACAATTGGTCGACTATATTGCCGCCTTAACTAAGCTATGCTACGATCCAGAGTTTGCTAATCTAAAGGATAACTATATTGGCAATCAATTGGCCCAACAGTTGCAACTGTTGGATAAATTTCTGGGCAATGATCGACCATTTTTGGCAGGTATTTATTAAAAGACCGTATGGGGTGTCAGAGTATTTTGAAATAATTTTTATAATATCTACCCCCACCTCCCCTCCTCTCACCTCCCATACTTGCCAGGTGACAATATGAGCTATGTAGATTTTATAGCATTCAACTATATCGATAAGGTTAGCAAATTGGCCGGCAATTCGGTGATCGACGAGTACGACAATCTCAAGAACTATTTCGCCCGAATACTAGAGTTTCCTTCAATTGAAAACTATCGGGAAAATGAACCCAAAGTTCCATTTCTCGGTAGATCTGCTCAATGGGGTAATACAGTCGACATATAGTGTACGATAACTATACCTCCATGTACCCCCCCCCTCTGTACATCCCCACGTTCTAGCATGTACCAATTATTATTTGTGTGTATTATCTGATAAATTTAGTTTTGTTTTTTTAAAAGTAAAACCTATAACTTGTATATCTTAAAGTTAAATAAATAAATAAACTTTAAAATTAAAAACAGTTTTTTTTATTGAATTAAATAATTATTTATTATTATTATTATTATCTAAACGAGTCTAAACATTATACCAGCATAAATAAAAAAAACCAAATCTATTTAATAAACCATAATATATATAAAATATAAAAAAATTTCCGAGTTTTTGAAACTTTTGTATTTATCGGTTTCGGGTTTTTGTTTGACTCAACAACTTTAGCACCTCCTTTAAAAAAGTTATCAATAAATAAAATGACATATATTAAATAATAATAATAATGTAAAATATTATTTATACAAATTCATTAAATGTATTTATAAATTTAGTCTATTTAAGAAAAAAAATTAATCTTTTATATTTTTTTTTATATTGAGGTCACTGATAAATAGTGGGTAAAAATTTGTAATTAATAGTTAATAACTAGGATTGCCAAATATAGTATAATTATTGTAATAACTAGGTAATAATTTTTTTTTAAAAATAATTATAATTTATTAATTAACTAATTAATTTAGATATTAATTTTTTTTAAATCACAAATTATTACATAATTAAATATATTAAATAAAATGTTTAATACAGTGTATAAAAGTTTAACACTATAGTATAAAAGTCTAAAAAGAGTCCTATTAATAATTAAAATTATTATTTTATTTTTTTTTTACAGTACTATTGATAACTTTTTATCACAAAAAATACATTTTAATATTTTAAGTTTTATATTTTTTAAAAATAATTCTTTAACTATATATTTTTAAAATCCTATCTCACCAAACAAACACATAGACTATTCTAAACGGTAAGTATTAAAAAAATTGATTATTTAAAATATATATATATATTCTAGTAGTAAATAATTTTATTAATTAATTGTTATTACAAACTTATAATTATAGTATCATTATTTTTATTTAATATTTTTTTTAAATAGTATAATATTGGATTTTCTATACCTCTATTAATTTCTACTATATTTTTAATTGAATTTTTTAAAAATAAATTTTGCAATAGTGTGTCAATGCTATAGCATTGCATAGCATATATCAACTTAGCAATAAATTTAACTATCACATTTAATTAGAGATTTGTAATTTATTCAAAAAAAAAAATAATTTTCATAAAATGAAATAACAATTATTACTTATTATAACAAAAATACAATATTAATTTTTATTAGTATTTTATTTTTTTACAAACAATTTTCAATCAACACTTTTGATTGTTGTATTGAACAGTCCTCTAAATAAGCACCTGTAATAAATGGCACCTACACTGGGCTACTGGAATTTTCATGGCTATGTCGAACCCATTAGGCTATTGTTGGCCTAAACGGGTACCGAGTATTTAGACAAACGATACAATATTAGGCCAAACAATGACCGATCCGAGTGGCTGGACATCAAATTCACGTTTGGACTAGACTTTCCTAATTTGCCATATTATTTGGACGGTTCGGTCAAATTGACTCAAAGTTTAGCAATTATACGCTATATTGCACGCAATCATAATCATGGACTTTATAAACAAAATAAATAAACACTAATTTCATATTTCAAATTTAAATGAAATGATTAAAAATGTAATCTAGAAAAAAATGTTTAATAAAAAAAGTTAGATAAAAAAACTTATTATTCAAATTAATTAGCAAATAATTTGTAAAATTTATAATGAATTTTTTTTTGTTAATAATTGTGACCATAAATAATTGTAAGCCAGCTATGGGTACGGTTGCCCACCAATTGATTTTAATCGTATATATATATATATTGAAATTAAATTTACTGTATTTACAATTTATTAGACTATTAATTATCTTTTACTGTATATTATTATATTGTATATTAAATGTTAACATTAGTTAGAGTCTCTCTAAAGTTTAGTATTAAAAGTGTGGATAACAGATAGCGTATGCATTTGGGATAGTATTCATATTAGAGACAAGAAATCAATTATTGTTAGTTTATATTTAAATATCTAGTAAACTATACATACAATAATTGTTAATTATTAAAAAAATGACCAAGGACATAATTGTCCATAATATCTGTGTATTATTGTAATTGGTCATTTTTTTATTTTTAATTGTAAAATTAACTAGATAAGTCAACTATAGTACATATTGATGCTATAAATATTATCTAGTTAATTTTACAATTATTACAAAAAAATGATCCAATCATACAATAATAATGTTGATTTTAATATTATCAATAATTATGGACTTGGTCATTTTTTAAATTAAATGTATTGTTTAACTTTTAACTTTTAATACATTATAGCTCTAAAAAACTAATAATAATTATACTGTATATTATACAGTATTTTATATTAATATAAATTTATTTTTGAATTATGTTTACTGTTGTTATGGTAACACCACATGATATATGATATACTTGTTGTTGTTTTTTGTTTATTATTAGTATTTTTATTTCAATTGAATAAAAAAATTATAAACAAATTATTTATTTATTATTAAATTTTTTTTTTAATTATAATATAACTGTAAATGAATTGTAAAATAGTTTTTTTTAGTAATTAATTAAACAAAATGTTATAATTTATTATTTTAAAAAAACATACAATTAATTGATTGATTGAAATGATGGCAACAAATGTAGTCATTGTTAAGGATTTATTTGAAGAGTTTAGTGAAGAAAATCAAAGACTTTTCGATGAATTAAGATATTGTCAGCAATTGATTGAATTGTTTGATAAATTCAGACAACTATTAGATAATTATCAAACAAATTGTTGTTGTATTGAAAATATTGAATTAAAAACACAATTCAATGAACTGGAAGACCAATACATGAAAACATTGAAGAAGAAGATAATCACACAATCATTGGATCAGCAATTGATTAGCAAAAGTGATAATAAAATTATAGCGAAGAAGAAAAATACGCGAATCAAGAAAATCAGATCAAGAAATAATACCACAAATAGTATTGAACACAAAGTTAAGACATCGCCAACTGGTGATCAATTAAGTGATAGTGATATTCATAATGATATTATTGACGACAATTGTAATCATGATATAAATGATACCAAACTGACTGCTGTTAGCGATAGTCAATTGACTGCCCAACGAATTAAGAGACGATACACTAAACGAAAGCGTACGCCAAGTGGTCAACTGATCCAAGAAAAACAGTTTCAATGCGATTGGATTGGTTGCGGCAAAGCCTGTCGCGATCGGATAGAACTGGTGGCACACATCCGACTTAAACATACCAAAGAAAGGCCGTACGGCTGTTCAGATTGTGGTAAATGTTTTCCGGTAGAAAAGTATCTGAAGACACATCGCAAACACTTTCATCCGAACAGTAACAATATGTCGATAGTCTCAGCGACTGACAAGACTAACTCAACCACCACTGCTGTCATCAAAGTCTATAAGTGTCAGTACGACAACTGTCCGACTGAGTTCCGTAAGATTAAGTCACTGAAAGAACATCATAAACGGCACGAAAATCGTTTAGCAGACAAGTCCTATCTATGCGATGTCGATGACTGTGGCAAACGTTTTGTCACTATCTATACATTGAATCGACATAAACTGTCCTTTCATAGCGATGACAGACCCTATCCGTGCGATTGGCCCGGTTGTGACAAACGATTCAAAGATGCACACTATATGAAGTCGCATAAGGAACGGCATACTGGTCTGAGACAGTACCGGTGCAATGAACAGGGATGCGATAAATCGTATACTACCTACAGGGGTCTGTTTCAGCACCGGTGCGCCCATACCCGACCCTATATGTGTCCGTGGCCGGCGTGCGATACTCGGTACTCGTGCAAAGAGAAACTGGACGAACATATGAACACACATCAGGGTCTCAAACCGTTTGGCTGTCATTTCGATGGCTGTTCGGCCAGTTATGCCAGCAAATCGTCGCTGAGATGTCATTGGAGACAAACGCATAAATATATTAAATCATTTCACGATAAATAATGATTTAAGATTTTTGTTTTGTTTTTTTTAATTAAATTAATTGAGAATTTTTTTTAAGTACATAAACTTCATCCTAAATCTAACTCTTAAAACCTACACTTACTTTACTGCCCTAAACTTATAGTATAAAAATTATAATAAATGTTTTAAATAGACAGTAATTTATATAACTTATAAGCTATAAATATAAAATTGATAATTTTAAATAATAAAGTTTTATATAATTTATTTACATCTATAGAGTCCTTAATAATCCGAGAGTTTAATAATACTAATAAACTGTTGTTATAATTTAACATTTTTGACAAATATAACAAATAATATTATTGTATAATTATTATTAATTTTTTTGTATTAATAAAATTTATATTAATTTTATTTTTTATWTATATATAAAAAATAATAACAATAATAAACATAGATATATTGTTTGTTAATAATATTAATTAAGATAGTTAATATATTTCTAATTTTAAAAATAATTATAAATATTTGATTCATGTAATTAATAATAGAAATACTGTATTATTATATTACCGGTTATCTTAATTTTTGTTGTTGAATTAATCAATTACCGCTATTTAATTATTTATAATTACATTAATTTATAAGTTATAATCTATTAATAAACAAACAAACATTTTGTTTTAAACACCATTTCTGGCAATACATTCAATACGGTCGACAACTTTACACCTGTCATCACTGGCTCTGATTCTTTGGCCAATAGTTTTCATACGATCACTCAATTGGCAATCGTTGGCCAACATATCGACAGCGGCTATCAACTCGTTGGCCGTACATTTGGCCAGATCGAGTCGATAGCCGAGTTTAGTGTCTACCAATCGCTGTGCATTGTCAAACTGGTCGCCACATACGGGCAACAGTAGTAACGGTTTGCCAAAATAAAAACCTTCGGTAACAGAATTGTTGCCGCCGTGTGTAATGAAGGCATCGACTTGCGGTAATAGTGATGTTTGCGGCAAAAACGGTTGTCCCCATTGATTGTCGGGCAGTGTATACTTATTGTGGTGTCGACGACCCAACGACACGATAAACTTGTGATCGGATTTGGCCAATGATTGTGTTATATGTTTCATGAGATCCAGGTTCCCGGTTAGCAGCGAACCCATTGACAGTAATATTAATTTTCCGGGACGTTGGACAAGCCAATCGGGTATCGATACCTTATCATTGTTGGTGGTGTGGCGCACAAAACCGTTAACACCGAACCACAGTTTGTGGTCCAGTTCGCCGACAATTTGTTTGTAATCAAGTTCTTCGGGTGTCATATATATGTTGAGATGTTTGGACAACGGCTGCAATCCATGCGCTTCAGTCAAGTGTTTGCCACACAAATCGTAATACCAGTTATCGATCGACTGGCGTAAGTCGGCAAACAATTCAACTGACTGTCCATGAAATTCAAGCCATTTATCTTTACTATCGTTTATTGATAGACCTTATGAAAAAATATATAAGATTTTAAATGATAATTAATATTATTAATTTTTTTTATATTTTTTAAAATCAATAAAACGGTATTACCTGACCAGGCAGGTGGCAACCTATCGGGACCGTGAATAGCACTATATATTTCTAACGGTGCGCACGAACTAAGCAAAACCCAGGGAATGTCGTTGTTGTTGTTCATAAGCGCCGGTGAGGCTATATGTGTATCGCATACAATAATATCGGGTCTAACAGTGTCGACCACTGCTCGATAATTGGTTTCCAATTTTTTCCAATCGTCAAACATATCGACAAATAATTGGAAAAAACCTTTGGCCACATCCAATGCATTCAGTTTTACGACATCATTGTCGCCGCTATTGTCTGCAAAATATTTGGCAATCAGATCCTCTTCGGTTGCCGAATATGTTTCCGGACCAATAGTCTGCAATATTGCCTCTTCGTAGCCGTATTTTGCGAGCCGACCCTTGAACTGTATATCCATTGCAAATACTACTCTATGGCCTCTGTCTCGGACCAGTTCAGCTAATCCATGACAGGCACCGATATGGCCCATACCTTGTGCCGGTGCAAACAGTACGGTTAGCTTTTGGTCAGTCATTATTAGTATTGTTATTAGTATTTTGTTGTTGTATTAAATCTTTGATTACTAATTTGTTAATAACTAAATAAACTAATAATAAAAATATCTTATAATTTAAAATTTTTTTGTTTGTTTGCTATTAATTAAACACTTTATTGAATTATATGTCGTTGTGTTGATAATCAGTTTGTGTTAAAAAAATTTAAGATAAGACTAAATGATATAATTTGATTGCTGTATAATAACTTAATGTCTTTATTTTGTGTTATTTGTTGTCTAATAAATATTTATATAACTTTTTAGTGAATAATGACTAAACTACATATTTGATAAAATTAATAATTAAAATGATAAATTGTTGAATAAGTTTTAATTATCATTTTGAATAAATAAATAATTATAGATAAATAAATTTGTTTAAAGATAAAAAAATATTAAACTACTCAAACAAACAAATATGTTATAAACAAATTACATATTGATATATATTTTTTTAAAAAAGTTTATCATTTATAAAAGTGAACTGTCTAATTAATTGATAGCTTAAATAAAAAGTTAGTTTATTTAAAATAATCAATTGTTTGATATTTTTATAATTAATAAAAAATAACTTAATATAATAACTTTATACTGTACTATAATATTTGTTAGTAAAATTACTAAACAAATATTAAACTTAAATATCATTTTTAAAAATAAAATCTAATATCATTATAATCTATAAATAATTTCTAACTAATACATGTATTTATATAAAATTCAATTGCAATTAAAGTCATAAAATTTCCAAACAACAAAAAACATGTTTAATAATTATATTGTATTTAATTCATTGCATTCAATCGTATACAGAATTTAATAATAATAATAAATAATAATAATATAATAATAATTAATTTTCACAACATTTTGCTTTTTCTGTAATCCATTTATTATCCAAAACTGTTTTGATATCACATCTATCTGTCTCTTCAAACTCAAACATCGATCTAATCAATTGTTTCAGATGTTCGCAGCCATCGATGGTATATCTGGTTTCGAGATAATTCTTATCTTTCATTTCGCTAATTGTTTTACTATCGTTGTCCACATGAAACGGTAGCTTATCGTTGATCATTGAAAACAATACGACACCCATTGCCCAGACATCGGCTTTGTACGGATCGTACGGTTGTTTGCGGAACAATTGCGGACAAAAGTACATACGTGTGCCGCAAATGGTTTCCGCTTTCATTACTTCGCCAGTAGTCGGATCGTAGGCTTTACGGGCAAAGCCAAAGTCGCTGATTTTGGCCGACATTTCACTGTTCAACAGTATATTATCGAGTTTGATGTCCCGGTGCGCAATGTACAGTTCCTCGTGCAAATAGGTCAGTCCATTGGCTACCTGATTGAACCAATAGCATGCTTTTGTTTGTCCAATTTTACCGTATTTTTTCATATACTGCATCAGATCGCCATTACCCGCAAACTCCATAAATATAAATATTTTTTTGTTGGCTTTGATAATATCAAAAACTTTGATAATGTTGTCGTGATTGGCTTTGATCATTGTGGCCATTTCGCGGGTCAAAAATTTATCGGCATAAACTTTGTTGACTTTTTCCATGTCGGTCACTTTGACGGCCACTTTTTCGCCGGTAGTAGTATCGATGGCCCGATAGACGTAGCCATAGTTTCCGTGACCCAATTGTTTTTCAATTTTATAGCCCTTACGGGTGAAGACGGCTTGAGTTTTTTTGTCGAGTTTTAACTGATTATCCATTTTTTTTAATTAATTAATTAATTAATTAACTAATAATTAACAAGTTTTCTCAGTAAACAAAATATATTTAAATAATTATTAGAAAATTAACTGTAAATTCTTGTACTTTATTAGAAACGCGTGTCAAACAAACGCGTGATAATTGGCACGCGTTTTGCAATAATAGATAAGTTTGAATTATTTTATTTTTTTGATTTACAACTGTAATCGACTGTAATAAATATCTCACAACGGTTTTACAGTCAGTCTATTGATTAACAAAGATATTTCAATCCATATTTCAAGTGATCAAACTATCGAGAGAGCTATGGGTCAGCTAAAGCTACAGAAGCCAAAGGTTATTATTATGGATGTAATCGGAACGGCTGTCAAATTGGGATTCATTGAGAAGATTCTCATACCATATGTCAAATCAGACATCAAAGAGTATCTGACGGAGAAATGGACGGACAAAAACCTAAAGAAAAACATCGAACGGATGAGAAAGGAGTCCGAAAAAGATGGGGAAAGTGGAGCCAAGATTGCGGCGGCCAATGCACCCGAAGCCGAACAACAAGAATCAGTGGCCACCTATGTGTTGGCTGCGGTCGACGCGAAAAAAGAGTCAAAAGGTCTTCAGATGTTTAAGTTTTATATGTGGTTCTATGGCTTTGAAAAGGGAAAGTTGGAGACACCGGTCTATTCGGATGTACCGATTCAGGCCCGCAAATGGAAGGATATGGATGTCAAGCTATATATGCTGAGCAATGGCTGGACTGAGTTTACCAAACGAGCTCTGTCTAAGACCTCTCACGGCGATCTCAATCTACTTATTGATGGCCATTACGACAGTTCTGAGGGACAGCTCAACAACAAGGAAACGTATACCAAATTGTTGGCCAAATTGAAGGTCAAACCGGATGAGTGTCTATTTATGACCAAATCGGCTGAAGCGGCTCACGCTGCCAAAGAGGCCGGCATTTCCATACTGTTGGTTCTCACTCACAGAAAGAACATCGAAAAACTAACCGAAGAGGAAAAACAAATGCCAAGAATCAGGTCTTTCAATGAACTCGAGTTCTCATCCAAAGAAGGCGGCGGTGAAGGCGCTGCTCAACCGCCTGCTGAGGCAAATGCCTAAACAAAACAGACACACAAAAAATGTTAGACCAGTTTGAAGATCATTAAAAGAGATACATTCAGATCTTCAAATATGTCATCTATTTATTTGTCTTTCATTTTCATCCATTGATTCTCTGATTTTTTCTGTTTATAAAAATATATACAAATGTTTTTTACATTCAATAAAACAAATTTCAAAAATTGTTTAAAATTCATTACTATTGAAACTTAATTTTTGTTTCCTAACATTTAGATTATACAGTAAATCACATATTTTTTTTAATAAACTTGTTTTTATTATTATTATTATATTAGTTAATAATAGTTATTATAAAATAAAATATTTCTCAATAAGTATTAGTATGTTGTATTTACATCAAACAATTTTATTAATAAACTAAATAATATCCGATAAAAAAATAGTTTTATCTGTAAATAAAAGTTTTAAAAAATTTTGTGGATATCGTTTGGCATATCGTTTGAAACAATGTTTTAAATCATCGCTTATATCAAAATTACTAATAGGTATTTGAAACAATTTCAATGTCGATATCTCATCTAACAGTGCAATCAATCCGTTTTCGGTCACATCGGACACTATGTTAGGCACAGTTGTCGTAATATATATGTGTGTAAGCTGTGAACACCGGGACAGCGACCGAAGCGAGTTATCAGTCATGTCAAACATGTTATGCAAAAATAGTTTACGTATATTTGGCACATAAACATGTATGTTGTCGAGTAACAGATCTGTTATCAATAGGTTTGCCAACCGTAGCTCATGTATGTCGTGACAGTTAGTCAATGGCGATAGACTCAGCTGAAGTAGTCCCGTCTCGAATGGTTTCCAAAGAGATAAGTCCAGTACTTCAAGTCGCGAAAAATAACTGATAGCTTCTATAGTTGTTATTGTTATAGAATTTAGTCGAACACACAGTTCCCGTAGTTGTTGCTGACATCCCTGTGCCAGTGTTATCAGTTCCCTGTCCAACGGTGCCTCGCAATTGGTTGTTATAGTCAAGTGTCGCAACTCTGGCAGTAGACACAAGTTTTCAAACAATTGCTGAATAGTTGTCTGACTGTAGATAATGCCGTCGTTGATGAGTCGCACGACTCCGGTCAGCGACTGGACGTGTGTCAGGTGTCGGGCGCCGTCATCGCCGATCATACAATCTGGCAACGGTGCGCACAGGTAGTCAATGTTTTGCATAAGATCCAAGTGATCGGCGCTCAATCGATAGGACTTTTGTGACCGAATTGATGCCAAAAACAGGACAGTCAATTGTGGACAGTTAGCTATGAACTGTTTGAGACCGGCGTTAGTGAAATATAGAGCCCGATTGGCTGCACACTGTAGGTTCACGTGACGTAACCGGTGTCCATAGTTTTGGGCTATTATGGCCAGACATTCGTCGGTAATACCGGTGCTCGACGATAGAGATAGACACTCAACGTTTGGACAGTACTCGCCTAACATTTCAAATACCTGGGCATCGATTAGCGCCAAATCCAGATTAACTGATCGCAAACTGTGGCCAACTTTTTGCAACATTGACTCCATGGCCGACATATTAATCGGTGACTGACGAGTACGTGAGCCGAACGTCATGAGTTGTGGACACCAGTCGTCGTTTGTTACGCGATGCGTGCAATCGCCGCAAAAGTTGGCCGACGAAGACAGTGAGGTGAGTCGGGCGAAACGTATTGACCATTGGATATCGTAGATCAGGTGTTGCCAGAGACGACATACACTTTCCAAACGAAACTTATCGATCAGTGGTAAGTGTGCCAGTACTAGACGTAGACATTCCTCAGGTAGATCTTGTAGTGACAGTTGTTGTGATGGTTGGCTAATACTATCAGTGCTAGTGATGGTGGTGGTGGTGGTGACGGCGGGAACCGGCAGATTGTCATCAATTGTTGTGTTCATAATCAGTAAATATATCATATAATCAGTTAATATTATTAACTAATATATAAATAATTAATTAATTTGTATTTAAATTTTACAGAATATTCTGGTTTTGTCAAAAAAAAAAATTTTTTTTCTCTCTCTCTCTCTCTCTTAGTATGTTATGTAACAAAAATAGCAGTTAATTAAGACACATATGATATAGTAATAAATTATATAATACTGTAAGTTATATCATATACTGTATTATATTTCACAAGTTTAAGGACAACAATATATTATTATTATTATTATTATTATTGGCACAAATAGTTGATAATTTGCCAAATATTTGTTTAAACAAATAAACAAGCACAAATAAACTGTAATAAATTTTCTAGCTATTTTTTTAAAAATATAAAAAATTAACAAGGTAAAAAAATATCAGTTAAGTTAAGGTTTATATTAGTATTTAATGTTGAAAATAATTATATATGATATATAAAAATTTTTTAGTAAAAGTAAATTATTTTTTATACCCAAATGTATGAAATATTTACCAAATATTATATACAAGTTTACAGTTGTTATGGTAACTATAATATACTATTACAGTATTTAATAGATGTTTATATTATTTACACATTCAATGCAAACAACAAAACAAATTGATTTCAGTTTTTTTTTTTAAACATATTATTTTATGAATTGATTTTGAATTAAACATTAATTGAAATTATGGTTTAAAAAAATTTTTTTGTATTATATTTATTTAATAATTGAAAGATTGAAACGATGGCATCAAATCTGGTTATTGTTAAGGATTTGTTTGAAGAGTTGACTGAAGAAAATCAAAGACTTTACGATGAATTAAAATATTGTCAGCAATTGATTGAATTGTTTGATAAATTCAGACAACTATTAGATAATTATCAAACAAATTGTTGTTGTATTGAAAACAATGAATTGAAAACACAATTCAATGAACTCGAAGACCAATACATGAAAACCGTGAAGAAGAAGATCATTAGACAATCCGAGCGGCAATTGATCTGCAAAAGTGATGTTAAAAATCAAGTGAAGAAAACGCGGGTCAAGAAAATCAAATCAAACAAAATCACTACAAAACTTAAAGAAGTAAAAGACCAGTTAAGTGATAATGATATTAATAATAATAATGAAGACAAAAATGAGACCAAATTCAGTGATAATCAACTAACAGTACAGAGAGTTAAACGAAAATATCGGAAACGACAGACTCGACAGACACTAAAAAATGTTAAACAAAAACAAGAAAAAGAAGAAGAATTAGATAACAATGAAGACAATGATTATAAAGATTTTAATGAGACAACAATGACTACAAATGTCGATCAAATCGATGACAACTTAGTCGAGGAATATGTCGGTAAATCCAGTGATCTATTGATGAAATTATGGGTTAAGCGTCGATACAACAGACGAAATACAAAGAAGAATACAAACGTCGAAGAATTTGATGCAACAACAGAATCATGCGATCAACAGAAACGTGTTAAGACTTTTCTGTGTCGATGGCCGGGCTGTGGCAAAGTATTTCGCGAACGACTGGATCTGTTGGCACATTTGCGTGTCAAACATACCAAAGAGCGGCCATTCAAGTGCGACAACTGTGACAAATGGTTTCCAGTTGAACACTATCTGAAAATGCACAGAAAGTCGGCACACAATCCACGACCGACGGTATACAAGTGTCGGTACGAGGGCTGCGATAAACAGTTCAAACAGTTGTTGGGTCTGAATGAACATCACGTACGACACGAACGACCACACGATTTCAAACGAGAGAAAACAGTTGAATGCGATGTCGACGGTTGCGACAAACGATTTACATCTGTCTATGGTTTACGTTATCACAAACAGATTGTTCACACCGACGACAGGCCCTATCCGTGCGAATGGCCCGGTTGTGACAAACGATTCAAAGATCCGTCATCGCTGAGACACCATCGCGAACGACATGCCGGTGTCCGTAAATACCGGTGCGATATCCATGGTTGCGACAAAGGCTATACAACCTACAAGGGTCTCGAACAGCATAAACGTGCCCATACCCGGCCGTACGCGTGCTCGTGGCCAGCGTGCGATGTCCGATACGCGTGCAATAATAAACTCAAAGAACATATGAACGCACAYCAGGGTATCAAACCGTTTAGTTGTCATTTTCAGGGATGCGATGTCAGCTATAGTATGAAAGCATCGTTGAGAATGCATTGGAGACAAACACATAAATATATTAAAACTTACCATGATAAAACATAGATAAATATTGATTATATATTGATTAATTAAATTGTAATATATTTAAAAATAGCAATTCCCGGTAAGTTTACCGGTAGTTAAGTTTTAAACATTTTTTGGGGGGGGGTAACAAATACGAATTATAATGATTATTTTTATAAATTAATTACGATAACTACTGTAAGTAAGGTCAATTGATATTTTGTTTTTAAAAATAATAATAATTATAGTTGTAAATTTTCTAATTAAATGCAATATTGTTTAATTTAATTTTTTTTTTGTTATCATCATCATATAATAAATTATTTTCAATATACATGTACATATGTATGTATGTATGTATGTATGTACAAAATGTRTGTATGYACAAAATGTATSTATGTACAAAATGTATGTATGTACAAAATGTATGTATGTACAAAATGTATGTATRTACAAAATGTATGTATGTACAAAATGTATGTATATATGTATGTATGTATGTATGTACGGTATATGTACAGTATGTATGTATATATATATATAAAAAAGTATTAGAAATTTAGCGGTTAATAAATATATTACCATATTATTCAATAAAAATTTTACAATATTTTTTTAATTATTTAAACTTTTGATTAATAAATAAATGTAAGTGTAGTTGTGATGAATATACAACACAACAACAAAAAAAAATAAAATTTATTACATTTTTTTGTTACATATACTCTATTATTAATAGACTATTAATACATTTACATTGTTTTCAATGTCTAATAGACAGCGATAGACACTAACCAACAGTAAATGTATTCAAATATTCAATTGTCTTATACTGTACTGTACTGTACTGTATTATGACAGCGCATGCGCTATAATTAGATAATTATTATATACACAGTGTATATGTGTTTACATAATATATTGTTGTTTATTATTAATAATAATAATATTAAATACAGTATTACTTTGTAATTATTGTTTGTTTGTATCGATTGAATTGAAACAAATAACTAATTGAATTAATATTTAATTAATTCAATAATTAACTAATCAATTAATTGACATTCAATTTTTAAATGCAGTAATTGTAACGTTAATTATTGACTGATTGTTTGTTTTGTGTGTTTATATATATGGGACTGAAATGATGGCAAATGTTGTGACTAAGGATACGATGGATGAGTTGAGACGTGAAAACGATAGACTGTGTCGTGAATTAAGATATTGTCAACAGATTTGCGAAATGTTTGACAAATACAGACAACTGATGATCGGTTTTCAGACGAATTGCGTTTGCATTGAAAACATACAAAATAAGACACATTTCAATGAATTAGAGGACCAATACATGTATTTGAAGACACGCGGACATCAGCTAATCGGTGATAGTAGTGGTGGTGGTGGTGGAGGTGGTGACCATCAATCGGTCAAACATGAATTGGCTAAAGCAAGAGGTGGTGGYGGCGGCGATAATAGTGGCTATAATTATGGCTATATTTTTCACGGCAATCAATACGAGCCGCAGGTAATTGTCAATACTGTTGAGGGCGGCGTCGACTGTGCTGTCAATGTCCACGAAGACAACAACAACAACGATAAGAGTGAGTCGGAATCGGCCAACAAAAACGGCGCCAATCGTAACAACAGTCGCAAGATGTCGGAAACATCGGAGACGACTCCGAAAATGATAACAACAAGAAGTGGCCGAATATTGCCAGAGAAACGGCTGAAATGTGATTGGGAGGGATGCGAGAAGGCGTTCCGCGATAAGGACAACCTATGGGCACACATACGGGTCAAACATACCAACGAGCGGCCGTTCAAATGCGATGAATGCGACAAAACATTTCCGGCTAAACGAAACCTACGACAACACCAGAACTACTGTCATAACAGTCAGGACACCAAAACCTACCGGTGCCGGTACGACGGGTGCGACAAAATATTCAAAAAGTCCGAGTCGTTGATCTATCATTTGCTTAAACACGACAACCTATTGAAAAAGACGTTCAAATGCAATGAAGAAGATTGCGATAAAAGTTTTCATTCGGCATCGCTATTGAGTAGACACAGACGTATGATACATATCAATGGTGGCTCAGGCGGTGGTGGAGGTGATCGCGGACGCGGACAGTTTCCGTGCGAATGGCCCGGCTGTGACAAACGATTCAGAGATGAACCGCGGCTGAAACGCCATCTGGATATGCATGAAGGTATCAGACAGTATCGGTGCGATGTCGAGGGCTGCGGCAAACGGTTTGGCGATGCCTGGGCACTGCGCGTTCATCGGGAAGTACATCCGGGTGCTCGCGAATATCGATGCGATGTCGACGGATGCGACAAACGTTTTCGCGACGAAATGGGTTTGAAGAGACATCAGGCCATCCATTCGAGTAATCGCCGTTACAAATGCGATGTCAAAGGTTGCCATAAGACGTACACCACGTGCAACGGTTTGCTTCAGCACAAGAACTCGCATACCCGGCCCTATGCGTGCGATTGGCCGGCCTGTGGAGCTCGATATACTAGTAAGGGTCGGCTAATGGACCACATGAACGCTCATCAGGGTATCAAACCGCACACTTGCTATTATTCCGGTTGCGACGCCAGTTACGGTAGTCGGGCGTCGCTGCGTATGCATTGGAAACAACATCACAAACTAAATGAACTAAACTAACCATTAATTTCTATTATCTCTATAATATCTAACTAACTAAGCTAGCTATCTATCTATCTATCTATCTATCTATATAACTATATCTTACAACATAACTGTCCACATATGATATATACATATAGGTGTAAAACTGATGATAGATTTGATATTACATGATATTTATAAACAACAAAATTATTTCTATTTATCTCTATATTATATTAATATTATTATAATTATTATCTAATTTAAGTACTAATATTATCTAATTTTTATCAAAATCTATAGTATTTTTCATTTTTTAAAAGTCATATATTATTATTATTATTATTATGTTATAATTTCACTGATTTAATAGTTTTAAAAAATTATGTTTATGTAATTTTTTTAAAAGAAACTATTTGATTTTTTTTGTTGCTATCAATATTAATATTACAATATATGATATATTAACATATACTGTATTTAAACACTTTATAAAATGATTTAAAACAAACTAATTAATTATTAATTAATTAATGATAAATCTATATGTGTAAAACTTAACTGAAACAAAATTATCAATATTATAATTTCCTATAATTATAAATTTATTTACGATATATATATATTATATATATATACAATTATAATTTGTAGTCTAAAAATAATATTATTCAATATAAATAAATTGCTGTCTTGAGGTTTAGATATTTTTTTTGCTTAAATAATCAATCATTTTTACAAAAACAAAAATTATTTGAAATTATTGCTGTAAACTTGAAAACACACCCAAAAAAAATTATATTATATAATAACATTAATATAAAATGTTTTTAAAAAAATTATATTTAAAAAAAACTTTTCATATCATTGTCATTAAAAATAAAACATGGGATTTATAGAAAAACTATGTCAAAACAAACAAACAATATTATAGTAGTATACTGTAGTAAACTGAAAATTTTTTAAATAAAATTTATTTAAATTTTTATTATTATTATTATATTGTATTTATTATCACTTATTTTTCAAAATTAATATTACAAATTAATTAAAAATTTTGAAAACTATAATAATGTTTATATTTTTTGTTGTTGTTATGACAACACATGTGTCTTAAACTTTGTGTTTTTGTCAACAATTATTTGTTGTAAATACTGTATAATATATTTTCATCAATGGATTGATTGATTGATAAGTTTTCTGGTATTGTATTTATGGTGATAATTGAAGTGACAATAAATTTGGATATTAATTGATGACTAAAATTAAAAAAAAAATGGCAACAAATATAATGATTAACGATGTATTGGATGAGTTAAGCGAAGAAAATCAAAGACTATTTGATGAATTAAGATATTGTAAGCAAATGTGGGAAATGTTAGATAAATACAGATATTTATTAAATCAATTTAAAGTCAATTGTGTTTGTATTGAAAATATTTCGCATAAAAGATATTTCAATGAACTCGATGTCCAATACAATGAACTGAAGAGTCGACAACAAGAAGAAGAAGACAACAATAATTCAGATGATGTTAATAATTATGATGAAGAAAAAGAAGAAACTGGCGATAAGTTTACGGCGAGTCGACGACAAAGTAAACGGATTATCAAAACTGAAAGAAAAAGTGATTATAATTATGATTATAATGATAACATCGATGACTTTGCTGATGATTATGATAATGAATTGTTGGTGAAGACAACAACAACAACAACAACACCGACAAAGAAAAACAAGAGACGCAAGAAATTTACAGAAGAAAGTGACAGCGATTTTGCCGTTGATAACGAAGATAGTGATTACAACAACAACAACAACGATGACCAACAATTAGTGGACTCAGCCGACGATGATAATGATAGTCCAGTAGTACCATCAAAACGAAAAGTACGGAAAAGTGCTAAAAAAATACGTGTCAAACGATTGCGTTGTCATTGGGAAGGATGCGGTAAAATGTTTCGCGAAAGAGAGTATCTGGTGTCACACGTCCGCAACCGACATACTGGCGAACGGCCGTTCAAATGTCCAGATTGTGACCGTATGTTTGCTACCGAATTGCTGGTAAAACGTCACCAGAAGACCAGTCATTCAGATGATAAAGTCATTTATCAATGCTATGGTTACGATGGCTGCGACAAAGAGTATACTACACGTCATGCACTCGACGAACATCAGCGTCGACATCATCAGGGATTTGTCGGACAGTTTAAGTGTGATGTTAACGATTGCGACAAAAGATTCTTTAAAAATTATTTACTTCAAAAACACAAACGTACGGTACATTTGGGCGACAGGCCCTACCAGTGCTCGTGGCCCGGCTGTGATAAACGATTCAAAGTTAAAGCCCATTTAGACAATCATAGCCAACGACACGAAGGCGTCCAAAAGTATTGGTGTCTGTTTGATGGTTGCAATAAAGTCTATACAACCCAACAGGATTTAAGTGCACACAAATACGCCCACACCCGACCGTACGAGTGCACGTGGCCCGAGTGTGGGGCCAGATTTCGGGCAAATAATAAACTAACAGATCATATGAATGGACATCAGGGACTCAAACCACATAAATGTCATTTTCCCGATTGCGATGTCAGTTACAGTGCCCGTACATCACTAGAACATCATTTGAAACATAAACATAATTATATGAAATCAAATAATAGATAATACTCTGTAGATATTTCTCAAGAAAATTTTCAAACACTTATTGTAAAATTGTAAAATAAAACTAAAAATTTTGTTAATTATTTATTTTATGAAAAAAATATTATGAAAAACCAGTTGAGAATGCTAGAAAGGATTTCCACACGAATTCCTAATCATAATTAAAAATTAAATTCAGTATGATAAAATAAAATCAACTATAGTTATGTATCAAATGATTCAGAATTACAAAATAAACTACTATTTTCCTAAAAAATAAACTTAAAAACGAAAAAAATAAAAAATCAATATTCAAAAAAATTCAAAAATTTTTTAATTAATTTTTGGACACCATTTTCTTCAATTTCCTAAAAAATAAACTTAAATAAGAAAAAAAACAAAAAAAAATCAAAAAAAATTTGTAGCGGATAGTGGATTCGAACCTATGTCCTCGTGGGACAGACAGACAGACAGACAGACAGACAGACCGACTTATAGAATGCATATACGTATTCCTTTCAGGAATTCGTGAAAATTGTTTTAATTATATTACTCTATAGTATTTGTATATTAATTTCTAAATTAATTATAAATACATTGAATTATATACAAAAATATATGATGTTTTTGATGTGTTTAAAATTATTTGATTATTATAAAAATTTTTAAACTTTTTATTAATTTTAACATTTAGATCATCAATAGATTTATCACTAAAAATTTAATTATTTTTTACGAATAAATTTACGATTTTTTATGGCAATTAAAAAAATATATTTATAAAAAAAACAGTTAAGAATGCTAGAAAGCATTTTCAGAAAAAAAAACTTGAATAGCATTGAAAACCATACGTTTATATAATTATAGCGGCTATAGAGTAACATTTAAAAATTTAAAAAACGTCAAATATACATAAATTAAATATTGATATCAAATGACTCAGTATGACAAAATAAACTACTCATATGTGGTATCAAATGATTTAGTATAACAAAATAAACAACTATAATCATACTTTTTTAAAATTGATAATTTTGATCAATTATATCAATAATAAAATAAATTACAAATATTTATAAATTATTTTTATTAATATACAGTAAGGACGGGATCGCTGGGCAGTTGAGTGTAGGAGTCAATGAACACAAGATTAAAATAATATGAAAAACTTTAAATTTATTAATTGAACTTAAAATCAAAAATGTTAGATAACTAGGACTCTTAGCTCTATCTCTTAGACCCTAGTGTTGTATGTAAGCGATGGTTTAGTCTACGCTATACAATGGTTGACCCCCCTCCCCGAGCCAGAGCTTGGGTTACACGTTATAAACTACAGTGTATATCTGCTGTATCTATGTGTCACGTGAACCCAGCATTTTAATTTAAATTTGTTTTGTGTGTGTGTGTAAACGGTAAGTGTTTTTTTATTTATATACACAATAGTTATTTTAATATATAAATTACTATATTTTATTAATATTTTTTTATTTTGCCAACAATTATGGCCTCAAAAAGCAGTTCGGGTGAAGCGGTGGCCGGTATATCCGTTGGCTTTGAGAGCTCTGCGATTGTTTTAGATGTTTTGCCAGTGTTTCCTTAGCATCGTTAATAAATTGTGAGGTTATTATTGGGTCAAAATTATCATATTTATTGCTTAATGCTTCGCTTTCATCGCAAGAGCTGATGTCACCACTTAAGTCTATACTAACAGTAGTTTCAGAATCAGATAATAGCTAATACTTTTAACACTCAAAATATCGCTTTGATTGTTATTTTGATTATCGCACTCATTGTTTATTGATTCCCACATTACACACTTATAATACTACATCTTATAATATTTGCCTTTTCCATGTAGTTGTTACCTAACAGCATATCAATATTGAATTTCTTAACCAACAATACTTTAATAATGATTGTCTTTTCTATATTATTCATTTTTTATTTTATTTCCGGATAGGCTTTCCCTTTTAATTTTAGTTTATTCCCATTGACAGCATGTATACTTTTCGAGTTGTCTTTGTATACTTTGAGACATAAGGCTTGTGCTTATTTATACTCCATTAATGAGACTTCTGAGTCTGTATCTAACAATGCTTTGATTTGACCTCATTAATGAAAACACTTTTKAATCAAATTATGTTGATATTGTAATGCATTGTTACTAGTTGTCTTTTGCGAGTACACGCTATACTTCTAAACTGTGCAGAAATAGGATTATAAAACGGTTGTTTTGGGTGGAGGTAAAAAAGGTTAGTTTTCAAAGGAGAGAGAAATATTTTAGGGTAATAAAATTATGAGAGTAATGTATGGGTTAAATAGTATGACACACGCATACATTCATATTTATATACAATAAAAACAACTAATACAAAAAACATACAACATATAAACAAATTACATAATTAATAAATATAATATTGTGTCGCCAGTCGACATCACATGTGGCTCTGGGAGCGAATCGTTGCGCTATATGCGCACCGGTAGTTGCGCCAGTAGTTGAGTAGACGTTGAGCGGAGCAGTGGACTAATTTTGAATAATAGATAAAACGTTTTTCGCTTTACACGTGTTTTTCATATTTACTTTCACCGCCGATTTCCCGATGTTGAGTTGGCCATCGATGACCAGTTGATAGTCATCTCAATATAAATAATAAAAATAATGAATTAAAAAATAATGAATTAAAAAATAATTGTAAATAAAAATAAAATAATCAAATAAAGTATTTTGATAAAAAAAAGGTCGGCTTTGAGAGGTATATTTATAAAAGTGTGATAAAATTTACATCCCGCGCGTGAAGTTTTATTACACTGTKTGTGTATAGTCAACCGTCAGTAACAACAATAATAACTTTAGTTTACAATTGGAGGCCAAGAGCTCAACAACAAAGAGATAGACAACGTATCCCAACCATACAATGAAGAGTCAGTCAGAGGTGGTCTGCATTTGGACGATATCAAACCACAGGTGCCACCAGTTTTCCCACTCGGGATGACAGGACCATTGTCTGGCTCGGTAGATCTGTTTAATCAGAACTTCAATACTGCATTGGATAGGACTCGAAGAGAACACTCAGACAGCACTGCAGATCAAATGGCGGCATTGAAGCTKATGATGAGCCAAGAGGACGACTCAGTGGATGGCCTGAAGACAGAGGTCAACGCAGATGCGACAGTCGTTGACGGTATGATCGAGAGTGAAGATTATGAGTCGACATTATCAAGAAAACACAGTATCAGACGATACGCCGACGTATCGGAAGCCTATAAGGAGATCCAGTGCTTCAGGGCCGAGAACGTCAAGAAATCCTATGGTTATGTGGCTTGGCGGCAAATTATCGGGCAGAGTTCTAGGACTTGAAGGCGATACTGGAMTGGAATGGAAGTCCAGACGAAGGCGTTGAAGAGCGTGAAGTCGACCGATATCATTAAGAACGAAGACTGTCGGAAGAGTCTATTCCGATTGAACGAATCCAAAGGTGATGTCCACAGATTGTAGTAGAGCATTGATGAGTTGAAGCTCACACGAAAAGGAGAAGTATGAACTTATACAACAGTTTAAGACCCGAGTCGATGAACTGGAGTTAGAGGTGGCCGACGCAAAACAGACTTTGGCGGAAGAAGTGGCTAAGAGAGACCACAAGACGGCCAAATTTGAAGGGAAGATCGAAGAGTTGCGGAGATCATAGCTATTTATGGCTTCGACTACTTCGGACTTCGAGAAGACTTATAACCTTTTCCAGGATTTTATGGATGAGACCGAACGGAAGAAAGMGGAAGAAAAACGCCGAGAATAGTGGATTCGAAGACGACGTCAAGTGAGAGGAGAAATACAGAAATTCTTTATTATACAACTTATGTAACATCTATTATAATCACCTAATAAATATATTTGACAAAACCATGTTTACCGCAACGTGAGGCCTCTACGAACTGGTCTTCATTGTAATATTCATAATCTTTTTTTATTAATAATAAATTTTAAAACTATTCCAAAACATTTATCACAAAATAAAACAATTTTTTTATTAAAAAAAAATTATATGATTATTAAAGGAATTATGTCAATCATCACTACATATACTATATCACTGATTCAATCGCATTTCTATTAATATAAACTAATATCATTAACTAACTATTGATTAAATTATTTTTTTATAACTTGTAATAATTTTTAATACATTAGCTAATACTTTGTTATTACCATTTAATGTGGTACAATTTTTAAAATTTTATATAAACTCTTTTTTAATAGAACAAACGTTTTAATTAATTAATTAAATTGTTTAAAATATATTTTTATTATTAAATAAGTAATTAATAGCAAAACATTTTTATTTAAATTTAATAATACTTTTATAATATTGTATTATTTTAAATACAGTAAAAATATATTGCATTAAAATAATTACAATAATTTGTTTACTGTTGTTATGACAACTAGTTGTTGACAACTATTAGTGTGTGTTTTAATGTTTTCATATATTATTTGGTTTTTATAATAAAATTATTTTTAACACAAAAAATAATTACATTCATTGATTTAAAAACTTTTATATTATTGAAAATAATTTTATGTATATTTAAGGTTATAATTGAAGACACAATTTATGATGAATTGATTGAAATGATGGCATCAAATGTGATGATTACGGATGTATTGGATGAGTTGAATGAAGAAAATAGTCGACTAATCAATGAATTGGTTTTCAGTAAACAATTGATTGAATTGTTTGATAATTACAGACATTTAGTTAAGAGTTTGCAAACAAATTGTTGTTGTATTGAAAACAATGAATTGAAAACCCATTTGAATCAACTCGAAGACAACTATTTGAGACTTAAGACAACAAAACAGAAAAATGTTGATAAAAATCTGACAAAAAATTTAAGACCAAAGAAGATATTGAAGATAACAGAATCAACGGATAATCTATTGATTAGAGATTATATTAAAACAAGAAATAAATTGAATAATAGTTATGAAAAAACTGCAAACAAATCGTTAAGTGATAGAGAAGTGCTAATGAAGAATAAGAATAAGACATGGATTAATAAAATTGATTTTACAAAACAACCGAAAAGTTTGGCCACAAATACCAAACACTTGAACTCTTCCTCTTCTTCAGCTGTTTGTATCAAACAATACAATAATAATAATAATCACAACACAAGTGATGATAAAAAACCAATAGTTATTGACAACAATAACAACAACGACAATCATAATCCAGATTATAATAACATCACTAATAATAATAATAATATTAAATCTAATGATAATTATTTTAAGGAAGAAACTGTTGATGCATTAGATGATAGTCTGATGAATAAACAATCTATTGATGAAAGAAGAAGACGAAGAAGAAGTAAAGAAAAAACAAAGAAAGTTCATAAATGTCATTACAGTGATTGTGACAAACAGTTTCCATATAATTGTCTACTAATGTCACACTTATTGCTGAAACATAACGATGAACAACAACTTACTGAACAACAGTTGATGAAAATGAGACAAAAACCGAAACGACAGATACGCCGAAAGAATTACAGATGCGATTGGATTGGATGTGATAAACAATTTTGCCATCGATTTCAACTGGAAGGCCATCAGCGAACCAAACATATCGGTGAGCGGCCATTCAAGTGCCGGGAATGTATGAAATCATTTGGTGCCGCTTTCTATCTGAGAGCTCATATCAAGAAATGTCATACAAATCAGAAATTTAAATGTCTGTACGATAACTGCGACAAAGTCTATCTGTCCAGTCAGGCACTCGATGATCATCATCTGCGCCATCAGGGCTTGTATTTGAAGAAATTTAAGTGCAATGTCGACGATTGCGGTAAAAGTTATTATAAAAATTGGTTACTAACTCAACACAAACGTACGGCACATTCGGATGATAGGCCCTATCCGTGCGATTGGCCCGGTTGTGACAAACGATTTAAACGGCCAAACTATTTGTCCACACATCGCGATAGTCATCTGAATGTCCGTAAGTATCGGTGTCCAGTCGACGGATGCGATAAAGTTTACGCAACAAAACATTGTTTAGTATCGCATAAAAGTTCCCATACTTTGCCCAATGTTTGTACGTGGCCGGGATGTGAGGCCAGATACGGTCAAAAACAGAAACTTACCGAACATATGAACGGACATCAGGGACTCAAACCATATAAATGTCATTTTCCTGATTGCGATGTTAGCTATCGTTTGAATGCATCACTTCATCGACATTTAAAAACAATACATAATTATATGAAGTCATACCATAGAGAATAGGTTAGGTTAGGATATGTCATATATATATAATAATTATTACTATAGTATATAAACATATATTATTAATGATATTTTTCTCATTATTATTATAATTATTGTTTTAATGATTATTTATTTATAAAATATTACCGATATTTCATTAAATTTGTTGATATATTATGTAAAAAATTAATATGTTATAATCAAATTGGATTTTTTTAAAATCAGTATTTTTAATACTATTTCAAGTAATTTATTATTTTATGTAAATATAATATTTATTTATTTTTAAAAATAATTAAATAAATTTCGTACAAATTTATTACTTTAAATATAATTTTGTTTACTGTTGTTATGACAACTGATGACTACTAATGTGTTTAATGTTTTCATGTTTTTAACTTTTTTTTTATTTTGATATAAATTTTAAAAATAAATGAATTCATTGATTAAAATAAATTGCAAACAATTTATTAGATATTTGAAGACACAATTTGTATGAATTGATTGAAATGATGGCATCAAATGTGATGATTACGGATATATTGGACGAATTGTTTGAAGAAAACGGTCGACTAATGCGTGAATTGTCTTTAAGCAGACAATTGATTCAATTATTTGATAAATACAGACATTTGTTGAATAATTTTCAAACAAATTGTTTTTGTATGAAAAACATTGAATTGAAAACACAGTTCAATGAACTCAAAGACCAATACATGACTTTGATATTAAAGTCGGCAAAAATTTTGTCAATCAATTCTGTGGACATTAAATGTAAAGTTAAAAAGTTTGAAACTATTGACAATAATAATAATAATAATAATAATAATAATAATGAATATAATAATAATAATAATAATAATACAAGAGATGATGAATGCGATAATAATTGTGCGGAAACTGTGGACACATTTGATGATAGTTTGCAGAATAAACCGATTAAAACAAGAAGTAGAAGAAGAAGAACGAAGATATTAGGGGAGAATTATGATGACGACAGCGATTATAATGACGACAACCAATCCGGTAACACATCCATCAGTGATAATACAGATACAGAAATAATGGTAAAGAAGAAGAAGAAGAAGAAACAGATTACCGATAAGCAAACGATTGAGAAAAAAGTTCAACGAAAGGCTTATATATGCGATTGGATTGGATGTGACAAACAATTTATAAGTTATTCAGAAGTCTTGGCCCACAAACTGGTCAAACATACCGATGAGCGGCCATTCGAGTGTCCGAAATGTGACAAAAGATTTCCACTTAAACAGAAACTGAAAGTTCATCTGAGGTTAAGTCATTCAAATAGGAAATTCCGGTGCACTTACAATGGCTGCGACAAAGTGTATTCATCGCAAATAGCACTCAATGGTCATCGTAAGCGCCATCAGACCGACTATATGAAGATGTTTAAGTGTGATGTCACGGATTGCGGCAAAACATTTCATAGAAATTCTAGTCTTAATGAACACAAACGTATAGTACATTCGGACGACAGGCCCTATCCGTGCGATTGGCCCGGTTGTGACAAACGGTATAAAACGGCATTCAGTGTAACACTACATCGCGAATATCATATGACTGTCCGAACGTATCGGTGTCCAGTCGACGGATGCGATAAAGTCTTTAATTCTAGAATTCAATTATATTCGCACAAAAAAGATCACTCACTGGCCTACTATGTATGTTCGTGGCCCGAGTGTGAGGCCAGGTTCAGGTCAAACATTAAGCTTACCGAACATATGAACACACATCAGGGACTCAGACCACACAAATGCCATTTTCCCGACTGTGACTACAGTTACGGTCGGTCGTCATCACTGCGCAAACATTTGATTAAAACGCATAATTATATTAAGTCATACCATAGAAAATAGGTGTACGGGGTATGGGATGATACCATACACTCTCTAAATAATGACATATCTATCAAATTTATTAGATATTGTAAATTAAAAAGCTATTATAGTTGTATTAATAATTATTAATTAATTTGTTTATTATTGAATCTAAAAGGTTTAATACAGTAATTTGATAATAACAAATGTATATTGTATATATTGTATAATATTTTTTTAAGAAATACTAAAAATGTGTTTTTTAATTATATTTTAAATATGATAATTAAATACCCATTATATATATACTGTATATTGTTGCAGATATTAGATTAAAAWTTTTTTTAATTAAAACAGCAAATATTTATATATTTTAAAAATATTGTATAATTTGTTTACTGTTGTTGTGACAACAGCTGACTACTACTGTAATGTGTTTAATGTTTTTAACTTTTTTTTTGATATAAATTAAAAATTAATGAATTCATTGATTAAAATTAATTGCAAACAATTTAATTACATATTTGAAGACACAATTGGATTGAAATGATGGCATCAAATGTGATGATTACCGATGTATTGGACGAATTGAATGAAGAAAATCAAAGACTTTTGTGTGAATTAAGATATAGTCAGCAATTGATTGAAATGTTTGATAAATACAGACATTTAGTGAATAGTTTGCAAACAAATTGTGTTTGTATTGAAAACAATGAATTGAAAACACAATTCAATGAAATGGATGTCAAATACATGATATTAATGAATAATAAAAGTGATGATAAAAGTTGTAACAATCAAAACAATAACAACAAATCTAATGATAATTATACGGAAACTGTGGACACAATTGATGATAGTTTGATGAATAAATCGATTAAAAGAAGTAGAGGAAGACAGAAGAAATTAAAGGAGAAAATGGTTTATAAATGCCATTACATGGGTTGTGACAAACAGTTTGGTTACAAGAGTTTACTTCAGACACACATTAAGATCAAACACATTATGGATAAAAAACACGACATCAATGTTGATGTTGATGTAAATGACGACAACAGCACTTCCGATGACATTTGGACACAGGATGAAGATATAGAGACATCGAGTGATAGTACAGAAAGTATGGTCCAAAAGAAGACCAAACCGAAGAAGAAACCAATTCGTAAACCTGATCGACGAAAACGAATTCGTCTGAAGAAGTATTCGTGCGATTGGATTGGATGTGATAAACAATATTGTTATCGTTATGAACTCGTGGCCCACATCCGGTCCATACATACCGGTGAGCGGCCGTTCAAATGTGACGAATGCGACAAAACATTTCCAACCGATTACTGTCATAGAGTTCACGTAAAGAATTGTCATAGAATTGAGAAATTTAAATGTCGTTACAATGGCTGCGATAAAGAATATCAATTTCGTAGTTCACTCGATGACCATCATCTCCGTCACGAAGGCTTATATCAGAAGACATTCAGATGCGATGTCGACGGTTGCGATAAAAGTTTTTATAAAAATTATTTACTTAAAGTACATAAACGTATAGCACATACTGACGACAGGCCCTACCCGTGCGATTGGCCCGGTTGTGACAAACGGTATAAACGATCGCGAAGTTTGACTGTACATCGCGAATGTCATCTGAATGTACGAAAATATCGGTGCGATATCGATGGTTGCAATAAGACATTTGCAACTAAAAAACATTTATCGGGACACAAAATATTTCACACCCGACCACACAAGTGTTCGTGGCCCGGATGTGAGGCCAGGTTTGGTCATAATACTAAACTCGTTGATCATATGAATGGACATCAGGGACTCAAACCACATAAATGTCATTATCCTGAATGTGATGTCAGTTATTCACAGCGAACATCACTCGAAAGCCATTTGAAATCTAAACATAATTTTATGAAATCATATCAAAGATAATTGATATTATTTCTCAAGAAAATTTTCAAACACTTATTAAATTATTAAAATAAAACTGAAATTTTGTAAATTATTTATTTTTTTTTAAATATCTATTACCAAAAAAAAATAATTGTTTTAATTATATTACTGTTAAATAAAAATTAATAGTATTTTATATATTAATTTCTAATAAATACATTGAATTAAAAAAAATAATAATTAAATGTGTGACCCTAGATGGCCCACAGATCACACACACACACTTACAACAGATTTCAACCAACCCTTCACTCTCATTGGACGACCCTTCAGGCCGTCCACTACTTAAGTGGACGACAATTCACTTTTTCTCTCTCTGATCACTCGCTTGAAACACACTCTCTTCACTCTTCAATTCAATCACAGCTCACTCACTGTTTTCTTGACATTCACTTGAATTTAAATCAAGCATTTTGACAAAAATCTGAAACACAATTCAAACAACATTTTTTAACCAATTTTTATTTGTATTTTTTTTTATTTTAAACAATAAATTGTTTTACCGATCATTTGGTTGTGTCCACTCATTCAATCATCTCATCCACGGTCACAACTTGGCGCAGTCTTCAAAGATCGAACCATATCACGACTGAAACATCCATCCAATCAATTCAAGTGAAATCAAGAAAACACGTTTCTCATCATCAATGGCTCCCAGAAAAAACACCAGAAAAAACCGAAGAAATCAACTGAACGACACAATAAACACCAACGATGCAGACATGACGTCACCAACGGCACTGACTTCCGTTTCCGGCTCACGTGGACTTCAAACACGTGCACAACAGAGAAGCAACGCCAGCGTTAACGCAATGCAACACATGGTCTTCAACAACGACGATGAAGAGGACAATCAAACAAACCAAAGCAGGCCCAGAAACACTGGCAGACTCTGCGACACTTTTTCCGGCAGCGATCCACTGGTCAAAGCCGACGATTGGATGTCTCTCTTCACGTTTGTCACACGTGGCTACACAGACGATGACCGCTGCACTGCACTCGGACGCCATGTCACTGGTGAAGCAATGAGATTTCTTGTGCGTGAAATCGCACCACATTCTGAAACAATCACATGGGCGGAAGTCAAAGAAAAAATGTTGGGCCGCTTTGCCCGAGTCACCCGCCAACCAATCACTGAGGCCATTGAAAGAGAATTGAGAGCAAACGAATCCATAGAGTCGTATTACGACGACAAGCGCCGACTCTTGGAATTAGCCGAGCTATCAGACATCAATCAAGTGGCACTATTGAACAGTGGAATCACGACAACGCTGACCCGAACTCAGATCGCGTCACATCAACCGAAGACTCCAGAAGAATGGTTCAGAATCGCCACATCAATTGAATCAAGCCTGAAAACAGGAAAGGATCGACCGCAAAAACCCAAGCCAACGATCACACCGATCAACCATCTGGACGCTGACACAGACAATGACAGCAAAAAGCTACCTCCAAAGGATCCGAAAGATCCAAAGAAGTTTGACAAGCCACCGCCTGGCCCATGCCCAGTCTGCAAATTGTTTGGCAAGAAAGAGATGCACTGGAAATCCGTGTGTCCAAAGTGGGCCGAAATCTCAGGCACCGGTGTTGCGCCGAAAACTTCAACAACTGATGCTCCGCCAATGGCTGGCATCAATTGCCTTCAACCGATCAAAAAGGTTGATGCGCCAAAACCCTCAACAAAAGTCGCCGCTTCATCAGCGAGCGTCCATTGCCTTCAACCAATCGAAAAGGTTGTTGCGCCGATTCATTCACCAATGAACTCAACCATTCAATCAACAGATGTACCAAAAACAGTTGGCCTTCATCACATCAAGCATGAAGAGGATCCGCTGGATCTCATTTGGTTCACCACATATGTCAATGTCAAACAAACGAAGGCATTCCTCGACTCTGGCTCCACAATCAGCGCCATTTCCAAATCGGCCGCTGATAGGATGGGCTTGCAGTGGGACACCCAGCGTTCAATTGCCATCAGACATGTGGACGGCACCGGCCGTACCCTCGGACTCGTTGAAGCAATCATTGAATTGCAAAACAAGTCATTTCACTTCGCCATTCAAGTGTTGGAAAATCTGGAGCACGACATGCTCATTGGCCTCGACTTGGCCAAAGCCGCTGCTCTTGTAGTCAACTTCGGCACAATGGCTCAACACAAAACGTTTTATCTTCACCAACTCAAGACACCAACACCAGCACATAGAACGTCCCGACAATCAATCAAAATGATGGTCGACACAAAAGAAGTTCTCTCTCAATCAATTGTTGGATCTGTCAAAGAGATTGAACAAGAGATTCAAATCATAAAAAGTTTCATTCATCCGACTCACCATCAGATATCACAAATCATTGACAACTCATTTAAAACATCCATCAGCGACAGCACTGGCTTCACATCGAAATTTTTGCATTTCGAGTTTTCATCAGCCCTTCCAACTGATGACACACTCGAAGAGGCCAGAAATCAGCCGACATTGAAGTCCAGAGCTCTGCAAATCAAAAGACATGAGAAAAATGAAAAACAAATGAACAAACAAACCTTTGAAATTTCAGATCAACAAAGAGTTAGCACAGAACTGTCACCACATTCATCGACATCTTGTGTTGTCCTGGAAAAACTCGGAGATGAAAGTCAGCGTTTGGATCACATCGACATCAACACTGATGTTGTTGCGCGTTCATTCACAACACATTCATCAAGAGTGGCTCCAAACATTCCCCGCGATGACAACACTTTGATCCACAATCAACTGATTCACTTATCTGTGGCCAACATTTCCACCACATCCTCAACAAAATTGACATCTCATGCAAACACATCAACAACAAAGTCAACAGATGTTGATTCAAAACAAAAACAGGAAAAAATGGTGATCACATGTCAAACAAGCGCATCATTTGAAAAAAATTTAGATCAATCAAAGAACCAGATTAGACGCCATACGCTAGCGGTCGGCGGATGTGACCCTAGATGGCCCACAGATCACACACACACACTTACAACAGATTTCAACCAACCCTTCACTCTCATTGGACGACCCTTCAGGCCGTCCACTACTTAAGTGGACGACAATTCACTTTTTCTCTCTCTGATCACTCGCTTGAAACACACTCTCTTCACTCTTCAATTCAATCACAGCTCACTCACTGTTTTCTTGACATTCACTTGAATTTAAATCAAGCATTTTGACAAAAATCTGAAACACAATTCAAACAACATTTTTTAACCAATTTTTATTTGTATTTTTTTTTATTTTAAACAATAAATTGTTTTACCGATCATTTGGTTGTGTCCACTCATTCAATCATCTCATCCACGGTCACAAATGTATATATTTTTATAATATTATGTTTAAAACAAAACAAAATTATTTTTGTTTAAATAACTAATAAAATAATTGATAACTTATTTAGTAATATATTTACTGTTGTCATAACAACTCGTAATGTTTATAGTGTTTTGTTTTGTTTGTAAAAATAATTGACACAAAACTTATTATTAATTAAATAAACAAATGATTTCTTATATAATTGAAGACACAATTTGATTGAAATGATGGCAACAAATATAGTGATGATTAAGGATGTGTTGGACGAATTGAATGAAGAAAATCAAAGACTTTTGCGTGAATTAAGATATTGTCAGCAATTGAGGGAAATGTTTGATAAATACAGACATTTAGTGAATAGTTTGCAAACAAATTGTGTTTGTATTGAAAACATTGGATTAAAAACCAAATTCAATGAACTCGAAGACCAATACATGAAGACACTGAAGAGGCCGATGAAACTAAAGACTATGGCATCCGATTGTTTGGTTACGAATAGTGATGAAAATATAGTCTTTGAAGAAAGTGTTGATAATTTTAATAACGATTATTTTAATAAAACTGTGGACACAGTGGACGATAGTTTGACAAATAAATCGATTAAAAGAAGTAGAGGAAGACCGAAGAAATTAGCGGAGAAAATGGTTTATAAATGCCATTACATGGGTTGCGACAAACAGTTTGGTTACAAGAGTTTACTTCAGACACATATTAGGATCAAACATGTGATGGATGAACAACAACAACAACAACAAGACGATGACGACAATACATGTTATGAGGGTAACAGTGCTAATGATAGCGATGGTACGGAAATAATATCAGAGACCAACTGTAGTGATAGTTGGAGTGAATCAAAACAAAAGGCTAAGAAAATACAACAGAAGACGACACCAAAAACTAAGCGCCGAATTCGCCGAAAGAAGTGGTTATGCGATTGGGATGGATGTGATCGACAATTTCGTCATCCGTGCGAACTCTTGACACACAAACGGATCAGACATACTGGCGATCGGCCATTCAAATGCCCGAAATGCCAGAAATCATTTCCAGTTAACTTTCAACTCATAAATCATCAGAAACTTTATCATTCAAATAGACTATTTCAATGTCGTTACGATAACTGTGACAAAGTCTATCGATTTAGTCGATCACTCGATGACCACCACCGGCGTCACGAAGGCTTGTATACGAAGACTTTTAAGTGTGATGTTGGCGGCGACGACAACGACGGCGGTTGCGACAAAAGTTTTTATAATAATTATTTATTAAAAGTACACAAACGTACGGCACATTCGGACGACAGACCCTATCGGTGCGATTGGCCCGGTTGTGACCAACGGTTTAAGCGACAACATTGTTTATTTATGCATCGCAAGACTCATACGAATGTCCGAAACTATAGGTGCGATATAGAGGGATGCGATAAATTGTTTACAAGTAGTAGTCGTTTGAATGGACACAAACAGTTTCACATCCGACCGCACCAGTGTTCGTGGCCGGGATGTGAGGCCAGGTTTGGCGAAAAAATTAAACTCCAATTCCATTTGAACGGACATCAGGGACTCAAACCATATAAATGTCATTTTCCCGATTGCGATGTCAGTTACAGTGGACGGACATCACTGGAAAGTCATTTGAAACATAAACATAATTTTATGAAATCATATCATAGAGACTACTAGTAGTCTTAAACAAATCTATTAAATTTATTTTTTTTTTAAAATAAATAAACTTCAATTTTGTTATACATTTATTTTTATAAATTTTTATCTTATTATCGAAATAATTTTTAATAATTGTTTTTAAATATTGTTTTTAAAAAAATTAATACCGATTATATAATAATTTATCATTAATGATATTTAATTAGACAAATAATTAAATTAAATATTTTTAAAATTATAATTCATAATAATATACTGTAATATTTGTATTCTTACTTAAAAAGTAAATAAACTTAAAATAAAATTTTTTAAATATTTTACAGTAGACTATAATATTATTAAAAAAAATGTTTACTGTTGTTATAACAACTGGTACTATAAGTGTTTATTATTTAGCAATGCATGGCATGAATGTGAGGATCATATCATATGAACAACAAAAATAACATTTCGTCTGAAATGATGGCATCAAATGTGATGATTACGGATATATTGGATGAATTGAATGAAGAAAATCAAAGACTATTGTCTGAACTGAGATATTGTCAGCAATTGAGGGAAATGTTTGATAAATACAGAAATTTAGTGAATAGTTTGCAAACAAATTGTGTTTGTATTGAAAACAATGAATTGAAAACACAATTCAATGAAATGAATGTCCAATACATTGAACTCAAGACTAGATATACAACTGATGACAGACTGATTGTCCAGAAAAGTGATGACAAAACTAATGATCAATTGATAGACAGACCATCGATTAAGAGACAAAATATTATTAAACGTATGATTAAGGAGAAGAAGACAGTTAATCAAGACATTAAAGATGACTATTGCGATAAAGATGAAGACATTGATGACTTACCAGATGGTGATTACAATGTAATCATTGACAACGACAGTGAAAACAACGACAATATTTCTAGTAATAATAATAATAATACTAACAAATCTAGTGATCAATTGTTAGACAGACCACGGATTAAGAGACAGTGTGTTATACTTAAGAAGTCCGTTAATGAAGACATTGATGACGAAGAAGACAACTTACGCGATGGTGATTACAAAGCAACCATTGAAGACGACGACGACGACAACAACAGTATATCCAGTGAAGATAATAATAGTCTAACTGTGAAAATACCGGCGAAGAAGACGACGACGACTACTACGACAAAGAAGAAAAGGATACGAAAACCACGAATAGGAGTTTGCGAGAAGAAATTGATCTGCAAATGGGAAGATTGTGGCAAACGATTTAGCTATAACTATGAACTGGTATCGCATACACGGGTCAAACATACTGGCGAACGGCCATTCAAGTGCCACGAATGTGACAAAACATATGCCTCCGATATCTATCGGACGGCTCACATCAAGAAGTGTCACACAATCAAGAAATTCAAATGCGATTACGATGGCTGTAACCGATCGTTTTTTGTGGCCCAAGCACTGGAAACACATCGGTTCCAACACCAGGGACTCAAACCGTTTAAATGTGATGCCGATGGTTGCGATCAATGTTTTGGCACTAATAATACATTGCGTCTACATAGACAATCGGTTCACGAAGGTATAGCCTATCCGTGCGATTGGCCCGGTTGTGACAGAGTGTTTACGCTAAAGCACCGGCTGAAAGAACATCAGGAACGACACGCTCAGGTACTTAAGTACAAGTGTCCGCTGGATGAATGCGACCGAATGTTTGCCACCAAACACGGCGCCTACAAACACAAGTTTAAACACTTTAAACCCATACAGTGTGTATGGCCCGGCTGTGAGACCAGATTTTCTAGAAATGATAAAATGACAGATCATATGAACGCACATCAGGGACTCAAACCCCATAAATGCCATTTTCCCGGCTGTGATGCCAGCTATAGTGGTCGCCGGACACTTCAATTTCATTTGAAAAGAACACATAGATATATGAAATCAACCGAAAGAGTTTGGTTGAACCCCGAAAGGTTGGGGTAATGGGTTAGGGGGTTAAGGTTGGGTTAAGTTTGGTCGGATTGATATGACATACCTATCCCGATACTATCAAATTAATTGTTTAATATACGGTAATTATCATTATTTAGTTTTATTTATTTACCGGTAATCTATTACCGATAAATGTTTTTTTATCGTTGATAAATATTTATGTAAAAAACTATATATATATATATATTTAATGTAAATTTTATTTTAATTATAATTTAAATTTTTAATTTATTTCTAACTATATTTAAACAAAAATATAAAATAAAATAAAATAAATTTATTATCAAATAGACTGATTGGTATTGCTTTTGCATTGTGTTGACAGTTGTTATGACAACCCAATAATAACTTTATTATAACTAAGTTTGTGCTAAACCAAAACAATAATGGCTGACAATAATTTCAATATAACAGTATAGTAGTATATATATGCGCGCAATATTATAAAGTCTAATACTCTAAGGGGCGGAGTCTTTACACAGCATAGTTATTATACATACTAAACTATATTGTATGTATATATTAAGTGTAATCTATGATAATCTATGGGTATTTGTAGTGCGTCTGCTATTGTTTTAGTTTAGCACAAATTGAGACCGTTTTTTATACAGTTTTTTTTTTGACAACAATTTGACTGTAATTTAAACACTGTTTTTGGTTATTGTTTTCAATGATTTGAAACATACAATCGGATTAATTAATTAATTGATTAATTAAAATGATGGCAAATGTGGTGATTATGGATGTATTGGAAGAGTTAAGTGAAGAAAATCAAAGACTATTGTCTGAATTGATATATTGTCAGCAATTGAGGGAAATGTTTGATAAATACAAACATTTAGTAAATAGTTTGCAAACAAATTGTGTTTGTATTGAAAACAATGAATTGAAAACACAATTCAATGAAATCGATGTCAAATACATTGAACTCAAGACTAGATATACAAGTGATGACAGACTGAAAGCAAAGAAAAATGATGACAAATCTAGTGATGAATTGTTAGACAGACCGCGGATTAAGAGACGGAATATTATTAAACGTAAGATTAAGACAACAAGTGGTCATCAAATAATTAAATCAAATATAAAGACAAATAAGAAAATAAAGATTAGTTATAAATGTCATCACTTGGATTGTGGCCAACAGTTTAGTTACAATTATCTGCTTAGTTCACACTTACGGATCAAACACAATGATCAACGAAAACAACACGACAAACGTGATGTCGAAATAGATGGAAAACTGAAGACAAAAGAAACAGAAGACGTAGCCGACGACAAACGTATGCATACTAGCCGTCCAATCAATTGCCGCAATTGTGACCAAAAATTTGCTACAGTTTTGACACTTAGAGCTCATGTAAAGAAATGTCACAAAAATGAAATATATAAATGTAGTTACAATGACTGCGATAAAGAGTGTTTGTATCCGCAGTCACTCAATGCTCATTACTATTGGTGTCATAAGGATTTGACTGACCGGCCGTTTAAGTGCGATATCGATGGTTGCGATAGAAGTTATGATAAGAGTAGTGTACTTCAACATCACAAACGAACCGTACATTTGAATAAAACTGTTCGCCCAAAGAATTTGATCTGCGATTGGGTCGGTTGTGGCAAACAATTTAGTTATGAGTTTCAACTAACGGATCACAAACGAACCAAACATACCGGTGAGCGGCCATTCAAATGCCAACAGTGCGACAACTCGTTTGCCACCACTTCCTATCTGACTGCTCATGTGAAGGCCAGTCACGCCGAAAGAAAATACAAATGTACTTACGATGGATGCGATAAAGCATTTTACAAACCGCATCCATTGGCCGAACATCTACTCCGTCATCAAGGATTATATGAGAAGCCGTTTAAATGCGATTCGGTTGGTTGTGGCAAAAGTTTTACACAAAAAGATGGACTTGAAAAACACAAACGTCGCGAACATTGGGGTATAAAATATTCGTGCGATTGGCCCGACTGTGACAAACAGTTTACTAATAAATACTATCTGGTCCGTCATCAGCACCGACACACAAATGGCCAGAAGTATAGGTGTCTGGTTGATGGATGCGATAAAAAGTATTCAACAATTGCTGATCTACATCATCACGAAAAATACTATCACATCCGACAGTACCAGTGCTCGTGGCCCGGCTGTGAGGCCAGTTATTCACAGAAGACACCGTTTACCGATCATATGAATAGACATCAGGGCATTAAGCTATATAAATGTCATTTTCAGGGATGCGATACAAGTTTTTTTATACAGAAATCATTGGATTATCATTTGAATAAAAAACATAATTTTCGTAGAAATCAAATGAAAGATAAAAAGTAAATAAATAAATAAATAATTAACTAATATTTTTAAATAATATATACCGTAACTCATCTATCGTTAATCTAAATATATATATATATATATATATATATATAATAGTTAATGTCATCTAATTTATTGTTAAATAATATCCATATAATTTAGAAATTATCTTATTTTAATGTAATTCAAATGTTTTTTTTATTGTATAACTAAAATTAAATATAACAACAATAAAAGTTTGTATTTATATTTTTAAAAAAACATTTGTTCACAGTTTAAGTAAAATAAAACAAATAAAAGTTTATTTTTATTATAGTTTTTTTTAAAAATAAATTTATGTATAATACTGTTTATGAAACTACAGTATACAGTGTATATTGATTGATATAATTATTAACAAATTATTAATTAATAAGTAAATAAATAAATGTATTATATGATAAACTTTTTAAACATTTTATAAATTGAAATAGTGTTATAAAAATATTTATTTAAAAAAAATTATTTTGTTATTGTTATGTCTATTTATAATGTTAATATTACATATCCATTAATCAATAAATCATAATTGAATGTAATATACATTCAATTAATATTTCAATATACTATTAATGCTTTGTAAAAACTATGCCCCTAAGCCTTAAACACTTTTTAATAATAATATTGCGCCCATTTAGACATACACTACACTGTATTAGTGGGCGGCCATTATTGTTTTGGTTTTGAATATAATCGAACAGTTTTTTTATGAAACTATTGCCGTTTATTGTTATAACAAATTAGTTTAGTTTATAAAACAGTTTTTTTTTGGTGAATATTAACAACAAAATTAACATTTCGACTGAAATGATGGCATCAAATGTTATGATTACGGATATATTGGATGAATTGAATGAAGAAAATCAAAGACTATTGTCTGAACTGAGATATTGTCAGCAATTGAGGGAAATGTTTGATAAATACAGACATTTAGTGAATAGTTTGCAAACAAATTGTGTTTGTATTGAAAACAATGAATTAAAAACACAATTCAATGAAATGGATGTCCAATACATTGAACTCAAGACTAGATATACAACTGATGACAGACTGAACGCAAAGAAAAGTGAAGATAAATCTAGTGATGAATTGTTAGACAGACCACCGATTAAGAGACAAAAACGTAAGATTAAGACGACAAGTGGTCATCAAATAATTAAATCAAATAAGAAAAAGATTTGTTATAATTGTCATCACTCGGGTTGTGTCCAACAGTTTAGTTACAATTGTCGACTTAGATCACAGTTACGGATCAAACACAAAGATCAACGAAAACAACACGACAAATGTGATGTCGAAATAGATGGACAACTGAAGACAAAAGAAACAGAAGACGTAGCCGACGACAAACGTATGCATAGTAGCCGTCCAATCAATTGCCGCAATTGTGACCAAAAATTTGCTACAGTTTTGACTCTTAGAGCTCATGTAAAGAAATGTCATAAAAATGAAATATATAAATGTAGTTACAATGACTGCGATAAAGAGTGTTTATATCCGCAGTCACTCAATGCTCATTACTATTGGTGTCATAAGGATTTGACTGACCGGCCGTTTAAGTGCGATATCGATGATTGCGACAGAAGTTATGATAAGAGTAGTGTACTTCAACATCACAAACGTACCGTACATTTGAATAAAACTGTTCGCCCAAAGAATTTGATCTGCGATTGGGTCGGTTGTGGCAAAGGATTTAGTTATGAGTTTCAACTAACGGATCACAAACGAACCAAACATACCGGTGAGCGACCGTTCAAGTGTAAGGAGTGTAACAACTCGTTTGCCACCACTTCCTATCTGACTGCTCATGTAAAGGCCAGTCACGCCGAAAGAAAATACAAATGTACTTACGATGGATGCGATAAAGCATTTTATAAACCGCATCCATTGGCCGAACATCTACTCCGTCATCAAGGATTATATGAGAAGCCGTTTAAATGCGATTCGGTTGGTTGTGGCAAAAGTTTTACACAAAATGCTGGACTTGAAAAACACAAACGTCGGCAACATTTGGGTATAAAATATTCGTGCGATTGGCCCGACTGTGACAAACAGTTCGCTAACGAAGGCTATCTGAACGTTCATCGGCAGCGACACACAAATGACCAGAAGTTTAGATGTCCAGTGAATGGATGCGATAAAATGTTTTCAACAAATCTTGATCTATACAATCACGACAAATACTATCACATCCGACAGTACCAGTGCTCGTGGCCCGGCTGTGATGCCAGCTATTCACAAAAGACACCGTTTACCGATCATATTAATAGACATCAGGGTCTTAGACCATATAAATGTCATATCCAGGGATGCGAACGCAGTTATCCCATAAAGAAGACATTGGATCATCATTTGAAACATATGCATAACACAAATAATAAAAAGAAGTTAACAAAAAAAAATAGTAAATACAATACAAATAACTTGAATGTACGATAAATACTAGACATATCTATATCTATACCTAAATCATAAATTATTATATAATATAAAAAGTTGATGTCATGTCTAACTTATTGTCCATAATATCATACACTGTATACTGTGTTATATAACAAGCAATTAGGATCTCGTTTTATTAGCCATAAAATTTCCTTATGTTTAAAAAAACAAATATTACAATAAATTGTAATTTTGTGTTTGTTATATAAATACTATCAATTACTTTTGATAAAATTGATTTTTTTTCAAAAAATAAATAAATAAATAATATTTCAATAAAATTTTTATGAAAAATATTTTATTTTTTTATACTCTTATGTTGATTATAGTGTTGAAAATTAAATAAAGATTTTATTATAAAGTTTCTGAGAAAGTTCCCTAATAAAATCCATTCAATTTTCCCGAAATATATATATATAAGCAAATTATTATTATAAATAAATAATAATCTAACAAAAATATCATTTGATAAATTTTCAACATTTTTTTGAATTAAAAGCATAGTTATGTAAATATTTTATTTAAAAAATTTAAATAATTTTGTTGTTTACTGTTGTTGTTATGACAACATATAAGTTACTCTACAATATTATTACTGTATTTATGTTTACATTTTTTTTGTTTAATTAAATATTTCATTCAAATGTTGTTTTTTTAATTGAGTTTATTGTATAACAAATTAGTTTAGTTTTTATAAAATATTTTTTTTTTTAAATGAATATTAATAACAAAATAATATTTTGATTGAAAATGATGGCAAATGTGGTGATTATGGATGTATTGGAAGAGTTGAGTGAAGAAAATGACAGACTATTGTCTGAATTAAGATATTTTCAGCAATTGATTGAAATGTTTGATAAATACAGACATTTAGTGAATAGTTTGCAAACAAATTGTGTTTGTATTGAAAACAATGAATTGAAAACACAATTCAATGAAATGGATGTCAAATACATTGAACTCAAGACTAGATATACAACTGATGACAGACTGAAAGCAAAGAAAAATGATGACAAATCTAGTGATCAATTGTTAGACAGACCACGGATTAAGAGACAGAATATTATTAAACGTAAGATTAAGAAAAAGACAACAATTGATCACCAAATGACTGAACCAAAGATAAAGAATAATAATAATAATAATAAAGAGATGTCAAATGATATAACAATCAAACAAGACATTGATTATGAAGACAACTCACGCGATGGTGATTACAATAATACGATCATTGATGACAACAACAACAGTATACCAAGTGATGATAATAATAGTCTATCATCAGTGAAAACACCGGCGAAGAAGACAAAGAAGAAGAAGAATGCAATGACAGACAACAAGACTGATGGTGTGAAGACAAAGAAGAAACGAAAACCGCAGACAAAAAAACACGAGAAGAATCTGATTTGCGATTGGGACGGATGTGGCAAACGATTTGGTTTTAACTATGAACTCGTGTCGCACGTGAGGGTCAAACATACCGGTGAGCGGCCGTACAAATGTAAACAATGCGACAATTCGTTGTTTGCCACCGAAATCTATCTGAAGGCACACATCAAGAAGTGTCATACAATCAAGAAATTTCGATGCGATTACGATGGCTGTAACCGATCGTTTTTCTTGGTCCAGGCACTAGAAACGCATCGGTTCCGACATCAGGGTATCAAACCGTTTAAATGCGATTCTAACGATTGCGACAAATGTTTTGACAGCAACTATGCATTGCGTATACATAGACGATCGGTTCACGAGGGTATTGTATTTCCGTGCGATTGGCCCGGTTGTGATAAACAGTTTAACCAACAGCACCAACTGGCCGAACATCGCGAACGACACGCCCAGATACTCAAGTATAAGTGTCCGCTGGATGGTTGCGATAAACAGTTTGCCACCAGACACGGTGCCAACAAACACAAGTTCGTACACATTAAGCCCATTCAGTGTGTATGGCCCGGCTGTGAGGCCAGGTTTTCAAGGAGTGAGAAAATCAAAGATCATATGAACGCACATCAGGGACTCAAACCCCATAAATGCCATTTTCCCGATTGCGATGTCAGCTACAGTGGACTCCGGACACTACAACTTCATTGGAAAACTAAACATAATTATAGGAAATCAATCGAAAGAGAGTAGTAGTAGTAAGGTTGGAAAGAGGGGGGGGGGGGTTAGAGTACATGTATGACATACCTATCCCGATAATCTCAAATCGGTTATTTGATATACACTACCGGTAGTTATTAGTGTACTGTATTTATCATTATTATTAGTTTTTTTAACAAAAAAAGATCTATTACTGTAATTGTCATTTGTATTCATGCATTAATTTTAAATATATTTTTTTTGTTAGTTATATAAATATTTATTTAATTTATCTTAATTTATTTATACCTCTAATTTTGAGATAATATTTGTTGTAATAAAACAATTTAAATTAAAAACTTTTAATTTCAAAAATTTTTATTGACTGTAGTTATTGATTATTATTAGTTAGATTAATAGATTTTAGAAATTTAGTTTTTAAAATATACATGTACAGTAAATATATATTTTGTTGACTGTTTCCATGACAACTATTAAAAATTCGAACATAAAAATTTAAAATTTAAAATACATTTACAGAATATTCTTTATATACAGTAATATTCTATTCGATTGATTGTTTGAATRTTTTTTTTTTGGTTTTAAAAGCAAAAAGAAAAACAGTTTTGTATTGTATTTGTTTGTGACAATTGAAGACACAATTGAATAATTAAATGATTAAATAATTGATTGATTGATAGAAATTAATGGCAATTGTTTTGATTACTGATGTATTGGATGAGTTAAGCGAAGAAAATCAGAGACTTTTTAGTGAATTAAGATATTGTCAGCAATTGATTGATAATTACAGACATTTAGCGAATAGTTTGCAAACAAATTGTGTTTGTATTGAAAACAATGTATTATTGAAAACACAATTCAATGAAATCGATGTCCAATACAATGAACTGAAGAGTCGGCGACAAAACAAATCCTATGATAATAGTAGTAATGCTAAGAAAAGTGTTGACAATAATAAATCTGATGATTATTTGTTGTCTGAGAGACCATCGATTAAGAGACAGTTTATTAAACGTATGATTAAGACAACAACAACAACATCGACAACAAGTGGTCATCAAATGATTGATAAATCAAATATAGAGATGAAAGCTAATGAAGAGATATTAAGTGGTGATATAACAGTCAACAAACATGTGATTCAAGACATCACTAACATATCGGATTCAACTGAAGCATTGGCTAAGAAGTTGATGTCAGTGTCCGAAAGTGGTCCAAAAGTGGCCAAAACTCGGCCAAAACCGAAGCGCGTGCGACCAAAACAGCGTAAAAGAAATCGCCAAAAGAAATACTTCTGCCAATGGACGGGATGTTCAAAAGGATTCAGATATAACTCGGAACTTATTGGACACGAACGGCTCAAACATACCGGTGAAAGACCCTACCAGTGCCTGGAATGTCCGAAATCGTTTTGCATGGAAACCCAATTGCGCGGCCATCGGAAAGCATCTCACGGACCTGACGGTCGGGCTGTTGTTTATCGGTGTCAGTTCACCGGATGCGACAAATGGTTTCGCCAGAGCGGTTCACTAAAGATACATCACTTGAAACAACATACCGATCACAGGCCGTGGAAATGCGATGTCGATGGTTGCGGCCGTACCTATCATCTGAATCATGAAATGCAATTACATCGACGCGTTGTCCACAGCGACGACAGGCCCTTTGAGTGCGATTGGCCCGGTTGTGACAAACGATTTAAACGCATGCAGACCCTCAACTCGCATCGCGAGTATCATATAGGCGACCGACACTATCGGTGTCCAGTTGACGGGTGCGGCAAATCGTATCCGACCCGCAATTCGCTCATTGCGCACAACTATTCGCATACGAAACCTCATGTGTGCAGTTGGCCGGCCTGTGAGGCCAGATTTCGGGCCAAGAATAAGCTCAGGGATCATATGAACGGACATCAGGGACTCAAACCGTATAAATGCCATTTCCCCGATTGCGATGATGTCTGCTATAGTGCCCGATCGGCACTGGAACAGCATTTGAAACATAAGCACAGTTATCTCAAGTCATACCATTATAAAGTTTAGTTTGGTTATCAATGATATTACATATAGTATATGTTTTTTTAAAATAAATATGAAACTATTTTTTAAGTCAATGATATAATTGCTTTTTTAATGTTAGTTTTTTTTGTAAAATTGATTTTTTTATTACAAATTATTATATATTTTTTATAGATAAATGCTTTTAATGGTATTTAAATATTTATTTACTATAGTTTTTATTATTATAAATATGTAATAAAAAAATTTTTTTTGATTGTATAAATCTCTAAACACTGCTTGTATTTTGCACTTTGATTTTGATTTAAAAAAAATATTGATTTTTTGAATTTTAATAAACTTATTATTTTTTAAATTTTTATTATTTTATTGATGTACAATTTATTTCATACAATAATTAATTAATTAATTAATTAATTAATTTGTTAACGTAATCAAAAAGTTTTTATATTTTTTGAAAAACACAATTATTATGTGAACGCATGCGTCGATCACTTAATGTTTATATTGAAAATAAAGTATTTTTGTTTTGTTTTGTTTTGTTTTTATTATTATTAAAGTATTTCAATGTTTTTTACGTTAAATAACAAAACAAATAAACTTTTTTTTTAATATTTATTGACAACAAATTGATTGCAATTTATAACAAACAAACTGTTTGTTTTTGGGGATTGTTTTTTAATGGTTTTATAAAGTGATTATTGTATTGATTATTGATTGAAATGATGGCAACAAATGTAGTCATTGTTAAGGATTTATTTGAAGAGTTTAGTGAAGAAAATCAAAGACTTTTCGATGAATTAAGATATTGTCAGCAATTGATTGAATTGTTTGATAAATTCAGACAACTATTAGATAATTATCAAAAAAATTGTTGTTGTATTGAAAACAATGAATTGAAATCACAATTCAGTGAATTAGTTGATCAATATATGACACTAAAGTCAATGACTATATCGACGACAACAACAACAACGACATCCGCGGATCTAATTGTTGACAACAAGACCTACGATAGAAAAGATAATAATAATAATAAAATTAATTACAACAAGAAAAACAAGATTATAACTGAAGACAATGATAACGACGTTAATAATAATAATAATTATAATTATCTGACAAAAACTGTGGACTCATCGGCCGATACTCTACTGAATGAACCGATCAAAAGAAGTAGAGGCAGACCAAAGAAATTGATGACATTATCGTCGTCAGCGACAACTGATAGTCAAATAATAGCCATAAATTACCGGAGAAGCTATAACTGTGATTATACCGGTTGTGGCAAACAATTTAGATTTATATGTTTACTGAAGAAACACATCCAAATGGATCACAAAGAAGAGCGACCGTTCAAATGTGATGTCGACGGCTGTGATCAACGTTTCTATCGAAAAGAGCACATCAAACGACATAAGACTTATGTACACTGCGATGACAAGCCGTTCGGGTGTGAGTGGCCGGGATGTGGCCTACGGTTTAAGGATAAAGCAAGAGTTAGGTTACATCATAGACAACATACAGGCGTTGATCGCAAAGTTCCGGGCATTTCGGGTAAATTTACGAGAAAAAAGTGGAAAAAACAGCCGAAAGAGATACGTGAATACAAATGTCATTACATTGGTTGCGATAAAGTGTATAGACATCGACCCAATCAGTTGGCAATACACATACGTACCAAACATACCGGTGAGCGGCCATTCAAGTGTCCAGAATGTGACAAAACTTATCCATTCGAACGAAATCTGAAAATTCATATGAAATCTGTTCATCCGATTGATCGAAAAGAGTATAAATGTCGTTACGATGGTTGCAATAGAGAGTTTCGGTTTGAGTCGACTTTGAAACACCATTATCTGAGACACGAAAATCTAGTCGAAAGGCAATTCAAATGCGATGTCGACGGTTGCGACAAAAGTTTCTACCGTAAGGCGCATCTCAACGATCATAAGGCTTATCTGCATAGCGATGAACGGCCGCTGCCGTGCGAATGGCCCGGTTGTGACAAACGGTTTAAGTTTATTCACGAATTAAGGAATCATAGAGAACGTCATACGGGTGTCCTACAGTACCGGTGCGACATTGACGGCTGTAATAAGGCATTTACATCCAAATCGGGTCTATTTAGTCACAAAAAATCACATACTAAACCCTATGTGTGCAGTTGGCCGGCGTGTGAGGCCAGGTTTGAATGCAATGTTAGACTAACAGATCATACCTATGAACACCAGGGACTCAAACCACATAAATGCCATTTCCAGGGATGTGTTTGTAGTTACAGTAGTCGAGTATCATTGAGACATCATTTGAAACTCAAACATAATTATGTTAAATCTATTTGCGAGAAATCTTGAAAAAAATGATTAATACTTTTTATTATTTAATAAAAGAAAAAGTATAATTAAATATAATATTTACATATAATTGTAATATTAATAAAGTTTTTTTATTAAAAAAATATTGATTTTGATATTTGATTGTAATTTAAATAAATTAAAATATTTATTATTAGTTTTAATCCAAAATTATTTGTAATTTTTTTTATAAATAATAATACAAACGCATGCGTCGATCATATGTTTACACATTATATTGAATGTTATTTTTCATACATTGTGTTTGAATTGAAATTATGATTAAATAAAAAAGTTTTTTTTTGTATTTTGTTTATAATGACATCTTATTAATTGATTGATTGATTGAAATGATGGCAAATGTAATGATTAAGGATGTGTTGGATGAGTTGAGTGAAGAAAATCAGAGACTTTTTGATGAATTAAGATATTGTCAGCAATTGATGGAAATGTTTGATAAATACAGACATTTAGTTAAGAGTTTGCAAACAAATTGTATTTGTATTGAAAACATTGGATTAAAAACCAAATTCAATGAACTGGAAGACCAATACATGACCATAAAGTCGATGAAGATTTACGATAATAAAAAACTCAAGACTCAATCGGATGACAATCATAACGACAATAATAATGATAATAATTGTAATAAAAGTGATGATGAATGCGATAATAATGATAATAATAATTATACGGTAACTGTGGACACATCGGCCGATAGTGTAATGAATGAACCGATCAAACGATGCAGAGGTAGACCTAAGAAGTCAATGATAGTATTATCGTTAGCCAAACAAAAACGAGTTGAAAAACAGTTGAAATCGGTAAATGACCGGAAAGTTTATAAATGTGATTATACGGGTTGTGAAAAATGTTTTAATAATAAACAGCGACTGAAAATTCACTTACGGGTCAAACATACCAATGACCGGCCATTCAAGTGCGACAAATGCGACAAAACGTTTCCATTTCAACAATATTTGAAGAATCACCAGAAGTCTGTGCACACGACTGTCCGTAAAGTCTATAACTGTCGTTACGATGGTTGCGATAAACAGTTTCGGTTAGTAAACAGTCTGAAAGAGCATCACTTGAGACACGAAAATCGTTTGGAGCGGCGATTCAAATGCGATGTCGACGGTTGTGACAAAAGTTTTTACCGAAAATCGCAAATAAATACACATAAAACATATATACATAGCGATGAACGGCCGCTGCCGTGCGAGTGGCCCGGTTGTGACAAACGGTTTAAGTTTATTCGCGAATTGAATAATCATAGAGAACGTCATACGGGTGTCCGAAACTACCGGTGCGACAGAGAGGGCTGTAATAAGTCATATGCAGCCAAATCGGGTCTATTTATTCACAAACAAACACATATTAAACCATTTGTATGCAGTTGGCCGGCGTGTGAGGCCAGGTTTGAATGCAATTATAAACTAACAGATCATAGCTATGAACACCAGGGACTCAAACCACATAAATGCCATTTCCAGGGATGTGTTTGTAGTTACAGTAGTCGAGTATCACTGAGACATCATCTGAAACTTAAACATAATTATTTAAAATCTATTTGCGAGAAATCATGAGAAAGAAATTAATTTTTTTTTAAAATGTAAAACTTGTTTTTTTTTTGTAAAAATATTACTAAATATTACATTAACTATAATAACTTGATTATTAAAAAATAAATAAATGTAAATATATTTTTACATATACGGTAATAATAATAATATTGTTTTTTTTTGTTGTTGATATTTTATGTGTAATTATTTTTAAATATCATATTAGTATTTTAATCCAAAAAAAAAACAGTTAAGAATGCTAGAAAGCATTTTCAAAAAAAAACTTGAATAGCATTGAAAACCATTAGTTTGTATAATTATAGCGGCTATAGAGTAACATATAAAAATTTAAAAACGTCAAATATACATAAATTAAATATTGTCATGTATGATATCAAATGATTCAGTATGACAAAATAAACACAACTTTAGTCATGTACGGTATCAAATGACTTGGTATAACAAAATATACTCAACTATAGTCATGAAGGATATTAAGTGACTCAGTATTACAACAAAATAAACAACTATGATCATATTTTTTAAATATTAATAATTTTGATCTATATCTTATTTTTGATGATCTATGCAATTCTAAACCTTAAAATTTTTACCTAAATTTTTTATACTTTTGCCGCCATATTCGAAAAAAAATAATTTTAATCAATTATATCTTATTTTTGATGCTCTATACAATTCTAAAGGTTAAAATTTTTAACTAAATTTTTATACTTTGGCCGCCATTTTGTCTATGTTCCCGAAGAGATATCAAAATTTGAATTAAACTTTTCAATACATTATTAGTAGTCCTCTAACCGAATCTGAAGTCAGAATTTCAAAATTCGCAAAAAAATTGCTACACACACACACACAGACAGACTCAAAAAGCCATTATAGATTTCAGTAAACAAAACTTTTCAAGTTTTTTTTGAAAATTAATATTTAAAACATTTTACARAAAAAATGATATTAAATTAAACGCATTCGTCGATTATTACAGTATATGTTTACACACATTATATATGACAACAAAATTTTTTTAAAAAAATAATTTTTAGTTTTAATTGATATTATGATAAATTGAAATTTTTTTTTGGGGGGKGGGTATTGTATTTGTTGTGATAATTGATTGATTAAAATGATGGCAACAAATGTAGTGATCATTAATGATGTGTTTGAAGAGTTAACTGAAGAAAATCAAAGACTTTTTAATGAATTAAGATATTGTCAGCAATTGATTGAATTGTTTGATAAATTTAGACAATTATTAGATAATTATCAAACAAATTGTGTTTGTATTGAAAACAATGAATTGAAATCACAATACAATGAATTAGTTGATCAATATATGACAGTAAAGTCAATGAATATAACGACGATATCTTCGGATCCAATTGTTGGTAACAAAGCCGATGACAATATTGTTATATAATAATAATAATAATAAAATCAAAGACAATGAGAAACATAAGACAACAGATGACAATCATAACGACAATTATAATACGGAAACTGTGGACACATCGGCCGTTAGTGTAATGAATGAACCGATCAAAAGTGATAGAAACAGATCCAACAATAAGTCGATGGTATTATCGTTAGCCAAACAAAATGATAGTCAAAAAACAACAAAATGTGATAATAATAATAATAATAATCACCAAAGATTTTATAGCTGTAATTACTCGGGTTGTGACAAACAATTCAGATTGAATTGTCATCTCAAGACACACATACAGATCAAACACAATACGGCGGAGCGACCGTTCAAATGTGATATCGACGGCTGCGGCCAACGTTTCTATCGAAAAGATAAAATCAAAAGACATATCCGTTTAAATATTCACAACAATGACCGGCCCATCGGCTGTAAGACGAAAAAGCGAATAATCAAATGTCATTATATGGATTGYGACAAATGTTTTGATTATAATCATCAACTGGTAGTTCATGTCCGGATGAAACACACCAAAGACAGACCATTCAAGTGTGACAAATGTGACAAATCGTTTCCGTTTGTGAAAAATCTGAAGATTCACCAGAAGTTTTTGCATCCGACTGTCAAAACTGTGTATAAATGTCGTTACGATGGTTGCGATAAAGTCTATCAGTTTGAGAACGCTCTGAAACAGCATCACCAGAGACATGAAAATCCATTGGACTTCAGATTTAAATGCGATTACGACGGTTGTGGCAAAAGTTTTTACGAAAATGGTTCACTAAAATCGCATAAGATTTCTATGCATAGCGATGAACGGCCGTTCCCCTGTCTGTGGCCCGGATGTGACAAACGATTTAAATTTAGTCGCGAATTGAATAGACATTTGAATAGACATTCGGGTGTCCGACAGTATCGGTGCTCAGTTGATGGTTGCGATAAGTCGTACACTACGGACAAAGGTTTGGATCAACACAAGAGAACAACACATAGTAAGCCATACCAGTGCTCGTGGCCGGGATGTGAGGTCAGATACGGGGCTAAGGATAAACTCCGGGACCATATGAATGGACATCAGGGTATCAAACCATTCAGTTGTCATTTTCAGGGATGCGATGTCAGCTATAGTAGCCGCGCATTGCTAAGAGCCCATTGGCGACAAACACATAAATATATTAAAACTTACCATGATAAAACATAGATAAATATATAAGTAATTTAATTAATTTAAAAAAAATTATATTTATTTTATTTAAAACATTGAGTACTAACAGTATATTATTCTTAAAACTGTAAAAAAATTTTGAATAATAAACATTTAAAAAAAAACTTATTTAAAAATTTATTAATCTAATAGTAGTTTATAATATTTTTTTTATAATATATATATATATTATCAATAAAATAATTAATTATTTTTATTATTATCTAATTATCATAGATATAATTATTTAAAATTATTTAATTATAAAAAAAACTTTTTTGTTTTGTTATGATATGTAAACGCATGCGTGAATCACATGTTTATTATACAGTATTTTGTTTATGTTTTTGAATTGACATTTAATTGTAGTTTTGATAAAACAACTGTTTGTTTGTTATGTAATTATAATTGAATAATAAAAAAATCATATAATAAACTGATGGAAATAATGGCAAATCTAGTGATCAATGATATATTGGACGAATTAAATGAAGAAAACGGTCGACTAATGTCTGAATTAGTTTTCAGTAAACAAGTGATTGAATTGTTTGATAAATACAGACATTTAGTTAAGAGTTTGCAAACAAATTGTTGTTGTATTGAAAACAATGAATTGAAAACACAATTGAATTCATTGGATGTGCAATACATTCAACGGAAAACTAATGGTAAAAGTAATGTCAAAAATGCGGTCAAAATTAATGTAAAGAAGACATCGAAGAAAACTATTGACAATAATGAAAGAAATTATATTATGTTAAGAGATAAATGCATTGATAATAATACTAATAATAACAATCTTAAGACTGAAACTGTGGACACATCGAGTAGTGATAATTCACTGAAGACACGGATTAATATTTATTTCAATAAACAAACAGAAGTGTTGTCCACAAGTGTCCAACACTTGAACTCTGCAGTCAAACGACACAATAATGTTAATAATTGTAATATTAATGATAATTACAATACAGAAACTATAGACTATGATATGATTGATGGATCAATAGATAGTGATAGTGATGTTAAGCCACAGATCGAAATACAAAGCAGACCATTACAGGGACCGGCAGTTCATAAGTGTGATTATAAGGACTGTGGCCAACAATTTAAGTATATTTGTCAACTTAAGACACACGTACGGGTCAAACACAACGAGGAACGACCGTTCAAATGTAGTGTCGATGGCTGTGGTAAACGTTTCTATCGAAAAGATCATCTAAAACACCATAAGATTAAAGTACACAAAGATGGTCAACCGTTTACCGGTTTACCACAGAAACAGCCGACTGTTTGTGACTACGAGGGTTGCGGCAAAACATTTCGATGCAAAAGTGAATTAATAAGACATACGGCAGTCAAACACACGGCTAATAAACCGTTCAAATGTCCCGATTGTGACCAAACGTTTGCCATTCAGAAGTATTTGGGTGATCATCGGCGGCGCAATCATTCGCTGGCTGTCTTCCAGTGTCGATACGATGAGTGCGGCGGCAAACTGTTTAAGAGAGAGTCGCAACTCAAACACCATTACTTGAGACACGAAAATCGTTTGGAGAGACGATACAAATGCGATGTCGACGGTTGCGATAAAAGTTTCTATAAAAGCAATCACCTGAGGGATCATAAGTCTCTGGTGCACAGCGATGAACGGCCGTTCGGATGCGATTGGCCCGGATGTGACAAACGATTCAAAATTGCCAAAGAATTGGGCAGACATAGAGAACGGCACGCGGGTGTCCGTCAGTATCGGTGCACAGTTGATGGTTGCGATAAGTCGTACATTACGACCGGTGGTTTGGATCAACACAAGAGAGTACATACTAAGCCATACCGGTGCTCGTGGCCGGGATGTGAGGTCAGATACGGTGCCAATGATAAACTTCGGGACCATTTGAACGGACATCAGGGTATCAAACCGTTTAGTTGTCATTTTCAGGGATGCGATGTCAGCTATAGTAGCCGCGCATCACTGAGAATGCATTGGAGACAAACACATAAATATATTAAAACTTACCATGATAAAACATAGATAGATAGATAAAATTATTAATATAATTTTATTAAATACATTATTTTAAAGTGATTTTATTTATTTATTAAATACAGTTATAATGATATTGTAAAGGGTTAAACACATAATTACTTTTGAAATAAAATAACCCCCAAAAAAAGGAGAAATTTTTAATAATATTAGATTATTATATTGATATAATTTATTAGTAAATATTTATTATATTTATTATTATTATATATATAAATTATTAAAAAAATAATTATTAAATAATTTAAAGTTATTATTATTATTATTTGAACGCATGCGTGGATCACATGTTTTATATATATATTTTGTTTATGTTTTTTTAAACAAAAAATTGACATTTGATTGCAGTTTAATAAATAAAAACAATGTTTGTTTGTTTGGGTTATTGTTTTTAAAATGATTTTTAAAGTGATTTAAATATCAATTGAAAATAATGGTATAGTTTTTTTTTGTGATAACAATTTTGAAGGTTTAAAATGATGGCAAATCTTGTGATTACGGATGTATTGGACGAATTGAATGAAGAAAACGGTCGACTAATGTCTGAATTAGTTTTCAGTAAACAATTGATTGAAATGTTTGATAAATACAGACATTTAGTTAAAAGTTTGCAAACAAATTGTTGTTGTATTGAAAACAATGAATTGAAAACACAATTCAATGATTTAGATGTTGAATATATGACCATAAAGTCAATTAAAATAACGACAACATCTGCGGATCAAATTATTTACAATAAAGTAGTCGATGATAGAAGTGGTAATAAAATCAATGACAATGAAAAACATAAGACAACGACTAAAACTGCGGACAATCATAACGACTATAATATTATTAATAATACGAAAACTGTGGACACGTCGGCCGATACTGTGATGAATGAACCGATCAAAAGTGGTAAAGATATGATACACATACAGATCAAACACAATCCGGCGGATCGACTGTTCAAATGTGATTGCGATGGCTGTGACAAGCGTTTCAAACGAAAAGAGCACATCAAACAACATAAGAGATATGTTCACAGCGATGACCGGCCATTCAAGTGCGACAAATGTGACAAAATGTTTACATTTGGACAAAATCTGAAGAATCACCAGAAGTCTGTGCACACGACTGTCCAAAAAGTTTATAACTGTTGTTACGACGGTTGCCATAAAGTATTTCGGTCTGAAAGCAATCTGAAAGTGCATTACTTGAGACACGAAAATCGTTTGGAGAGACGATACAAGTGTGATGTCGACGGTTGCGATAAAAGTTTCTATCAAAGCAATCACCTGAGGGATCATAAGGCTCTGGTGCACAGCGATGAGCGGCCGATTGCGTGCGATTGGCCCGAATGCGACAAACGATTCAAAATTGCCAAAGAATTGGTCAGACATAGGAATCGGCATTTAGGTGTCCGACAGTATTGGTGTACAGTTGATGGTTGCGATAAGTCGTACATTACGTTAAGTAGTTTGGATACACATAGGAAAGACCATACTAAGCCATACCAGTGCTCGTGGCCGGGATGTGAGGCCAGATATGGGGCTAACGATAAACTCCGGGACCATATGAATGTACATCAGGGTATCAAACCATATAATTGTGATTTTCAGGGATGCGATGCCAGCTATAGTAGCCGCGCATCGTTGAGAATGCATTGGAGACAAATACATAATTATATTAAAACTTACCATGATAAAACATAGATATAATAGATAGATAATTAAAAGGCATTTATTTATTTTTATATGAAATCAAAATTTAAAGTATTTAAAAATATTGTACTTTTATTGACTAATCAATATTAAATAGATAATTATTTTTTAACAATTTAGTATTTTACTATTATGTTATAATTGTATACTATTGTATTTTTAAAAAAACAAAACAAAACTCATCACATAATGTGATTATTTTTGGTATTTATAAGATAAGTCAATCCAAAATGAATATATAGATTGCTATCATTGTAAAAACACCGGCCATTTGAAAGCACAGGGATGGATACCAGTCGATGGTATACTGAAACACTGTATTGATAAAAAACGACTGCAATGTTGGAACAATGGCTTCCATGGCGCCCAACAAACAGAATACCCGACCCGATTCGGTTTCGGTAGCTATTTTGGACAGTAGGGCACGGATGGCAATAGAGCTGACGTTGGCAATACAGGCTGAAGCAAACATTAGATACAAGCCTATCGGCGACCGGACAACTGAGCCGATAATCATGTCCGATAAGAATATCGAGACCAGACCAATGATTCCCATTTTAGTGTCGCTTAGCTGCAAATAAGTGGACAGTATTGGTACCGTAACGGTATATGTATAACGTATATGTTTAACCAAAATATAAGTAAATTATTAAAGCAATAATAAATACAATATATATTTTATTAATAAATAAATCAAAATAAATACTAAAAATATCTTACATAATAATAATAATACATAAATTAGTAAACTATATGATTATCTAACTATTATTAATACAAATATTTTTTTTTCAAAAAATACTTTTAGTAGTTATTATTATTATTATTATGTGAACGCATGCGTGAATCAAATGTTTATATTGTGTTTATATATGTTTTTAAATGACATTTGATTTGCAGTTTTATAAATAAAAACAACAATTTTTGTTTGTTTGGGTTATTATTGTTTTTAATTGTGTATTAATTAATAATTTTCTTAAGAAAATTATGGTAAAGTTTTTTGTTGTTGCTATTGTGATAATTGAAGATACAATCGGATTAATTAATTGATTGAAATGATGGCAAATCTAATGATTACGGATGTATTGGACGAATTGAATGAAGAAAACGGTCGACTAATGTCTGAATTAGTTTTCAGTAAACAATTGATTGAATTGTTTGATAAATACAGACATTTAGTTAAGAGTTTGCAAACAAATTGTTGTTGTATTGAAAACAATGAATTGAAAACACAATTGAATGGATTGGATGTACAATATATTGAACGGAAAACTAATGGTAAAAGTAATGTCAAAAATGCGGTCAAAATTAATGTAAAGAAGACAACGAAGAAAACTATTGACAATAATAATGAAAGAAATTATATTAAGTTAAGAGATAAATGCATTGATAATAATAAGAAAACTGTGGACACATCTAGTGATACATTATTGAAGACACAGATTATAAGAGATTTTAATGATAAACACATAGAAATCATGTCTACAACAACTACAACAACAAGTGTTGACAATAATCTTAAGCAAACAATAGACAGTTTAACTAATAGTAATAATAATCATATAATTGATGGATCAATAGATAAAGACAGTCAATCTCAAGGATCATCGACTGTCCATAAATGTGATTACAACGGTTGTGATAAACAATTTAGATTTATTTATTTGCTTAAGAAACACATGCAAATCGATCACAAAGAGCAGCGACCGTTCAAATGTGATGTCGACGGCTGTGACCAACGTTTCTATCAAAAAGCTCACATCAAACGACATCTGAGTTATGTTCACAGCGATGACCGGCCGTACTGGTGTGAGTGGCCGGGATGTGGCCTACGGTTTAAAGATAATGCAGTGTTGAAGTTACACAGTAAGCAACACACCGCAGACAGCGATGGTTGTGGTGGTGATAGTGTCTACAAGTATCGGTGCGATAGAGATGGATGCGATAAAGTCTATGATAAGGAAAAGTCATTAAAACAACACTACTATATTCAACACAATACTAAACGACAATTTAAATGTTATGTCGACGGTTGCGATCAGACATTGGCCAATAAAAATCAATTGAAATCTCATATCCAGATTAAACATAACATCACTACTACCAGTAAGTGCCGGCCCTTCAAGTGTGACAAATGCGACAAAACGTATACCAATCGGTCAAATGTGAAGAAACACCAAAAGTATATCCATTCGGATATCCCGAGAGAATTCAAGTGTCGTTACGACGGTTGCGATAAAGTATTTCGTTTTGAATCGACTCGTAAACAACATTATCTAAGACATGAAAACCTGTGGTTTAGACGATTCAAATGCGATGTCGACGGCTGTGGCAAAAGTTTCTATCGTAGGGCACATCTTAACGAACATACGACTTATTTGCATAGTAATGACCGGCCGTTTGCGTGCGAATGGCCCGGTTGTGACAAACGATTTAAATTAATGGAAAATCTGAAACAACACCGCGAAATACATTCGGGTGTCCGCAAGTATCGGTGCGATTTTGACGGATGCAATAAGACATTTATTACGGCAACCGGATTGGACTCACATAAAAGATTTATTCATCGAAAAGACAGACCCTATGGGTGCAGTTGGCCCGGATGTGAGACCCGACTGGAGAGTCGTATTAAGCTAACAGATCATACCTATGAACACCAGGGCCTCAAACCACATAAATGCCATTTCCCGGGTTGTCTGATGAGCTATAGTTATAGGGGATCGTTGAGAATGCATTTAAGACAAACACATAAATATATTAAAACTTACCATGATAAAACATAGATAGATAATTTACAAATGATAACTATTTTATTTTTACTATAGTTATACTAAATAATAATAAAAAAAAATTGTTTTTAAATTATAATATCATTAATATTAATTTAACAATTTATATAAATTAATTAAATAAATTATTTTATTTATTAAAAAAAAAGTTTTGAACGCATGCGTGAATCATATGTTTATATATATATATATTTAATTGACATTTAAATTGTAGTTTTTTAAACACTGTTTGTTTGTTTAGGTATTGTTTTCAATGGATTTTTTTTTATAKATATTGAAATTATTGTATAATTTTTTTGTGTATGTTTTATGATAATTGAAGACACAATCAGATTATTAATTGATTGAAATGATAGCAAAACTAGTGATTACGGATGTATTGGACGAATTGAATGAAGAAAACGGTCGACTAATGTCTGAATTAGTTTTCAGTAAACAATTGATTGAAATGTTTGATAAATACAGACATTTAGTTAAAAGTTTGCAAACAAATTGTTGTTGTATTGAAAACAATGAATTGAAAACACAATTCAATGCATTGGAAGTGCAATACATTAAACTGAAAACTAATATTAAAATTGATTTCAAAAATTCGGTCAAAATTAATGTGAAGAAGACATTGAAGAAAACTATTGACAATAATAGTGGTTATAATAACTTAAGAAATAAATGCATTGATAATAATAATAATAATCTGAAGGAAACTGTGGACACATCGCGTGATAATTCATTGAATAAACGAATTAATATTTATTTCAATAAACAAACAGAAAAGGTGTCCACAAATGTCCAACACTTGGACTCTTCAGACAAATACCACAATAATACTAAACAAGAAGACATACCACGGATTAAGAGACAGTATACTAAACGTAAGATTAAGACAACGACGACAACAATAAGTGATCCATCAGTGAAGACAAAGATTAAGAAAAAATATAGTAAACAAAAGAAGTTTGTCTGCGATTGGATTGGATGTGATAAACGATTTCGTGAATCAAATCAACTTCTGTCGCACATACGGGTCAATCATACCAATGAGCGGCCGTACAGTTGCCAGTTGTGCAACAAATCATTTCCGGTAACGACAGCACTGAAAGCGCACCAAAAATTTGTTCATAACAACAGTGATGATCAGTCATCATCATCACCACCGAAGCTAAAGTGTCCGTACGATGGCTGCGCCAAACAGTTTAGTTTGAAGTCATTGTTGAACTCTCATATGAAATACAGACATAAACCCAGAGAATTCAAATGTGATGTCGACGGTTGTGACAAAAGTTTTTGCTATCGTAACAAACGTGAAATACATAGATTAAGATTTCATTCGGATGTTAGGCCGTTCCCCTGTGAATGGCCCGGTTGTGACAAACGATTCAAGTCGTCCACTAATTTGCGACGGCATCGCGAAACCCATAGTCTGGTGCGCGGCTACCGGTGCGATGTCGGCGACTGCACTAAGACGTTCAATACACAGCAAAGTCTAAATAGTCATAAACTGACGCACACCCGACCCTACCAGTGCTCGTGGCCGGCCTGTGAGTTCAGGACGGCATCCAGTGTTGTACTCAACGATCACGTGAACGGACATCAGGGCATCAAACCATTTAAATGTCATTTTCATGGATGCGATTGCAGTTACAGTAGTAGAGCATCGCTGAGAGTTCATTGGCGTCTAATACATAAGTTTATCAAAACATTTGATCAGAAATCATAAAATAAAATTAATCATAAATTATGTCAATTAAAAAAAATTAATTTAATTAAAAATGATAATTTAATATATGAAGACTTTAAGAGAAAGTATAATTTAAAAAAATTGGTACAAATCGTATGCGTTAATCATTTATATTGTATAATCATAGATTATTTTGTAATAAATACTAACAATGATTATTATTGTATCAAAATTTTATGTCAATCAATATAAATAATAAATATAATTATCCAAATAATTATAATATTGTTATAATAATATATTGAAAGTATATCTTAAACTAAACGATTTTATTATACTTTACTTTCTACAGCAAAAATTTTAAGCAAAACAAGGTATAAGTTTTTTAATTTAAAAAAAACTTTAATAATTTTTATAATTATTACTTAATTATATAATTATATATATATATATATGATATACATATAATATGAGTAAAACTTTAAAATTTCAATTACTATATTAATAAATTTAACCAAAAAAAAAACAATATTATTATTATGTGAACGCATGCGTGAATCAAATGTTTATATTGTGTTTATATATGTTTTTAAATGACATTTGATTTCAATTAAAAAAAGTTTTTTTTAAAAAAATAATGTTTGAAATTATGTTATAGTTTTTTCTGTGATGATATTTTATTGAAGACACAATAGGATTGAAATGATGGTAAATGTGATGATTAAGGATATATTGGATGAGTTGAGTGAAGAAAATTGTCGACTAATACGTGAATTAGTTTTTAGCAAACAATTGATTGAATTGTTTGATAAATACAGACATTTAGTTAAAAGTTTGCAAACAAATTGTGTTTGTATTGAAAACAATGAATTGAAAACACAATTCAATGAAATGGATGTCAAATACAATGAACTCAAGACTCGATATACAACTGATGACAGACTGAACGCAAAGAAAAGTGAAGATAAATCTAGTGATCAATTGTTAGACAGACCACCGGTTAAGAGACAGTATATTAAACGTAAAATTAAGACAACATCGAAAACAACAACAACTTGTGATCCAATAATGAAGACACAGATTAAGAGAAGATATAATAAACAGAAAACAATTAATCCGGAAATAACAGACAACTGTTGTGATGATAGAGTGGTCGATAAAATCACTGATAAACCAATCAATGATAATGACTGTGATATTGTGGACAACAAAACCAGTAATACTCGGCAGAAATCTTCGGCAGAAATATTATCAGTGAAGACAACTGATAGGAAAAAATATACTAAACATAAGAAGTTTGTCTGCGATTGGATTGGATGTGATAAACGGTTCGCCGAAAGAGACTATCTGGTGGCACACATACGGATCAATCATACAAAAGAGCGGCCATACAGTTGCCAGATATGCGGCAAAACATTTTCGGTAATGAGATTATTGAAAGCACATGAAAAAGTAGTTCATTCGGCTTCAAACAGATTCAAGACTCAGCCGCTGAAGTGTCCGTACGATGGCTGCCGTAGAGTGTATAGTTTGGAGACAACGTTGAACTATCACATCAACTATAAGCACAAGAATTTGATACCGAAATCGTTTAGATGCGATGCCGACGACAGTTGCGATAAAAGTTTTTACAATCGCTATCAATGGGAACGACACAAGCAGGCCGTCCACTACGATCTGAGACCGTTTCCGTGCGAATGGCCCGGTTGTGACAAACAGTTTAGGTCGACCAGTGAGTTGAGAGTACATCGCGAAAGACATAGCGGTGTCCGACAGTATCGGTGCGATGTCGGCAATGAATGCAATAAGACGTTCACTACCCGTAAATGTCTGAAACAGCATCAATTGTCRCACACCCGACCCTACCAGTGCTCGTGGCCGGCCTGTGAGTTCAGATGCGCWAACAATATTACACTCAACGATCATATGAACGGACATCAGGGCATCAAACCATTTAAATGTCATTTTCATGGATGCGATTGCAGTTACAGTAGTAGAGCATCGCTGAGAGTTCATTGGCGTCTAATACATAAATTTATCAAAACATATGAACATAAATCATAAAATTAAATTTAAACAAAAAAAATTAATTTAGTTAATAAAAATTATCATAATTTTTTATTGAATAAATTTTATATGTTTTAAAAACAATTTTTCATATAATTAATTAATATTAGAGAAATAATTTTAATTGAATGATATATTTAAAAAAAATATTAATTAATTAATTAGTATATTAGTTATTAATAACTATCCCAATAGTATTACAGATAATTATAATAATTATTTAATAATTTATAACACATCAAAAAAAAATATTTATTTTATTTAAAACTATTTGTTTATTATTATAAGTTATGAACGCATGCGTGGATCTAATGTTTATATTGTATTGAATAATATTTTCAAATAACTATTTTGATTGCAATTTAAAGTTTAAATATTGCTTATTATTATTACTATTAAATCAATCATATAATAGTAATATTTAAAAACATAATTTTTGAGGATTATTTTTTTAGTTATTGAAATGATGGCAATAAATGTGACAATTAATGATGTATTGGATGAGTTATGTGAAGAAAATCGGAGACTTTTTGCTGAATTAAGATATTGTCAACAATTGTGGGAAATGTTTGATAAATACAGACATTTAGTTAAGAGTTTGAAAACAAATTGTGTTTGTATTGAAAACAATGAATTGAAAATACAATTCAATGAATTAGATGTTCAATATTTGACATTAAAGTCAAAGAAGATAACGATAACATCTAAGGATCAAATTGTTGACAATCATAATAAAGACGATAATAATAGTAACACAAGAGATCAATGCTATAATAATAATATTATTAATAAGGAAAGTGTGGACATATCGGTGGTTAATGAAATGAATAGACCGATCAAAAGAGGTAGAGGTAGACCAAAGAAGTCGATGGTATTATCGTTAACAACAAAACGGAATAAACTGTTGAAATCAAATCAACTAAAGAGTGTTTATAGTTGTGATTACATCGGTTGTGACAAACAGTTCAGATATATGTGTCTACTGAAGACACACATACAGATCAGACACAATACGTCGGAGCGACCGTTCAAATGTGATATCGACGGCTGTGACCAACGTTTCAATCGAAAAGAGCACATTAAACGACATAAGACTAATATACATTGCGATGATCGGCCGTACGGTTGTGAGTGGCCGGGATGTGGCCTACGATTTAAGGATAACACGAGATTGAAGTTACACAATAAACGACATACTCATGGCGGCAGTGGTAGTGGTGTCGATAATTCTAGTGATGATAGAAGTTGTGGTAAATTGAATCCGATTAGTACTGAAAAATCTTTAGCTAAAAAGAAGATAATGCAGAAAATATATAACAAAAATCGTTTGAAAAAGTATTGCTGTAATTGGGAAGGTTGTGGCAAAAGGATCCGCGATAAAGATATGCTTTTGGCACACATACGGGCCAAACATACCGGTGAACGACCGTTCAAATGTCAAATATGCGACAAAACATTTTCAATGGATAGGTATTTAAAGTCACACCACTTAACAGTTCATACCAACAACAGTGACGGACAGTTGGCTACACACAAGTGTCCATACGATGGCTGTACTAAAGAGTATAAATCGCTTCCGTCGTTGAACTATCACATCAATCAACTTCACACAATGTTGGCGACCAAATCGTTTCTATGCGATGCCGACGGTTGCGGCAAAAGTTTTTACCGTAAATATAATCTGGAAACTCATAAAAAGCGCGTCCACTACGATCTGAGGCCTTACCCGTGTGAATGGCCCGGTTGTGACAAACGGTTTAAGGCGCCAACTAGTCTGAGAATACATCGCGAAAGACATAGCGGTGTCCGACAGTACCGGTGCGATGTCGGCGATGATTGCAATAAGTCGTTTACTACCTATAATGGACTGAAACAGCATAAAAGATCGCACACCCGGCCCTACCAGTGCTCGTGGCCGGCCTGTGAGTTCAGATGCGGATCCAGTGTTACACTTGAAGATCATATGAACGGACATCAGGGCATCAAACCATTTAAATGTCATTTTCATGGATGCGATTGCAGTTACAGTAGTAGAGCATCGCTGAGAGTTCATTGGCGTCTAATACATAAATTTATCAAATCATATGAACATAAATCGTAAATTATTTTTTGAAATATAATTATTTTTTAACTAATAAAAAATTTATTATAATCATGATAAATTAAAATGATTTTAATTGATGTAGTTTATTTTATATTTTGAATAAATTATAGATTATTTCAAATTTTATTCAATTCAAATAACTGATTAAAAAAATAATAATACATAACTATATTAGAAATTATATAAAAATTACTTTAAATATTTATTTTTAAAAAATGATAAAATTTTTCAACGCATGCGTGGATTACATGTTTATATCAATAGTAATTTATTTTTTAAATGACAAAATTGTTTAGAAATTTAATTATTTAATTGTATTGAAAATAATGGCAACAAAACTAATGATCAATGATTTGTTGGATGAGTTAAATGAAGAAAATCATAGACTAATTGATGAATTAAGATATTGTCAGCAATTGATTGAATTGTTTGATAAATACAGACATTTAGTAAATAGTTTGCAAACAAATTGTGTTTGTATTGAAAACAATGAATTGAAAACACAATTCAATGAATTAGATGTTCAATATTTGACATTAAAGTCAAAGAAGATAACGACGATATCCGCGGATCAAATTGTTGACAATCATTATAAAGACGATAATAATAGTAAAACAAGATATCAATGCTATAATAATAATACGGAAACTGTGGACACATCGGCGGTTAGTGTAGTAAATGAAGCGATCAAAAGAGGTAGAGATAAACCAAAGAAGTCGATGGTATTATCGTTAACAACAAAACGTAATAAACAATTGAAATCAAATCATCCAAAGGGTGTTTATAGTTGTGATTACACCGGTTGTGACAAACAGTTTAAATATATGTATCTATTGAAGTTACACATACAGATCAAACACAATACGTCGGAGCGACGGTTCAAATGTGATGTCGACGGTTGTGACCAACGTTTCTATCGAAAAGATTATTTAAAGGCACACCACTTAACAGTTCATACCAACAACAGTGATGGACAGTTAGCTACAAACAATTGTCCATACGATGGCTGCGCTAAAGAGTATAAATCGCTTAAGGCGTTAAATAGGCATATCAGTCAACGGCACACACTGTTGGCTACCAAACGGTTTCGATGTGATGTCGACGGTTGCGACTTAGGTTTTTACGACAAGAATAGGATGGAAATACACAAACAGCGCGTCCACTACAATGTGAGGCTCTACCCGTGCGAATGGCCCGGTTGTGACAAACGATTTAAGTCGGCAACTGATTTGAAAGAACATCGCGAAAGACATAGCGGTGTCCGACAGTATCGGTGCGATGTCGGCGATGAATGCAATAAGACGTTCACTACTCGTAAATGTCTGCAACAGCATAAAAGGTCGCACACCCGACCCTACCAGTGCTCGTGGCCGGCCTGTGAGTTCAGATGCGCAAACAATATCAATCTTGAAGATCATATGAACGTACATCAGGGCATCAAACCATTTAAATGTCATTTTCATGGATGCGATAGCAGTTACAGTCGTAGAGCATCGCTTAAAGTTCATTGGCGTTTAATACATAAATTTATCAAAACATTTGATCAGAAATCATAAAATTAATTAATTAATTAATGATATTATTTTATGAAACTATTTTTTTTTTTGTTAACTGTAATATACGTTATATACAACTGTGTGATAAGTGTAATATGTACTACTGTGTATATAAATTATATTAATATTATATAACTATTTCAATAATATTAAATTAAAGTTATATACTTAATAATAATAATAATTTAGTTTTATTTTAGTTTCATTTATTTAATTACTGATCATATGAACGGACATCAGGGCATCGAAACTATTTAAATATTATTTTCATGGATGCGATTGCAGTTACAGTAGTAGAGCATCGCTGAGAGTTCATTGGCGTCTAATACATAAATTTATCAAAACATATGAACATAAATCATAAATTATTTTTTTTAAAGATAATTATTTTTTTTAACTAATAAAAATTTATTAGTATCATCATATGATAAATTAATGATTTATAATTGATATATTTAATTTTATATTTGAACAAAATTATACTTTATTTCTAATTTTTCAATTCAAATAACTGATTTTTTATGAAAAATGATTTCAATTAAATGTTATTTTTTTAAAGAAAATAATAGTAATACATAACTATATTAAAAATTATATAAAAAATTACTTGTATTTAAAAAAAATATATATTATATTTTATTACATCAAATATTTATAATAAAAAAAGATAAAATTTTTGAACGCATGCGTGGATTACATGTTTATATCAATAGTAATGTATTTTAAATGACAAAACTGTTTATTAAAGAAATTTATTTAATTAATTGATTGTAAATAATGGCAACAAATCTGATGATCAATGATGTGTTGGATGAGTTAAATGAAGAAAATCATAGACTATTTGATGAATTAAGATATTGTCAGCAAATTTATAATAATAATATTTGAAAACATAATTTTAAGGATTATTTTTTTATTATTGAAATGATGGCAATAAATGTGACAATTAATGATGTATTGGATGAATTGTGTGAAGAAAATCGTAGACTTTTTGCTGAATTAAGATATTGTCAACAATTGTGGGAAATGTTTGATAAATACAGACATTTAGTGAATAGTTTGCAAACAAATTGTGTTTGTATTGAAAACAATGAATTGAAAACACAATTCAATGAATTGGATGTCAAATACTTGAGACTAAAGTCAAAGAAGATAACGATAACATCTGCGGATCAAATTGTTGACAATCATAATAAAGACGATAATAATAGTAACACAAGAGATAAATGGTATAAAAATAATATTAATAATACGGAAACTTTGGACACATCGGCGGTTAGTGTAGTAAATGAAGCCATCAAAACAGGTAGAGGTAGACCAAAGAAGTCGATGGTATTATCGTTAACAACAAAACGTAATAAACTGTTGAAATCAAATCAACTAAAGAGTGTTTATAGTTGTGATTACATCGGTTGTGACAAACAGTTCAGATATATGTCTCTACTGAAGACACACATACAGATCAAACACAATACTGCGGAGCGACTGTTCAAATGTGATATCGACGGCTGTGACCAACGTTTCAATCGAAAAGAGTACATTAAACGACATAAGACTAATGTACACAACAATGACCGGCCGTACGGGTGTGAGTGGCCGGGATGTGGTCTACGGTTTAAGGATAACACAAGATTGAAGTTACACAATAAGCGACACTCTGGTGGTTGTGATGTCAATAAATCTAGTGATGTTAGAAAATGCCATAAATTGAATCCGATTACTACTGAAGAATCTTTAGCTAAAAAGAAGATAATGCATAAAATATATAACAAAAATCGTGGGAAAAAGTATTGCTGTAATTGGGATGGATGTGGCAAATGGTTTCGCGATAATTACAATTTAGTGAAACACCGTCGGGCCAAACATACCGGTGAACGACCGTTCAAATGTCAACTGTGCGACAAAACATTTGTTATTGAAAATTATGTAAAAGTTCATCAGTTAGCTGTTCATACAAACAACAACAACAGTGATGGACAGTTGGATACACATAAGTGTCCATACAATGGCTGCGCTAAAGAGTATAAATCGGTTAAGTCATTGAATATTCATATCAGTCAACGGCATATACTGTTGGCTACCAAACGGTTTCGATGCGATGTCGACGGTTGCGACAAAGGTTTTTACTACAAGAATAGGATGGAATTACACAAACAGCGCGTCCACTACGATCTGAGGCCCTACCCGTGCGAATGGCCCGGTTGTGACAAACGATTTAAGTCATCAAATGAATTGCGTGTACATCGCGAAAGACATAGCGGTGTCCGGCAGTACCGGTGCGATGTCGGCGATTGTAATAAGTCGTACACTACTCATAAATGTCTGCAACAGCATAAAAGATCGCACACCCGACCCTACCAGTGCTCGTGGCCGGCCTGTGAGTTCAGATGCGGATCCAGTGTTACACTTGAATATCATATGAACGGACATCAGGGCATCAAACCATTTAAATGTCATTTTCATGGATGCGATTGCAGTTACAGTAGTAGAGCATCGCTGAGAGTTCATTGGCGACTAATACATAAATTTATCAAATCATATGAACATAAATCATAAATTATTTTTTAAAGATTTATTTTTTAACTAATAAAAATTTATTATTATCATCATATATGATAAATTAATGATTTATAATAGATGTAGTTAATTTTATATTTTAATAAATTATACTTTATTTCAAATTTTTCAATTCAATTTTTTATGAAATTTTTAAATAATACATAACTACATATTAAAAATTATTTAAAAATTACTTGTATTTTAAAAAATATATTTTATTACATCAAATATTTATTAAAAAAAAGATAAAATTATGAACGCATGCGTGGATTACATGTTTATATCAATAGTAATGTATTTTAAATGACAAAACTGTTTATTAAAGAAATTTATTTAATTAATTGATTGTAAATAATGGCAACAAATGTGACAATTAATGATGTGTTGGATGAGTTAAATGAAGAAAATCATAGACTATTTGATGAATTAAGATATTGTCAGCAATTGTGGGAAATGTTTGATAAATACAGACATTTAGTTAAGAGTTTGCAAACAAATTGTGTTTGTATTGAAAACAATGAATTGAAAACACAATTCAATGAATTAGATGTTCAATATTTGACACTAAAGACAATGAAGATAACGACGATATCTGCGGATCAAATTGTTGACAATCATAATAATGACGATAATAATAGTAACACAAGAGATCAATGCTATAATAATAATATTATTAATAAGGAAAGTGTGGACATATCGGTGGTTAATGAAATGAATAGACCGATCAAAAGAGGTAGAGGTAGACCAAAGAAGTCGATGGTATTATCGTTAACAACAAAACAGAATAAACTGTTGAAAAAATCTAATCATCTAAAGAGTGTTTATAGTTGTGATTATACCGGTTGTGACAAACAGTTCAGATATATGAGTCTACTGAAGACACACATACAGATCAAACACAATACGGCGGAGGGACTGTTCAAATGTGATATCAACGGCTGTGACCAACGTTTCTATCGAAAAGAGTACATTAAACGACATAAGACTAATGTACACAACGATGACCGGCCTTACGGTTGTGAGTGGCCGGGATGTGGCCTACGATTTAAGGATAACTCGAGATTGAAGTTACACAATAAACGACATACTGCTGGTTGTGGTGCCAATAAATCTAGTGATGATAGAAATTGTCATAAATTGAATCCGATTACTTCTGAAGAATCTGTAGCTAAAATGAAGATATATAAGCAAATATATAACAAAAATCGTGTGAAAAAGTATTGCTGTAATTGGGAAGGTTGTGGCAAACGGATCCGCGATAAAGATATGCTTTTAGCACACATACGGGTCAAACATACCGGTGAACGACCGTTCAAATGTCAAATATGCGACAAAACATTTCCAATGGATAAGCATTTAAAGTCACACCACTTAACAGTTCATACCAACAACAGTGATGGACAGTTAGCTACACACAAGTGTCCATACGATGGCTGCGCTAAAGAGTATAAGTCGGTTAAGTCATTGGATATTCATATCAGTCAACGGCACACACTGTTGGCTACCAAACGGTTTCGATGCGATGTCGACGGTTGCGACAAATGTTTTTACGACAAGAATCAGATGAAAAAACACAAACAGCGCGTCCACTACGATCTGAGGCCCTACCCGTGCGAATGGCCCGGTTGTGACAAACGATTTAAGTCGCCAACTGAGTTGAAAATACATCGCGAAAGACATAGCGGTGTCCGGCAATATCGGTGCGATGTCGGCGATTGTAATAAGACTTACGCTACTCGCAAATGTCTGCAACAGCATAAAAGGTCGCACACCCGACCCTACCAGTGCTCGTGGCCGTCCTGTGAGTTCAGATGCGCAAACAATATCAATCTTGAAGATCATATGAACGGACATCAGGGCATCAAACCATTTAAATGTCATTTTCATGGATGCGATTGCAGTTACAGTAGTAGAGCATCGCTTAGAGTTCATTGGCGACTAACACATAAATTTATCAAAACATATGATCAGAAATCATAAAATTAATTAATTAATCAATGATAAGATTATATGAAATAAATACTATTTTATGAAAATAATAAATATTTTTTTTTAAAACTATTTTTTTTGTTTTGTTTATTGTAATATACGGTATATACTACTGTGTGTATAAATTATATTATTTATCTATTTCAATAATATTAAATTAAAGTTAGGTAAACTTAGTAATAATAATAATTGAGTTTAATTTTATTTTAGTTTTATTTATTTAATTATTGATATCATTTGAACGGACATCAGGGCATCGAAACTATTTAAATGTCATTTTCATGGATGCGATTGCAGTTACAGTAGTATAACATTGCTTAGAGCTCATTGGCGTCAAACACATGAAATTTATTTAATCATTTGATTAAAAATCATAAAATAAAATTAATTACAATAATTAATTTTATATGATATATAAAATAATTTTTTAAAATTATTTTTTTTATATAATATCATATATATTGTATTTCAATAATATTAAACTAAAGTTATATTAATACTGTATAACTCTGTAATAATCAATTTGTTTTATTAAAGTTTTAATTAATCTATTAATTTGTTTCAATTCATTCAAATAAAAATTGAATAATAATTTATACATTTTATATTTTATTATATACAGTGAACATTTTTGGAATCAACTCGGCATAAAAAATAATAATTCCTTTCAAATACAATGTTTTATAATATTTGTTGTTAAATAGAAATAAATATGATAACGTAGTTTAAGAGTGACCTAATAAGAATACACTATTAATGCTATGCACACACTTAGACCGTAAAGACCTATAATGAATGGAATGATTGTCAAACTATTTGTATTTTGTTTAATAACATTTGTTGTCATAGTAACACAAAATATATATATAATTCATATTAAAAAGCCCCGAGTCTTCGCTAGATCATAAGGACTGTATTTTTAAAATTTATTAACGCATGCGTGAATCACATGTTTATTTTTTAAGGGCTTTTATACATTTACAACACTAAATGTTTAATTCAGATAAAATGTTACCCGAAAAAAATTGCAACAAATATTTATAAATCATATCAACTATTTATTGGGTTATTTTTTAAAAGTTAATTTAAAATCTAGTTTTAATATAAATTATTATTATTAATATGTTAAATTATCAATTAAATTAATTACAGTAGATGTGTGACCCCCCCCCCACTACTGGRCGGTTACTAACCAATCAATAGTGAAATATAAAAGATTAATTAAATCTAATTGAATGATAAACCTATAATAAAGTGTTAACTGTTAAACAAACTATTAACTATAAAATTTAAATTAATTTAATAACAATTTAGTATTAGTTAAATAGATTTCTAAATGATTTATTTGTTTCAGTGTAACGTTGTATCTGAATAGGCATTTAAGGGGGTGTTTATAATGTAGAATAGCCCAAACACTTGGTATTTATTATTATTAACTGTAATATTGTTTTGTTTTTTGATTGAAATTATTGTATAGTTTTTATTGTTGTTTGCGATAACAATTTGAAGACACAATCGGATTAACTGATTGTTTGATTGATTGAAATGATGGCAAATGTGGTGATTAAGGATGTGTTTGAAGAGTTGACTGAAGAAAATCGGAGACTATTGTCTGAATTAAGATATTGTCAGCAAATGTTGGAAATGTTTGTTAAATACAGACATTTAATGAATAATTTTCAAACAAATTGTTTTTGTATTGAAAACAATACAAATAAAATCAAATACAATAAACTCGAAGATCAGTACATGATATTAATGAATGATAATAAATGTGATGATAATAGTTGTTATAACAATCAAAACAATGGCAACAAATCTAATGATAATTATACGGAAACTGTGGTAACATTAGTGGATAGTTTGATGAATAATAAATCTATTGAAACAACAACAAGAAGAACGAAGATATTACCGAAGAAAATGGTTTATAAATGTCATTATATGGGTTGTGACAAACAGTTTGGTTACAATAGTTTACTTCAGTCACACATTAGGATCAAACACTGTATGGATGATAAACAGGACATCAAAGTTATTGATATTAATGAAAACAACAACAACATTAGGATCAGACCCGACGGCCAAACACTTGATGAAGATATAGTGATAGTTAATGAAAGTACAAACAAACGATTGCCAATACCTGTTCGTCGGAAAAGAGTTCGCTCGAAGAACTATTGGTGTGATTGGATTGGATGTGATAAACGATTTTGTTATAGTTATCTACTGTTAGCTCACATACGGACCAAACATACCGATGAACGGCCGATCAAATGTGACGAATGCGACAAAACATTTCCAACCGATTTCTGTCAAAGAGTTCACAAAAAGAAATGTCACCGAAATCTGAAATTTAAATGTCGTTACAATGGCTGCGATAAAGAATATAAATCTCGCGCTTCACTCGATGACCATCATCTGCGTCACGAAGGCTTATTACAGAAGACATTCAGATGCGATGTCGACGGTTGCGATAAATGTTTTTATACTAATTATTTACTTCAAACACACAAACGTACGATACATTCGGTCGACAGGCCTAACCAGTGCGACACTTCAGTTGACTTAAGGATCAAACACGACGGCCAAACACTAGATGAAGATATAATGACAGTAAATGACAGTAAAGAAAGTGTGGTAAAAATGAAACGAATCCATAAACCTGATCGTCGGAGAAGAGTTCGCTCGAAGAACTATTTGTGTGATTGGATGGGATGTGATAAACGATTTTGCTATAGTTATGAACTCTTGGCCCACACTCGGACCAAACATACCGGTGAACGACCCCTGAAGTGTCAAATGTGTGACAAAAGATTTGCAACGGAAAGGTGTGTAAAGAAACACCAGTCAAACGTTCATTCAATCAAAACGAGCAAAAATAACGACAACAACAGTGACGGACAACAGTTGCCGCCGACACACAAGTGTCCGTACGATGGCTGTACTAAAGAGTATCAATTGGTTCAGTCGTTGGGTTCTCATATTAGACAAGTGCACAAAAAATCGTCGACCAAATCGTTTCGATGCGATGCCGACGGTTGCGACAAATATTTTTACAATAAAATTCTTATGGAATCACATAAACAGCGCATACATTACGATGTGAGGCCCTACCCGTGCGAATGGCCCGGTTGTGACAAACAATTTAAGTCGACGGGCGAACTGAAAATACATCGCCAAAGACATAGCGGTGTCCGACAGTATCGGTGCGATTATGGCGAATGCAATAAGTCGTTCACAACGCAAAAAGGTCTGCTACAGCATAAAAATGGACACACCCTACCCTACCTGTGCTCGTGGCCGGCCTGCGAGTTCAGATGCGCATCCAATGTTGTACTCAGCGATCATCTGAACGGACATCAGGGCATCAAACCATTTAAATGTCATTTTCATGGATGCGATTGCAGTTACAGTAGTAGATCATCACTTAGAGCTCATTGGCGTCAAACACATAAATTTATTAAATCATTTGATCGGAAATCATAAAATTAATTAATTATAATATTGTATGAAATAAATACTATTTTATGAAAAAAATATTTAAAAAAAAACTATTATTTTGTTTGCTTACTGTAATACTGCTATATATATAAATTATATTATATAACTATTTCAATAATATTAAATTAAATTTATATACTTAATAATAATAATAATTTAGTTTTATTTTATTTTAGTTTCATTTATTTAATTATTAATTTATTTAATATTTGATTTATTGAATAATTATTTCATAGTATTATTTCAAAGTTATTTTTATCGCATGCGTGGATCACATGTTTATATTAGTATTTAATTTATTATTAACTATATTTTGAATGACATTTGATTATAGTTTTTAAACTTATGTTTTGTTTGTATTGAAAATTGAAATTATTGTAAAGTTTTTGTTGTAGTTGTTGTAGTGATAATAATTTGATGACTTAATCGGATTAATTGATTGAAATGATGGCAAATATAGTGATTAAGGATGTGTTGGATGAATTAAATGAAGAAAATCAGAGACTTTTTGATGAACTAAGATATTGTCAGCAATTGATGGAAATGTTTGATAAATACAGACATTTAGTAAATAGTTTGCAAACAAATTGTGTTTGTATTGAAAACAATGAATTGAAAACACAATTCAATGAAATGGATGTCAAATACATTGAACTCAAGACTAGATATACAACTGATCACAGAATGAATGTCCAGAAACTTTCTGACGACAAATCTAGTGATCAATTGATAGACAGACCACGGATTAAGAGACAGTATATTAAACGTAAAATTAAGACAACAAGTGATACATTAGTGAAGTCACAGATTAGGAAAAAATATAATAAACAGAAAAATTTGAAAACAATTAATCAGAAAATAGACGACAACTGTTGTGATGATAGAGTGGGCGATAAAATCACAGATAAACCAATCAATGATAATGACTGTGATATTGTGGTCAACAAAACAAGTAGTAGTAGTAGTAGTAGTAGTAGTCCTGTAATGAAGTATCGGTGCCATTGGGAGGGATGCGGCAAATGTTTATACGATAGACAAAAACTGGTCGCACATATACGGGTCAAACATACCGGCGAAAGGCCGTACAGGTGTGACAAATGCGACAAAACATATCCAATGAAAGGAAATCTAACGGTTCACCAGAAAGAAGTTCATCAGACAACAACAACAACAACAACAGCAGTGATGTGTCGTTGTCGACGACCAAACAACACAACTGTCCATACGATGGCTGTACTAAAGTCTATTGTTTTCGTACATCACTTATAGAACATATCAAACGATATCATAAAAATCCGTTGAATACAACAGTAATAAACAATAAATTTAAATGTGATGTCGACGGCTGTGATAAAAGTTTTTACTATAAAAGTGTGTTTGAAAATCATAAAAAGTTTGTCCATTTAGATGTGCGGCCGTTTCCGTGTGAATGGCCCGGTTGTGACAAACGATTTAAGTCGACAACTGATTTGAAAGCACATCGCGAAAGACATACAGGTGTCCGACAGTATCGGTGCGATGTCGGCGGCGATGACTGTACAAAGTCGTACACTACGTATAAAGGTTTGGCACAGCATAAAAGGTCGCACACCCGACCCTACCAGTGCTCGTGGCCGGCCTGTCAGTTCAAATGCATATCCAATGCTACACTCAATGATCATTTGAGACGACATCAGGGCATCAAACCATTTAAATGTCATTTTCATGGATGCGATTGCAGTTACAGTAGTAGAGCATCACTTAGGGCTCATTGGCGTCAAACACATAAATTTATTAAATCATTTCATCAAAAATCATAATAAAAAAATTAATTTATTATAAAACATTTATTTAGATTATTATAATTTATAAGTGAATAAATTAAACTAAAATTTGTTAACTTTTTTTAAAAAAATATATTATAAAAATAATAAATTTATAAAATGTTTTGTATATTTGAATGACATTTACGGTAATTATAGTATAGAAAAACAAAAGTTTGTAATAATGATATAAGTTTTTTTGTGTTAATAATTAATCGATTGATTGAAATGTGATGTCTTCAAAATGTAGTGATTATAAGATTATGGATTTTTTTTTGAAGAGAAAACTATGATTTATTGTGATTTAATTAATAATAGGTTTCCATTTTGAATACCGTTCTACTATTCATCATCTTCTAGTTAACCTAACCTAACCTAACCTAACAGTTATCAGATCCGGGAGAAGATAAGATAATATTTGTCCTTCAAATTAATAAGCAGCAGAAGTGGGACAAAACAACTCATTTACATATATTTATTATTTAGATAAACAACACGACAAATAAAGTGAAAGTTTCGAGTCATTTCGATATATAACAAGAGTTTTAACTGGAAATTAATGCGTAGATCTCTATTCCTTTATGGATGGAAGAAGCGGTGGTCACTGGGAAAAATGAGACTGGGAATATATCGGTTTTTATTTGAATTTTGGCTAAAAAGAAGCAAAACAACTCTATGGCAACAAACAACGAATGCCTTATCGATATCTTCTCCAACGATTTCTTTGTGTTAAGTATAAGTCCCTCTAAAAGCGTGTGTATTCGAACATCTTCTTTTCTTTGTCCAGACAATGATCCATCATTTGTTTTATAACATTGTAATCTTTGGGTATCCAGTGTTGGTTAGGTTTTTTCTTCATACCTTTGGATGATGTTCCTGTAGTACTTTGTCTGTCCAAAAAATACTCCGAGAATTGTTATATCATTCATTGATGGTATCGACACCGGTATTATACATTCAACACGCGTAGTTATTTGGCACACGCAACAATAGTTAGTTAGAAAACGCGGTCGACGGATGGACAACAGATTGTTCGAATTGGCTCCGAATCGGCGTTTCTTAAGATTGGATCAGCTATCGCATTAACCTATCTCCAAGTCTAAGAGGACCCCATCGGTTGATTCTAATTCCGACGCCGATTATCTAAAATATTGAAACGGCCGTCGAATGGTCGGACAAAAGCCGAATCGGGCGTACCGCCGGTCCTGGCCGGTGGACAGTGTGTTGCTAGGAGACACTACGCAGCTTAATTGGCAGACAGTGCTGTGCTTTGTGTTTGCCGCCAACGGTTCGGTAGTGAGCTGAACAGTTGTAAAATTTTTGAACTATAAATAAAATGTTTTTCGCTTAACATGTGTTTTTAATATTTACTTTTACTACCGATTACCTGATTATTGCGTTGACCATCGATTGACAGTCGATAGTCTATTCAATATATATATAGTAATATATAGTAATATATAGTAATATATAATAATATATAGTAATATATAGTAATATATAGTAATATATAATAATATATAGTAATATATAGTGATATATAGTAATATATAGTAATATATAGTAATATATAGTAATATATAGTAATATATAATAATATATAGTAATATATAGTAATATATAGTAATATATAGTAATATATAGTAATATATAGTAATATATAGTAATATATAGTAATATATAGTAATATATAGTAATATATAGTAATATATAGTAATATATAGTAATAATATACTAATATTCCTTTATTTGTTTTAAAGCATCTCTTAAGATGTCATAAAAAAGACATGAAAGCCCTGAATGTCGATTGTGACGAAATACCAAAGATGGCAAAGTTGGTGTACAAGTGCTGAGATAACATTGAGTCAATTTATTTGTTATACTTTTTTTATTTATTGTTACTTTATATCTTTTATTATATTTTTTGTAGTAATATAAAAGATTATAATATAAAAATCTAAAGTACAAAGTTAATAATTTAGTACCTTAATATTTAGTTTTTAAATTATCTTTGTACATTATATAAAGGGGGTAGAATTCCTACCCACTACCATCCTTTAATAACTTTTATATATATATCATCCCACCGCTAATTTTTTTAATATTTAATATAATATTGCATGATGAAGTTTAAACAAATAATGTTAAATAAGCAGATTCAAGATGATTCAAATAAAGTCAACACACCTTTTGACCAACATATCAATGGCTTTCAGTATATAACTGTTGGTTGTGGTAATATCGGTGACGGTGGTGTTTGTGGTTGTAGTTTTTGCTAATATCCCGGACTCTAGTATACGACTTGGCGGCAAACAGCCACAATGGTGACCGACACAGGAATCGATACCATAATATTGCCGATTTTGTTAAAGTGTTATCATCTAATTTGTTGTCGCTATATAAAAGATTTGTTTACTTTTCAATTGATCGTTTGAACCAAACAGGTCCAGTTCCTGTGACAATCAAATCGGCTGTATATCTTGACACATTTTCAACAAACTTGACAACAGCGGTCACTTCGACGTTTATAAACGGGTTTCCTATTATATATTTGTGATTATCATATGTTTGCTGAACGGTCTGAACAATGGTCTTCGTGTTCAATTGGCTAACAATTTGCTGACCAGTCAATAGACTAATTCTATTGGCTGAAAATGTCCCCAAAAAATTTGTACGAGAAACCAATTTTGACGGAATAATCACTTCGTTTATATTTTTAATGATTTTCGAACTGTTCGAAGTCCTTAACTCAACATTTCATGACTTTACAATGAAAACTACACCAGTATTTATACCTCCTTACAACTCTATGTTTGCACTACTCATTGTTGGTATGGTGTGCACACGGGTTATCTACTACAGTATTAAGGTCACTACTTATTTTATTAATTTTTTTATTTAAAAAGTATTATTCCCATATATATATAGCCGTATTCCCTATTTAGTATTATTTTAATGAAAAGTAGTGTTTTTTGGACGGTATAATTATCCGGTTTCCTTTCTAAGTATAAATTTATTTTTTTCGAGACGGTACTCCTGCTTTCTTCTGCAGAGCTAAAAGAGGAAATCCCGTTCCCCACTCTACTATTAGTTTTATTAATGTCGGTGGTTATCAATCGATGGCGTCACCGGCAATATAATAAATATCTTTGCCTGACTGTATTCATTGCAATAACAATAATAATAATTATTATAACAACAATAGTATTAATAATAATCATAAAAATAAATCGGTAATAGTATTAATTAGTTTACTATATAGTATTTTATCCAATTGTATTAACAAGTATTAACTACCACAATATTGATCCAATAGTATTAATCACTATAGTATTACACTACAAAACATTGCACTTAAATATATAAAAATAATTGTATAACAGTATTACCTAATAGTAATATAACAATAATATAATATTATATTGTTCAGTATATACAAAATATACAACAAAACAGTGTTACTCACTAATTAACAATTACAGTATTACTACTAAACAAACATTTGTATCATTTTAAATATTAATCTATTTAATTGTTGATCATGATACAACAATATAGTATTATTACACTATTATTTAAAATCACAATCAGTATTACTATTACAGTATTATACAATTTTTAAGTGTATTATTTGTGACACTAATTAGTATTACATCTATTTAATAATAGCCAATCACGTAATTAATATTAATTATTAAAGAATAGTATTATATTATTTTCCAAACAATAGTATTATTAAAAAAACAAAAAAATAACAGTATTACTTTTAGAATTATTTTAAAAAATATATTAAAATGCCGTACAGTGTTATCAGTATTATTTTAATTAAAAATTATATTAATAATAATTTGCATAGTAAGCAACACTGATAACAGTTGTCAAAAACTTATATCAGTTGTTGCATATATTAGTTAATATATAAAATATAAAATTCAAATATATGTAAATAAAATTGTAATATTTAATGATTATATTGCAATATTAAGTAAAGCACTACGAGGTGGTTCAGCCAATCATCACATGTGTGGTATCAATATATATGTAGTAATGACATCACATATATGATTAGTGCATACAAGCATACAGTATATATTAATGCATTGACTTTTTAATACACAGTATACTATATAGTGTTGCCAAAATACTTTAGACAACTTTTTATAAAACAATTAATTTAGTATACTATATATAAGAATATATATTATGCGCAAGTCATTAAATATAAATAAATATATATAATAGATTTATAATTAATATAAATTTAAGTTAGTTATAAAATTTATAATTTTATTGGTAAGTTATTATTGGAGTGGCAATCAAACAATTAATTTAATCTATAATATATTAGTGTAAGTAATATAATGATATATAATAAATAAATATAAAATTTCATTATTAACTGAATAGTTAATTAAAGCTCAATATCTTAATTATTATAAATTTTATTTAGATCATAAATTATTAATTGTTAATAATAATGTTAATTTTACTGATAATAATGATACTAATAAAATATATTATAATAATGATTTGTGTCCGATGGAATATAAAATTGATTTTATATATAAAGGAATTGWATAAATGTATTCTAATTATAATATCTTATTAAAATTATAATATTTTATTGAAATAATATAATAAATGTATATTAAAATAGTTATAAATTAAATTTTGTTGAATATATAAATTTTATTTAAAATTTAATAAATATTTCACATTTATTTACTATATTTATATATTATTCTATTTTTATAAATAAATAAGTTTATTAAATATTCAGTACTTACTATTTTTTATCTGGCCACTCTAKTTACGTTATATACTACAACATCATTTTACCACATGTGTGGTCTCTTTAAAAAAAAACCCTATGTCCAATTGAGTGGTTAAAAACGGTAATATTTTTTTTAAAAAAATAAATCAGAATTATTAAAATAATAAACTATTCATATGTGCTGTTGTTATGACAACAACTAACAAAAATAACTCAATGTTTGTTTATTTGGTTTTTAAATGACAACACAATAATTGTTTTGTTTGTTTCAAATTGTTTATTGAAATTAAGTTTTAAATTTTTTTTTAATGTTTTGTGGATCTAATTGTTGTGATTAAACTTAATTTCATTGAAAATGATGGCAATTGTGATGATTAAGGATTTAGTGGATGAGTTGACTGATGAAAATCAAAGACTTTTCCAWGAATTAAGATATTGTCAGCAATTGATTGAATTGTTTGATAAATACAGACATTTAGTGAATAGTTTGCAAACAAATTGTGTTTGTATTGAAAACAATGAATTGAAAACACAATTCAATGAATTGGATGTCCAATACTCGAGACTTAAGACACAACAGAAACAGAAAAATCAATCGATAAAAATCAAACTCAAGAAGAAGTCAGCGAAGATTGAAGACATTGATTATATTAAATGCAATAATAATAATAATAATAATAACTTCAATGATAGCTATGTTGACAACACATCATCTGTGGACACATCAACTGATACTTTGCTTAAGAAGAATATGAAGAAGAAGAATAAGATACAGATTTATAATAAAATTGATTTTACAAAACAACTGACGGAAACACTGTCCACAAGTATTGTCCAACACTTGGACTCTTCAGCTGTTGTCAAACAACTACAACATAATAATAATAATTATACAGAAATTATAGACAGAAATTCATGTCTAGCGAGTAGTTGTCGTCAAATAACTGATCCCTTAGAAGAAGATGACATAACTGTTAACAAACCGCTGAAGAAGATGAAGATAAAGAAGAAGAAGCGATTAGTTGTTGTATGCGATTGGGAAGGATGTGGCAAACAGTGTACAGATAGCCAGTCATTGACAGCCCATATACGGGTAAATCATACAAACGAACGGCCATACAGTTGTCCGGAGTGTCCGAAATCGTTTGCCATCCGTCAGTATCTGGAAAATCATAAACTCAATGTACACACCAATCAAACGGCTCATCATAAATGTCCGTACGATGGCTGTCCCGGTCGGTACAAAAAACGTGAATCATTGCGTTGGCATATCAAACGCCGACACGAAAACCCGGATTCATTGCGTTGCGATATTCATGGATGTGGTAAACAATTTTCAACTGTCTATGTATTRCAACGACACAAACAGTGCGCCCATACGGACGACAGGCCCTATCCGTGCGAATGGCCCGGTTGTGACAAACGATTCAAAAAACTACAAATACTTCGCGTACATCAGCAAAGTCATACCGGCGAACGTATCTACCGGTGCGATGTCCAGGGCTGCCATAAGTCATACTTTACCTATCGGGTACTATTGCATCATCGTAACGCACATACCCGACCGTATCAGTGTTCGTGGCCGGCCTGCGACTATCGGTGCGCATCTAATATTGCACTCAAAGAGCATATGAATGCCCATCAGGGTCTCAGGCCCTATGAATGCCATTTTCCTGACTGCGATCACCGTTACTGTAATAGTCAGGCGCTGCGAAAACATTTGAAAAAGACACACAAATATATGAAAACTTACCATGATAAAACATAGATTCATTTAATTAGTTAAATATATTATATTAAAATTATACTAAAATTTAGTTGATTATTACTGTAATAATTATTATTGTTATTACCATAATATAAATTATATTACAAACAACTATTAATATAATAATAATAGTTAACTGTGTATATAATAAGTTATTTTATTTGTTATTTTTAAAATTATTATTATTTTTCAATTAGTATATAAACTTAAATATTGTTATTTATTAGTGTTTTTCGTTGTTGTTRTTAATGTAATTATTAATGTTTATTAATAAGGTATAAACTCATTGTAAAAAAATATAATTTTTAAAATATAAATTAATTAAAAATTACACAATCTATGAAATACTGTATATATAATTTATTTTACATGTAATTTTCATTAATAAATCTCTTAATTATATATTATTATTATAATTTAAATTATAAAATTAATAGTTATTAAAAAAATATTTATAATTTTATTGTTTTTGTTGTTTGTTTAAATGTATTTATATAAACGCATATGATATATTATTATTAATAAAATATATATATTATTTATTACAATTGAAATAAAATTACCGGTAATTGTTTAACATTTAATATAATAATAATTTAAAAACTAAAAAAATTATATTAACATAACATTAATAGCATTTTTGAAAATCATGTTTACTGTAGTTATGACAACACATATGTTTTTATTATTATTATTATTATTATTATTAATATATGATATTTGATATTATGTTGTGTTTTAGTAAACAGTGAATGAATGGCAATAATAATAATAATAATAATATTATTATTATTAAGTGATTAACTATAAAAATATCCACAAAAATAATATATTAACAAAAAAAATGAAACCAAAAGTAGTGATTAAGGATGTGTTGGATGAGTTAAGTGATGAAAATCAAAGACTATTTGATGAATTGAAATATTGTCAACAATTGTCGGAAATGTTTGATAAATACAGACAATTGTTAAGCATTTTTCATCAGAAATGTTGTTGTATTGAAAACAATGAAAACAAACAACAATTAAATGAATTGGAAGTGAATTATATGTTACTGAAGAACAATAGGTCGTCGTCGTCGCCGAAGTTATCGGCGAAAGACATGACAACAATAAGTCAGGACAACAACAACAAACTGTTGACAAATCGGCGGCAAAGAGTCAAGAAATCGGCGGTTAGATCACGACGTGTTAAAARACATGTTGTCGACGATGACAACGAAGACACTATTAATGATACCACCGATGATGACAACAACAACACTGATATGATTGGCGATGAAGTATCGGACAACACAACACAACAACAACCAATGATAGCAAACATACCGACGAATATACCGCTTATGGCCGCAAAAAAAACTTCATTTGCGATTATAATGGTTGCGGCAAACGGTTCCGACAGCGAGACTATCTGTTGCAACACTTGCGTATCAAACATACCAATGAACGGCCGTTTGTTTGCCAGGATTGTGACAAACGATTTCCGACCGGCCAGACCTTGAAAACGCACGTAACGATTAGACATCCGTCGGACACAGAGTTTCGGTGTCCGATCATCGGGTGTTCATTTAGGACACGAGTTTTGCAGCGACTATACGAACACAATCAGTGGCACAAACGAAAATCTGGTGCCAAACGGTTACGAAAGACAGAGAACAAGAATAAGTTGACCACAAATAATACAAATACAACTAATAATAAGTATTCGTGCGATTGGATCGGCTGTGGAAAGTCATTCTCCCAGAGAGGAAATCTCGAGACACATATACGCAGCCAACACACCAAAGAGATGCCGTTTGTGTGCGACGATTGCGACAAAATGTTTACCAGTCAGGCCTATCTGAAGATTCATTCAGCGGTACATTCGGATGAATTGAAATTTGTTTGCAAACATGTCGGCTGCGAATACAAGTCACGTACGGCTCAGGCATTGTTCAGACACCAGTTTACCCATCGACCCAAACGACCGGAACGATTGAAAATAGTACACAAACGTAACTTTGTGTGCGATACGGATGGCTGTACTCTTAGGTTTCAGGATCGGGAAAAACGTTTGGCACACATACGTAACAGACATACCAACGAAAGGCCATTCAAATGCGATGAATGTTCGGCAACGTTTGCCATCGATCGCTATCTGGATGGACACAAACGTAAGATGCATACCAATGCACCGGTATTGAAGTGTCGACACGATGGCTGTACGTACGAAACTCGGGTCAAAGATCGACTCGACTATCATCATCTGAGACACGACGGCATCAGACAATTTGAATGTCAATTAGACGGATGCGGTAAACGATTTTTCGATCAAAAGACACTCAATGTCCATATGAAATGTCATTCGGATGAGCGTCCGTTTCCGTGCAATTGGCCCGGTTGTGACAAACGATTTCGCAATAATCAACAATTGAAAGTACATTTGGAACGACATTCGGGTGTCCGATCCTATCGGTGTTCACTACCCGGCTGTGACAAGTCGTATACTACGCAAAAAGGACTGGAACAACATAGCCGATCGCATACCATGCCCTACCAGTGTACGTGGCCGGCCTGTGAGGCCAGGTTTCAGAATAGTACTAAACTCAAGGATCATATGAACGGACATCAGGGTATCAAACCATTTAATTGTCATTTTCAGGGATGCGATGTCAGCTATAGTAGTAAAGATTCGTTGAGAATGCATTGGAGACAAACACATAAATATATTAAAACTTACCATGATAAAACATAGATAAATAGATAGATAATATAGTATAATGTATAAAAAATACTTATATAAAATTTTTTTTTACGGTAAATGATATTTTTTATGATATACGGTAATTATAATTTTTGTTTTGTTTTTTGTTTCAAAAAAGTCTATTATTAGAATTATTAGAAAACAATCATAATATCATAAATTTAATATATATTTCAATAATTAAAAATATTTTTTTTTTAAGTAGAAATACTAATAAATATTAATAAATAACTTATTTTTTTTAGTTAACTATCGTTTGCTTTCTTCTTCTTGATCTCCTCATCGCATGTCTTCAGTTTTGTCTTAAGAAAAAAATATTGAAATACAAGAGAAAGAGAGAGAGAGATTTGATATATTGAATACAATACTTACAGAAAATGAGATAATAAATCATTAATACCTGTAATCCTTGCCAAACACCACCACTACTCCATGGCTGAGAGTCGATGGCCTTATTTATCGGTATATGTTTGCGTAGACAGCCATCGATACCAAGTTGACAGCCTTTGGATAGTCGCCAATGAAAACACTCGTCGCTTGTCGTCTCGACAATTGTTTTTGCCATTTCCATCGACAGCTGTTCTTTGTTCTTCATCTGAGACCAACTCAATGCAAATCTTATTTTCAACGGCATTGTCGTATCCCTTAAACAATTCAGATAACGATATTGTTGTTCATTCACTACTAGATCAACGATGGCATCAATTGGCGACTGACTGTTGTCGTAGCTGACAAACAGTATGTTTTTATCGATAACCCTATAGATTGCCGCTAAGTATCCATATTTTCTGAAAATCTGTTTGAATTTATCCATTGAAACCACTGTTGAAATGTTACAAATCCAGAGTCCATTATAACCCATCAGATTGGTTGGCCTTTGACTAGTGGTCATCATCGGCGGTGATTGCGGCGACTGCGGTATAATGACTGTCGTATTATTATTATTTTGATGATTGTTCAACACTTTGGTCACTTCGTCRACCAATYGTTGCATCTGTTGAACCAATAGATGATTTTCTTGACGCACATCTTCTACTACTTTAGTCATCGCCACCGACGATGAAGAAGACGACGGCGTCTGTTGTTTGTTGTCACCATCAGTTAGCCGGCGCTGATGATTGTCATTGTTGTTGTTGTTGTTGTCGTCGTCGACGACGTCCAATGAGTCTAACTTCTCAATCAAAGTCGCCTTTTCTTTCTTYAGTTCTTCATTTTCATCCGTCAACTGTTTGTTTCTAACTCTTAATCCATTGATTAGTCGTTTCAATTCCATGACATACGTTCCGAATCCGTTTAATATATCTTCGCAAACTTTATCTTCATCGGTCATCATCATCGACATCGTCATCATCAGCATCGATGGTATACTACAAAAAAATCTGATGCAAAATAGTATAGGATATATACAGACACTGTGTGTGCGTGTGATTTGACCGCAAACTAAAAAAAAAAAAAAAGTTTTTAATAACAATGGGATCAACTTATAGGTGATGTATGTGTGGATATAAAACTTTTTTTGTTGATGTATTGTTGCTGTWGTGATCACATGTGTTCAATGTGTTTAATAAATAATCAATAAATATATATATAAATAAATTTATATACAGTATATTATAAATTATAACTATTAGAAAACTATATAATTTATAATCCCATCAAATAATTATTTAATCCCTCAACAAAAAAATGCATTGTTTTAGTGTTAGACAAACACATGTTAAACATATATAACTGATTATTATTTTATCAGTCAAATACAATATACCAGTAGTTGTATGTGTAGTTCACTGATAAAAAATTTTCTATAATAAGCGTATTATTATTGATAATAATATGCATAAAAAAATAATTTKCAATGCATTAGTTAWTTGAATAATTTAACTATCAATATATAATTTTTATTTAGTAGTAGTTTCGTATGATATCTAAAATAAAACTGTAAACTATATATAAAAATTTTTTTTTAAAAGTTAAAAATCAAAATTTTATCTATAAATATCTTAAATATATATATCGAGAAAGTCGATAAATTTAATTAAGTTAAAAATATTTATTAATAATTTTTAAAAATTAATATTATTAAGTAAAATAAAACTATTTAAAAAAATGTAAAACAAATTATATATTTAATACTGTAATTATTTTACCCAATTTTTTTTTGGATAACAAGTTTATAATAAATAAATAAATTATTACATGAACATTTATTTTTTAATTATTATTAAATTAATTTATTTTTTAAAAAAAGTTACATTGTGCCAAAATATTAATATAATTTTTGTTTACTGCTGTTATGGCAACCATACATAATGTATATGTAATGATTATAAATGTTGTTTTTATTTACATTTATTATATTATTATTACAGTATTGTGTTTACTATTAATAATAATTAAAAAAATACTAAACATTGAAATCAATTGATTTAATTACTAAATATTATTTGATATATCATATGATAATATATATATATAATACATAACTTAATTAATAATGTATTTAATAATTAATTTAATTATATAATTATTTAAAGTAATTGTCTTTTATTTTCCAGACAATAGTTTTATAAAAATGAAGCCAAAAGTACTGATTAAAGATCTATTGGATGAGTTAAGTGATGAAAATCAGAGACTATTTAATGAATTGACAATTTGTCAACAATTGTGGCAATTGTTTGATAATTACAGACAATTGTTAAGCAATTTTAGTAYAAATTGTTTGTGTATTGAAAACAATACATTTAGACAACAATTGAATGATTTGGAAGTGCAATACATGTCACTGAAGAATAATATGAAGAAGAAATCGTTGTCGAAGAAGATATCGGCGACCGATAATCACAAGGAAGACGAGGAGGAGATAGAGGACAACAAACTGTTGACAAATCGGCAAAGAGTCGAGAAATCGACGGTTAAATCACGACTTAGAAGACGTGTTGTCGACGACAACAAAGACGACGACGACTACACTAGTGATACCACCGATGATAACAACAACAACAGCACATCCACTGATATTATTGTCGATGAAATGAGAGTTACATTCAAAAGATGTAAGACTACTAACAAAACTACTGACCGGACGCCCGCCGGCCGTAAAAAGAGTTTTGTTTGCGATTATAACGGTTGCGACAAACGATTTACGGAGAAAGAGTTTTTTCTTCAACACTATCGGGTAAAACATACAAACGAACGGCCATTTGTCTGCCAGGACTGTGACAAAGGTTTTCCGACGGCACAGACACTGAAAAATCATATGAAAACCAAACATCCGGCCGATCATGAGTTCCGGTGTCCGATCATCGGRTGTTCATTCAGGACACAAGTATTGCAGAAGCTGTACGATCACAACCAGTCGCACAAACCGAAAAACGGTACGAAACGGTACGCAAACTAATGCCACGAAAATATGTATGCGATTGGATTGGCTGCGGAAAGCCATTCTCGCAGAGAGCAAACCTCGAGATCCATATACGCAGTCAACACACCAAAGAAACGCCGTTCACTTGCGAAGACTGTGGCAAAGTATTTACGAATAAGTCGTGTCTGAAAAGTCATACGGCTTTACATTCGTCGGACATGAAGTTTATATGCAAACATGTCGGCTGCGGCTACAAAACTCGTACACCGCAAGCTCTATACCGTCACCAACTAACTCATCGACCGAAGCGGCCAACGATTATTGGCGAACAACGCCGAAAACGGATCAACAAATTGAATTATTCGTGCGAAGTGGTCGGCTGTACGAAACAATTTCAACGACACGAACAACTGGTAGCACACATACGCAACCGACATACCAATGAACGGCCGTTTCGGTGCGATCTGTGCGACACCCGATTCGTTATTGAACGCTATGTCGACATACATAAGCGTACGGTTCATTCGGACGCACCGCTGATGAAGTGTACGCTGGATGGCTGTGCCTATGAAACGCGTTTTCAATCCAGACTCGACCAACATCTMCGMAGACACGACGGCAATCCGGAATTTGTTTGTCCCAATCACGGCTGCGGTAAACAGTTTTATACAAAACGATCGCTTAATTTGCATCTGCAGTCCCATTCGGATGAGCGTCCATTTCCGTGCAATTGGCCCGGTTGTGACAAACGATTCAAAAATAATCAACAATTAAAAGTACATTTGGAACGACATTCGGGTGTCCGATCCTATCGGTGTTCACTACCCGGCTGTGACAAGTCCTATACAACACATAAAGGTCTGGAACAACATAGCCGATCGCATAGTATACCCTATCAGTGTACGTGGCCGGCGTGTGAGGCCAGGTTTCAAAATTCAAGTAAACTCAAGGATCATATGAACGGACATCAGGGTATCAAACCATTCAATTGTCATTTTCAGGGATGCGATGTCAGCTATAGTAGTAAAGATTCGTTGAGAATGCATTGGAGACAAACACATAAATATATTAAAACTTACCATGATAAAACATAGATAAATAGATAGATAAAATTTATTATTATTATTATAATTGAATTTGTTGTTTGAAGTGATATATTTTATTTATATTGTTTTTTTTATCATTATTTTATTCATTAGCAAATTTATTTTTTTTTAAAAATAAATATTTGTGGTTAAATTAATATTAATAATAAGATATATGAGCGATAAATAAAATAAATAAAATTATAATAATTATTTTGTATTTAATTATAATGTGTAATACTGTATATAAATTAGTAAAAATTAAAATATATATATATTTTTTAAATACTACAGTATTTACATGTTGTTATGACAACAACACACACACATACATGTGTTTGTGAATCAAAATATTATTATTGTTTTGTATTTACTATTTATTTAATAATTAAAACAAAAATTATTTGACATTTATATACTATAAATGCATTTTTGAATTACTTATTTGTAATAATAATTTTTTTTCAATGATTGTGTTTTAAAATATTTTCATAGATATTATAATAATTAAAAAAATAATATAATAATTAATAACAAAAATGAAGCCAAAAGTACTGATTAAGGATCTGTTGGATGAGTTGAGTGATGAAAATCAAAGATTATTTGATGAATTGACAATTTGTCAACAATTTCAGCAATTGTTTGATAATTATAGACAATTGTTTAGCAATTTTATTATAAATTGTTTGTGTATTGAAAACAATACATTTAGACAACAATTGAATGAATTGGAAGTACAATACATGTCACTGAAGAATAAGATGAAGAAGAAATCGTTGTCGAAGAAGATATCGGCGACAATAGATAATCACAAGAATAATGAGGACATGACTAGTGATGATAATAACAAACTGTTGACAAAACAAAGATATAAGAAATCGGCGGTTAATTCACGCATTAAAAGACAAGTTGTTGTCGCCGTCAAAACTACTGATACCATCACCGCTGATGACGACAACAATAGTGATATGAATGAAAGAGTTTTGTCTGAAGCCAACGATATTACCACAACTGATGACATCACTTCTGGCGGCAGTAAGAAGATAAAGAATTTCATCTGCGATTACAACGGATGCGACAAACGATTTCGTCAGAGAGACCATCTTCTGCAACACTATCGGGTGAAACATACAAACGAACGGCCATTTGTCTGCCAGGACTGTGACAAAGGTTTTCCGACGGCGCAGACACTGAAAAATCATATGACAACCAAACATCCCTCGATTGGAAAGGAGTTCCGCTGTTCGATCATCGGGTGTTCATTCAGGACACAAGTGCTGCAGAAACTGTACGATCATAACCAGTCGCATAAACCGAAAAACGGTACGAAACGTGTACGCAAATTGATGGCCAATAAATTTGTATGCGATTGGATCGGCTGTTCAAAACAATATTCACAGAAGCGTAACCTCGAGACACACATTCGTAGTCAACATACCAAAGACCGACCGTTCAGTTGCCAGAACTGCGACAAACTGTTCGCCAGTCAAGAAATACTCAGACAACACGTGGCGGCCWTCCATACGGATGGCGGCGAACCTAAGTTTATCTGTCAACACGTCGGCTGCGACTATAAGAGTCGTACGTCGGCTGCACTCTACCAGCACAAGTTGCAGCACCGGCCGAAACTAGTGAAGCCTAAAATAGTTTCGGCCAAACACAAGAAACAGTTGAAATTTGTGTGCGAAGTAGTTGGCTGTCAGAAACGTTTCCAGTGTCGCGAACATCGGTTGGCGCACTTCCGTAACCGACATACCAACGAAAGGCCGTTCAAATGCGATGAATGCGGCGCCCAGTTTGCCATCGAACGGTACCTTGACTTTCATAGGTCTAAGATTCATACGGACGCACCGGTAGTCCGGTGTAAATATGATGGCTGTCCATATGAAACACGTGTCGATAGTCGACTCGCTATTCACTATTTGAGACACGAAGACGTTCGGAAGTTTGAGTGCCAGTCAGTCGGATGCGGCAAACGGTTTGTTACTAAACGGTTGCTCGGAATGCACGCTAAGCTACACACTGAGGAGCGACCGTTTCCGTGCAGTTGGCCCGGTTGTGACAAACAGTTTAGAAATAATTTCCAATTGAAAATGCATTTGGAACGACATTCGGGTGTCCGGGCCTACCGGTGCCCACTGCCCGACTGCGACAAATCGTATACTACACAAAAAGGACTGGAACAGCATAGTCGGGCTCATACCATGCCCTACCAGTGTTCGTGGCCGGCTTGCGAGGCCCGCTATCAAAATAGTATTAAACTCAAGGATCATATGAATGGACATCAGGGTATCAAACCATTTAGTTGTCATTTTCAGGGATGCGATGTCAGCTATAGTAGCCGAGACTCGTTGAGAATGCATTGGAGACAAACACATAAATATATTAAAACTTACCATGATAAAACATAGATAAATAGATAGATGATAATGGATAAATTAGTTATTTTAAACAAATTTTTTGTTGTTGTTGAAAAAACATAAATTAGTTTTTAATATAAAAGTTTATAAAAATTTTTAAAATTTACATATTATACTGTAATACTTAATATAAAACTAATGTATTAAAAAAAATAAATTTGTATTAATTAAATAAATTATTATTGTCTATATTGTATATAAATTATTGAATACAATAGTATTTCAAAATAATAATAATTAATTAATTAAATCATTAAATAAATTATAATTTTCAATCAAATAATTGTAGTTTAGTTGTGTTGTCAATAGCAACGCCCTTAATATACTGTACTATATATGTGTTTAATGTTTACTATTGAATGACAACACAATAATAACAATAATAATTGACTGCAGTTTTCAATGTATTATAAATAAAATGTTTGTTAATATTAATCATAATTATGTTTAAAAGTTTTATAATTAAAATAAAAATTGTATTTTTTCTTAATGACAATTGATTGAATGAAACAATCGGATCAATTGATTGATTGATTGATAAACTGTTAAAAATAATGGCAAACCTACTGATTAAGGATGTATTTGAAGAGTTAAGCGAAGAAAACGATAGACTTCTGTGTGAACTAAGATATTGTCGACAATTGTCTGAATTGTTTGACAAATACAGACAATTRATGATTAAATTCAATACGGATTGTGTTTGCAATGAAAATCAGTCAAACAAAACACTGTTCAGTGAACTGGAAGTCGAATATATGACACTTAAGTCGCTGAAGATATCATTATCAGTGGTGTCATCAACTGATCCAGTAGTTGACGAGAAAACTAATGTAAAAACAATTGTTATGAAAAAAAGACAAAAAACTATTAAGAGATGTATTAAAACAAGTGATGACAACGACAACGACGAGAAGATAACGACGACGAAGAAGAAGAAGAAGTTGAATAAATTGAAGTTGAAGTACAAGAATAGGTCTGACGATAACAACAACAACAACAAGAAGAGGTCATCATTTCTCGATGATTATAAGCCACGACATCATCATCCGAAACAACGATACAAACTGAAGACATCGACTGTATTGCGCTGCCAGTGGACAGACTGCGACTATGAGCGCGTATTTCCCAACAAACGTCAACTCGTGGCACACGTCCGGAGCAAACATACCAAAGAGCGGCCGTATAAGTGTCTGCTGTGCGACAAGTCGTTTGTTGTCGAGTTGTATCTGAAAAATCATATGAAGATTACACATCCAACCGATGGTACGCCAGTTTCTGGTCGCTATCAATGCCAATACAGTGCCGATTGTCAGTATTGTACGAAAAGTAATGAAGAACTAGAGGCACATCATTTGCGCCATCAGAATCTCAGGCCATATAAGTGCGATGTCGACGGTTGCGACAAAAGCTATTTCCGTCGGCGAGCACTGGACCGACACAAGCGTTGTGTACACACCGACGACAGGCCGTTCGGGTGTGAGTGGCCGGGATGTGAGTCGAGGTTTAAGGACGAATGGCTATTGAATAGGCACAAGAAGATTCACGGCGGACTGCGGGCCTATCGGTGCGATTACGAAGGTTGCAATAAGTCGTACAACAATAGCAACGGACTGTTGCAGCACAAGAACGCCCACCGACGGCCGTATGTGTGTTCGTGGCCGGCATGTGAGGCCCGATTTGCGGCCAATGTTAAGCTCAAAGATCATATGAACGAACACCAGGGCCTCAAACCGCATGAGTGCCAGTTTGACGGCTGCGACGCCCGGTTTACCAGCAAACAGACACTCAGATATCATTGGCGACACATTCATCACTATATTAAGTCATTTACACACAACACACCAAAACCTGTTATAAACGACAATAATATTACATAATATTTAATTTAATTTAAGTTTAGCTAATAAATAATAATAATAATGACTAAAATAATTTCATACTACTATGTAATACAGTAAATGAAATTATTTATTTTTCTAAAAAAAATAATAATAATAATGAAACTTTAAATTATTAGTATCGTATGTACGCGCATATGTACTCTAAAAAAATCATAACATATATATATATATAAATTAATAAAATGTAAAATAATAAAATAAAGTTTAAATCAAATTTATTTCTGATTATTAAAATATATAAAACATTTTTATTTATAAAAATTACATTTAAATAAAAATTACAATTCATATAATATAAAAATCTTTTTACTTTACTTCAACAACAAGTTTAAACATAATTATAATTTAAAGTAATAACAAAATGTAACAATTTTTTTAAAAATTATAAATTATTATCCAAATAAGCCTTTAAGTTTTCCAGACAAACAATTTTCGTTAAAACTTTTGCAATCCTTTTTTAATTTTCCATTTTTTACATCTTCCTTACAAGTTTTAACAAACAAATTGCAAATTCTTATTATTTCAGCTAAAAATAAATAAATAAATAAATAAACAATAATTAAAAATAATAATAATAGCAACAAATTTATACGAAAATATTATTAAAATAAATATTTAATATATATTGTTTAATTGTTAAAAAAATAAACTTAAATATTAAACTATATTAAAAATAACTATACAATTAAACTGTATATTATATACATATATATACTGTATATTATATACATATTTATACTGTATATTATATACATATATATACTGTATATTATATACATATATACTGTATATACATATATATATGTTAAATAAATATACTTTTATTTCCATTTAATACCGCTGATTGATAACGATCGAATCCAATGGTTGTAATATCTTGTAAAATCAAAAAAAAATTAAAAAATAAACTAAAACATTTTTAAAAATAATCTAGAACATATTTATTAAAAATAATTTAGTAATTTACACAAAAAAAACATTTAATTTTTTTTAATTATAAAATATATAGAAGATCTGTGAATATTTTTTTTGGTGATTTAAAAAAATGAATCAAAAAATAATTTGTAAGAAAATAATTGAAATTTTTTAAATTTTCTATTTACCCTTTAATATGACCAAAATAATAGCTGAAATAATAAAACTGTAATATATTTGGGCTTTCATTTTGATTTTGTAAACTTAACAAATAAAATTAGTTAATTCAATATTTTAGTTATTAAATTAAAAAACAAAAATCAAATATGTTTTAATTTAAGTCAATAATACGTACTTAGATTTACTTATATATATAGAATTCAGGCATCACTCCAATGGAGGGAAGTTTCCTAATAAAATCCGGAATATTTTTCCTGGAATATTGAAAAAATGTTTTTATTTTCATTAGCATGTTAGATTTGAAAAATATATATATGTCTACAATAAATAATAACAAAACTTAATTATTTTATCCATAAATTTTAATTGAAATATTTAAAAAATATATTTAGTGAATTTAGTGAATTTAGTGATACTATTTAGACAATAATAAAAAAAACTGTTTAATAATAAATTTTTATTAAAATGCAATAATAAAATTTGTTTAAAATTCAATAGGATAAGGAAATAGTTTCCCGGGAAATTTCCAGGAAGCAGGAAAAAATTAAGGGAACTTTTGGACTATAAAACTACTTATGAAAATTTGTACGAACCCTAATTTTATTTTTATTTATTATAACTTGTAATTAAATATTTGTTGTCTTTAAAAAAATTATTTTTTAATAAAATTTTAGTAAAATATTATATATTGATATTTTCACTTGTTTTATCAAATGTTTTCTAAAGTGATTTAATAAGTATATAATTACTACTAAAATTTTAAAATAAAATATTCGTTTTTGTTTTGATTTTATTAATATTTGATATTTTTCAAGATTTAAAAAATGACAAAATTTTTAAAATAAGTTTTATTTAGTTTAAACAAAAAATGTTTAAATTAGCATATTAATAATATATTTAAAAATATAATTATAAACTTAGTTTAATAATAATAATAATATTTATTATATTCTTTAGAAAATTTTTGCTGTCTTTTTATTTGAATAAAAATAAAAACAAGTAGTTTTATAGATTAACATAAACAAAGATTAATTTTTACATATTTTTAAAAATAAATAGTACTCATTTTATGCATTGGTATATTTTTAAATAATATTTTTTAAGTGTAATATATAAATTTTTATTAAATAAACAATTAGTAATAGTGAAAAAATAAAATAATTTTATTATTAATGAATAATTATTTAAAGTAAATCAATACATTTTGATTAATAAATTTTTTTAAGATAAAAAATAAAATAAACAATTTTTTATTTGATTAATCCAATGTTTGTTCTTATTTTAATTTTTTTCCAAATTTTAAGTTTTACTTTGATTTGATTTAAATGGGTTTTCTTTAAGACATTTATTATAAAAATCAGTGCATTCCTTGTGTTTTATAGTTTTGTCTTTTTTACCCAAATTTTGTTTATCATTACAAGTTTCCTTAAGAGTAGTACATATTTTGTTTATTTCATCTAATCATTTATGAAAATAAAAACATTATTTGTTATTTTGAAAAAAATTATGATAATAAAATTAAATTTATTAAAAATAAATATAATATACATTGAATTTTTATAATTAAAATTTTATTGACCAATAAAATGTCAGAATTATTATTTTTAATTTAAATTTATCTAAAATAGTAATTTAATTTATTTTACAAATTATTATAATAAATTTTTTGTATATAATTAATACTGATTTTTTATTGTTGAAAATATCTATTATAAAATTTTTAAAATTATATAATTATATTTTTAGAAATACTAAACTATAATGTAATGAATCAGACATTAGTATTGATCAGAATTATATATATATATATATTTAAAAATATTTAATATATATATATTTAAAAATATTTAATAAAAATATTTAATATATATATTATATAATATATTTAAATTTTTGTTTTATATATAATACAAATTTATATATATTTTTTTGGTTTCTAAATTGTATTTACCTCTTTTATTCTCTTTAACTAATTTATCGTATTTTACTTTCATCAAATCATCTAAAATAAATAAAATAATATTAATTTGAAGATGATGATAATATATATATCTAAATTATTTAATTATAATTATATTAATATGTTTTTTAAATTAAAATTTGTTTTGTAATAATAATGAATATTTTTGAGTAAAAATTCTGTTTTTCAATAATATTTCTAAAATATTTTTTCAGTGATAAAATTTTATACCCCTTATGATTCTACTTATGTAAATAATATCTATTATAATCTATAATACTATAAATAATTTAGAGACTATGGGTAAATAAAAAAATTATACTTAAAAAAAATTTAACAAAAATAAACTCAAATAACATAAATTTATACAGTACTAATTTTATTTATAGTTAGTTTTTTTTTTAAAAATGTAAATTAATTATTAATTACTTGCGAAACCTGAGACCGCTTTAATGATAGCATTTTGATCAATATATTTTCCATAGGATTCTATAATTTAAAAAAAATATTTTTATAAAATTATAATTAAATAAAAAATATAATTTATAAATTAACTGATATAAAATCATAATTTTTAAAAAATAAATAAATATATATATATATATATAATAATTTTAATATTATTTATAATAATAATAATAATAATATATTAAACAAAAAAGCATTAAATACAGTAGTAAAACAAAAGTATAAAAATTACTAACCGTTTAGTGTACCGAAAATAAATACAAAAATAATAAAACAATAATATATTTGAGCTTTCATTTTGAATTCCGACTTAATAAATAAAATCAGAAAAAATTATAATTTAACTTTATTTACAAAAAATAAAATAAAATATGTTTTATTTAATTATAATAAATTATGCGAAGTTTAGATTTAATTACATGTAATTTACTTGTAAATTGAAATTAAATATTTATTATGTGTTGAAAATTATAATTAAAAAAATTACATCTAAACTAATTTTATAGCACTTTTTAAATTTTGATTAAATTTCAGACTTAATTAATCATTATGTTATGTCTAATGATATAGATATATCATATTATGAGTATATTAATTACTAATAAAATTTAAATAAAAACTTATAAAAATTTAAATATAATTAAACTTAATTTTGTTTTTTATATATTCAGAAATTCAAAAACCAATATATAATATTAAAGTATTTTAATTTTTTCAAAATATAAATACTAAATCGTTATGAGGTTATTATGAAAAAAATATTAAAAATGACATAATTAATAAATTCAGGTTTATTTTGGTTAAAAAGTTATACAATTATTGTATTAATAATTAAATCATTATTTTTGTTGTTGTTAATCTATTACAAAATTTTGATTTTAATAATTTAATAATATGTTATATATATATATATTTGTTATTAAATTATCCATTAATTGTCTGAATTTTTTTTTAAAATTATGGTTTTGTTGGTCGTTGTCGTCCATATCTGGCCATACAGTCCTCATAATAGTTGGCACACTTTGACGGGTTGTTTAGATTTTGTTGACGACAAGCAAAGGCAGCCTCACCACAATATAAGGCTATTATTATTATTATTATTTAAAAAAATATATTAGTAGTTTTTTAGTTTAATACGTAATTAATTTTTTTAAAAAAATATAAATTGTTAAGTTTTAACACATACCTGGCTGTCCAGTGACCAGTGAACCATTGATTGCAAACATTGTAACTATAATAAGTGTAATATAAAACATTTGGCGATTCATTATGTTTTTAGGTGTGTGTGTGTGTGTGTGTTGTATTTAAAAGTAATTTTTTACGTTTATTTTCAACTAATATTTTAGTTTATACTGTATTTTTAAAAAAAACAAAAGTTAATAATGTTAATTTAATATTTTAGTAAATTTATATATTATAATATATAATGTATTAACAAAATTTATACAATATCCTTACAAAAATTAACTGTTAATAAATAAATGTATAATAAATGTTTTCCCGGATATTTATAATAAATATGTATTTTTGTAAATATAAGTTAATTTACATATAACAACAAATTTTTAAAAAAAAACTAAATTAAAAAGTTTTGTAATTTAAAAACAAAATGTTAAAATGTATTTAATAAAACGTATGTTAATTTTATTATTAATTCATTATAACATTTTTAATAACACTCTTGTACTCAAAAAAACATTTATAATATATTTATAGTTAACAAAATAATATATTAAATACTGTATATACAGTACTTAATATAAATTAGTTAATTAACATATATATAAAAAAATATATAACTAATTATACTAACTATAAAAAAACTAATAGTATTTATATTGTATTAAAATATATGTATTATAAAATAAAAACTATTATACAGTATTAGTAAAAAGCTATATATTTGTGGTAAAAGTATTATTACAGTATTTTTAAATGCAATTTTCTGATGATTAATATTTTTAAAATTAAAAACAATTTATATAGTATGCAGTGTCAGTATATTAATGATAACAATAAGTTATCATTGAAGTGATACAACACAATATTATTGTATGTAAGATATAATATGTAAAATATTAAAAATTATTATTGATATAAAATATAATAAATAAAATAGTTTTTAAAAAAAAATGTTTAGTTAAAATATAAAAATCATAAAAACCCATAATTAAAAAAAACATTGTTTGACCGTAAAATATAGATGTATTCAAACAATTTTCTATAATTAATTGGAAATAACTTTAATGAGATTATTATATATCTAAATATATATTTTTTTTGTTTGTTTAATATTTTAAATATAAAATATTTAATTAATACATTAATAGATGTAAATAAATAAATTTTTATATTTTTTTTATTAAACAAACAAAAAATATTAGCAATTATAATATTTTAATAAACATTTTATTAATACAAACATTTAATTGAAAGATTTTAAATTATATTTTAGTATAACTTTTATTAGTAATTAAAATTAATTAATTATTTTTATATTTAAATAAAATATTTAGAATTATTTATTTTCAACAGTTTTTTTTATAAAAAAATACATTTAAGTAAATAAATAAAATATATCAGAAATACGCATTAATTTTATATTTACCAAAAAAACAATACTGTAAATTAAAATATTGTATTTTCTAAAAAAATAAATAAAAAGTAACTAGGCCAAAATGATAATTGATAAATTTTAACTTAAACATTTTAATTATACAGTTACGTATATCTAATATTTAATTAAAACTAATAAAATAAAATATTTCTTTAGTTATTATCATTTATTATTTTAATAATTTATTAATTATTTTTTTGTTGGTATTTTTTTTTTGCTAAATACATGTTATACTGTATATACGAATATATATGTAGAATATATCAATTAAGAAATTTTATTTATTATTTAAAAAAAATGATTTATATTACAGTCTATCTGTTAGAAGTAGTTATGATATAAGGGTTCCCATATAAAGCATAAATCATTGACGTTATAGAGAGTTGATGTATGAAAATAAATTATCCTAAATGTTGATACTTAACTCAATTAAATTTAATTGAATTAAATTATACCATCTAAAGTATCTAAGTCTAACATCTAAATTTAACTTGTATAATAAGTTATAAATTTAATCACGTGACAAATTTTTTACATAATTATCGCATAAATATTATAGCATATATTTTATTAATTATTTACGCAATTAAAGTACTTAATAATAAGTAATTTAAAAAAAATAAATATTGTCTATATATTTAGATTTTAAAAAATTAGTACTAACTATAGTTTAAGTTAAGGTTCGGGTAGTCAGAAAACAGATAGTAATTAATTACTTTATTAGTTTATTACATTTAGGTTAGGTTGGATCACGTGATCTTTGCCATCCAATTCAACACGTTATTTATGTATATGGGGGATGACATCAGTGCTTTTCACCCCCTTTGGGAACCCTTATATCATAACTACTGCAATCAAACAGACAGACAGACAGACAGACAGACAGACAGACAGACAGACAGACAGACAGACAGACAGACAGACAGACAGACAGACAGACAGACAGACAGACAGACAGACAGAAACAATTTATGTAATATAAATCATTAGAAAATAAAAAATTTAAKAAWTATWAAAATGATAATGCACATATTTCAACGAGTATCTTAATGTAAAATATGTATATAGTTAAAATTCCATATATTATTTTTTTAAAAAAATTACTAAATGAGTTAACAAATAATAATGACATAAATATTTTATTTTGTTAAAAAATATAAGTATATATTTTTCAGTAAAAATTTGAATACAGTGTTCTATAGTTTAKTTTATTAATTAATTGAAAAATAAAACATTTTTTTTAAAAAAATTTAATATAATAAAACTAGTTTATAAACTATGGTTTTTCTTTTATTAATTACAACTATAATATCTATATTTGCTTTTATTGGTATAGTATAACAATGTTTACAATTTTTTAATTAGTTAATTATTTATTTTTATGATTATTATTATTATTTAGTATATAAAAAGCATTTAAAAAATGTCAATTATTGGAGTCGATTGGGCATAAAAGGACCCAGACCAGTGCCCATATTTGGAAATATTTTAGCAGTTTTAAGAGCAAAATATGACATAACATGGTTTAAAAAATATGGAAAATCTGGAATCTATGGGTAAATTTGATTTAGATTTTTTAATTTTTTAAAAAATTAAATAAATATAATATAATAAAAAACATAATTATGTAAATTTTTTAAAATGTTATAAAGGTATGTATTATATATATAATTATAGCTTAAAAACTTAATACTGTATATACAATCAAAAAAATATATACAAATTGATTGCGCGATTAAGTATTATAGTATCGCAACACAAAAGCAATAAATATTATCGTATTTAGCATTAGTTATAATTCATATAATTTTTTTAAAAATTTCATTGATATAAATCATTATATATTAAGTGGTTTTTCTTAGAAAAAAATTTTGTTCATAAAAAATACAGTGTAGTTATAAAACTAGTGTTATATATTATAACGGATTTTTAAAAAATTAATAAATAAATTACATCTACGTATAATAATAAGCTAATTGTCCGAATGATAATAGAAATAAAGTACATATTATAAAAAAATAAGTTAATATAAAAAAAACACGTCATTATAAAAATGTGTATGTGTAATTTATAAATAAAAATTAAAAATAAAAAGTTAAAAACGAAAAAAAAACATATATACAAATATATATATAGTATACAGTATATTAAACCCTAATTTTCTAATTACTTAAAATTAAAAACTATTTAAAAATAATTGTTGTTTCATTATATCTATAAAACAATTTTTTTATTTGACGGGACGGGTCGGTACGGTAACAGTCTATTTGAATTTGATACACCAGTGCTTAGTGTATGCAACTATCAAAATGCACACAAAATACTAGTCAAACATTTCGAAAGTTTCGATCGATTGAAAGTCGATTATCCGCAAGAAATGGTAGATGTGGTCGGCTTTTTGAATACCGATACAACCCGTTGGAAACATTTACGTACAAAAGCGTTGGTATTTTTTACAACCCGTCGCATACGTGCCATCTATGACGATGTTATWGATAAATGTTCGGCTAATCTGGTCAAACATTTGGACAAAACTATCGGCTACGGCCAACCGTTTAAGCTGAAAGCCGAATGGGCCCGATACGGTATGGACATATTCCTCGGTTATGCCTTTACATTGGACGGCCATATGGGTAACTATACTGATCCGCGACAACAACAACAATATAGGGAACTGGTGGCCTCGGGTATCCGATTGGACGATGATCTTAAATGGCGTGAACTAATTGTACGTTTGCCTGGATTTAGCCAACGGCTGGCCAGTTGGTATACGGGTACCGATTTGAACAAATCGTTTAAGCAAATGGAAAAAGTCATCAGTGCTTATATTGTCCAACGATTAGATAATAGGAAAGAGGGCGAGGATGTCGGGGCCGCTGATGATGACGACGGCGACAACAATCCTAATAAATATGATGACGAAAAACTAGATATTGTCGGACTGTATTTGAAATTAATTATTGGAAAAGGTTTGTCTGTTTTTTTTATTTATTTAATTATTTTTAATACAACATTATAATTAACATAACATAATAATTGTAATTAGATTTTTTAAAAATAATTTTAATAATAATTAATTTAATAATAATAATTAATAAATTAAAATTTTATTATTTTTGTTTAATTAATAAGTAATTTTTTATATCTATATTACTATCGAATAAATTATTTATTAGAGATAATTATTTAATAGTATTGAAAAGATGGAAAAAATAAGATAATCATAAGATAAAAAATTAATTGAAGGAAATCATTAACAATTAATATTAGATATCTTAAAAAACAATACCAATAAATATATTAAAAAACACATTAAAAATATTAATTTTTTTATTAAACATTTTAACTAATAATTTTTTTTAGAGAGCTATTATTGTTATATTTATATATTGATATACAGTATACAGTATTATTGCTATTATAATTATATTACTAAATATTTTATACTTTATTATTAAACAGTTAGTTCATCGGATCCGATAGCCATCCGAGTGATGACCTACTATGTGATCGGAAACTTTTTAGCCCTATTCGGCAGTACAGCCGACATACTGACCAACATAAGCATGCATTTGGCCCGTCATCCGAGTATACAGAAAAAATTGTACGCAGAAATAGTAGAGGCATTAGATAAGGGTAAGGATGGGAAGGATCAGGACGTAGAGGTGGAAGGGGTTAGACAATGCAATCTATCGTTTGATCAGCTGACACACTTGCCATACATGGACGCTGTGGTCAAAGAATCGTTGCGTATATCGCCCAGTGCTCCGCGATTTCGGCGGGTATTTGGCGGCAGTCGGGATAGTGAGGCGGCAAAAATTTTGCCCGGTATCCAATTGGAGCCGGGTACCCGTATCGATATTCAAATATCGGCCATACATATGGACGACGAACTATTTCCCGATCCCTACGAATACAATCCCGACCGATTTCTGACCACAAACGCCAATAACCGATTGTCCAATTTGGACGCCAACTCGCTGTTGACATTTAGTCTCGGACCGCAAATGTGTTGCGGCGTACGGTTGGCTTTTTTGATTGTCAAATCATTTTTGTCTCATATGATCTACAACTATCAGTTCAATGTCATCGATATCGATGATCTGAATCGACCGAAACTGTGCGACGCCCCGATATACCCCACAAAATTCATGAATATCAATGCTGTTTACAACCTAGAGTTAAAAAGTAGAATTGACAGGTTGAATATTGGGGGTGGGGGTGGGAGGGTTGTTGAGGTAAAGTGTTAGTGGATGGGGTGGGTTTGGTGGTGGGGTTGTTAAGTAGTGTTAATCTTTTTACATTAAGTTACATTAGTTAATATTAAAGTATATATGATTATATCATTATGATAAAATTATCTCATATACAGTATATATACAATTGATATAAATTATAACAATTACAATATATAATAGTATATATATATATATTTCTTAATAATAGTTATATATATAAACTTAAATTTAGTATTTCTTACATTAGTTAATAATCAATAAATAAAATAAAAACTTTACTAATAATTATAAATTTAATTAATAATTGATACTGGATTATATTGATATATACATTATCACATATATTTATATATATATATAATAAATAAATAAATAAATAAATATTAAATTAATGACTTATTTCTAAATATAATATATTTTTTATTTAATATAAAAAYYATTATATTTAATGCAAGTATTATTAATAACATGTATTAATAAATTGTAGTGTCCACTACATTACCTTAAGCTAATTTAGTTATAAAGTATTTTTGTGCTAAATTCTTAGTATTGCTTTTCAATCGGTTATATATATATATATACTAACTGTTCAACGGTTCCCACATTCAAACTATCCAATGATAGCTAACCATTCCCTATAACTACCCGTCCTCTCTCAAACACTATAAATACTGTACTACAGTATACACATACTTTAGTACAGTGCCAGCCGTCATACACAACAGTCATACCTGACTCTCACATATCATACTGTACTCACATCATACATGTGCTCCACTGATAGCACCATTTTAACCATACAATCCATTGTATCCTCAATTGTCTTAAACTAATCAATAAATTGTTATAATTATCTTATACCTGTGTTAATCATACGATTCATTACCATCGCTATTATCATCATTGAAACTATCACTTCAAGAGTCCAACCGGTTGTTCACATCATTAAAGACATACATACAACCCGGTTGTCCATCAACTCTAACCTACCGTTCCGTATCGCGTGATATCAAGAGATAGTACAGACATCCAGATTGGGATCAGCTCTAGCTTTACGCTTGGCCACCACTACTGCAAGTGATCTACCCTTTTATCATCCGATAGGTCTCATACCGACCCTTCAGGTGATAATCTATAAGGAATTGGTTGATAATCGGTTGTAGGCCTCATACCGACCCACGCATAACAACCGGTGCTCTCCTATTCCTCTAAGTTGTGTCCAAACATACAAACTCAGGCACAACAATTGGCGCAGTCGGCACAGATCATTAAAAGATCCTTATCTTCGCGTATTGGATGACGACTATCAATACAGGGTTCACTAGACACGGAACTCCATATCTTCGACGAGATATCTCAACTAATAGCGATTCAGACAACACAGTAACCAACAACACATCAGACATGTCCATCAATGGTGAAGACAACGATACACTAAATCTGGTTAATGCCATCGCAGACAACACAACCGGTATCTCATCTAATTGTGTACCAATCGGTACAACCGGTAACTCAGCCACCAACGGATCCTCTACCACTGGCTCAGCACCGATGCTCTCAGTGAAGATACCAAAGTTTAATGGTACTAAAGACTCATCTCTACGTATCGAAGCATTCCTCTTAATCTTCGACAGAGTCTTCGCTCATCTCACAGATGATAACAAACTCATCAAAATCGTTGAGTTCCTCGAATCAGACGCAGCCAACTATTACGGCTCAGACCTACTCATCGACACATCCATCAACTGGATCAAAGCTAAGCAACTGCTTACCAACAGATATACCCGACTGGACATTCCTCCAGAAGTGGCCGCCAACCGCCGGCGCCAACAACGATCGGAGTCAATCCGCGCATACTTCGATGACAAAATGGAGATTTTAAGACGCCTCCAAAACTACACCGACAATCAAAGAGCAAACCTACTCACGGAAGGCCTACTCCCTGAATACCGTGAATACTTCTATGGCCGACGCTTCAAGACTCCCAGTCAATGGCTCGAGATGGCTCAGGACATCGAGACCGACAAGCAACGAACCGGTAACCGCATCAACCGACCTCACGGATCATCACATTACACAGATGACAAACGAAATGACAACCGGTTACCTAAACGCGACAACAAAGACAAACTACGTCCGCCCTATTCCTGCCGCATCTGCAGAGATCTTGGCATCACTTCATGGCATTACCATAAAGATTGCCCAAATAAATCTTGTCCTCCAGCAGCCATCAATCCAAACACAGGATCCACAGACGGTCCACCTACTCGTATAACAGCCGCATCATCACATATAATACGTAGTAAAGTCATGGCTACCGAAGCCACACCACTGGATATGATATTGATCCCGGGCCGCATCAATCGGTTCGAGTTATCAGCATTCGCCGATCCCGGATCAACTGTAGACATCATACCATTAGATGTCGTCAAACACCTCCGACTCCATATCGACCGCCGCCGCTCTACCGACGTATCACTGGCGCGTGGATCAGCTCGTACTCTCGGAGAAGTCACATTTGACTTAACCATCAATCGGATGACCCGCACCATCAAAGCACAGGTCATCAACGGATTTCATTACACATTACTGCTATCTCTCCAATCTCTTGGCCAATACGGTGTCATCATTGACACACAGACACAAACCGTATCATTCAAATGGCAACAACAGAGAAACTCATCCACTTCAGGGACATCAACCGGTTACTGCAATCTCATCAGTCGTATACCTTCTCCAAACCGGTTGCCTAACAAATCCAATGGCCATATATACAAACAAAAGCACCGCATCGTAAAGATAGACCAACAGTCCACCGCACAGCGCACCCGTCAATCGCATCCATTTGCAGCCAAAGCTGCACGTCAAGTGAAGGATCACCAAATCCATGTTTCTCGGGACAGCCGTAACGCTTTACCGATCACTTCGACGATGAATACAGACGGAAAACCTCGCTTGTGTAAAGACTACCGTCCAATCAATACGACTTCTAATGCCGCAAGACCATCGCATCCATACAAACATCGGCATTACTTAAGGGACATCACACCTACTATTACCGTTACACCACTACGCGCTGTACATCCGGTTATTCGCCCTCAACAGTCCCGACTCTCACGCATCGATACATACAACAAACATATTTCCGGTAATATCCATTGCATCCCATCCAACTCTCCCAATCTACGATTCCGTAACACACGACTCCAATTACCGGACTCTCAACGCGGACATCCATCACAACCGGCTAAACGTCTCACTCCTGGTCCACATCGTCTCACTCAACCGTTTAACTCTTTGACCAGTCTTAAACCGCCGGGGAGTGTAGTGTCCACTACATTACCTTAAGCTAATTTAGTTATAAAGTATTTTTGTGCTAAATTCTTAGTATTGCTTTTCAATCGGTTATACAGTTCCTTATACTTACCGGTTGCTGACCTCAGACCTCTGGCACCAAACTAACTGTTCAACGGTTCCCACATTCAAACTATCCAATGATAGCTAACCATTCCCTATAACTACCCGTCCTCTCTCAAACACTATAAATACTGTACTACAGTATACACATACTTTAGTACAGTGCCAGCCGTCATACACAACAGTCATACCTGACTCTCACATATCATACTGTACTCACATCATACATGTGCTCCACTGATAGCACCATTTTAACCATACAATCCATTGTATCCTCAATTGTCTTAAACTAATCAATAAATTGTTATAATTATCTTATACCTGTGTTAATCATACGATTCATTACCATCGCTATTATCATCATTGAAACTATCACTTCAAGAGTCCAACCGGTTGTTCACATCATTAAAGACATACATACAACCCGGTTGTCCATCAACTCTAACCTACCGTTCCGTATCGCGTGATATCAAGAGATAGTACAGACATCCAGATTGGGATCAGCTCTAGCTTTACGCTTGGCCACCACTACTGCAAGTGATCTACCCTTTTATCATCCGATAGGTCTCATACCGACCCTTCAGGTGATAATCTATAAGGAATTGGTTGATAATCGGTTGTAGGCCTCATACCGACCCACGCATAACAACCGGTGCTCTCCTATTCCTCTAAGTTGTGTCCAAACATACAAACTCAGGCACAACAAAATAAGTACATTGTATAATAATTTAATAATTTTAATGATTTTTAATATGATTTTTTTAACTAATAAACTATATATTAGAAATATATAAGTTATATAAGAAATTATGAATCAATAATATTATTTTTACTATAATATTATAGATGATATGACTATTAATAATATATTAATTTCCAAGATTTATATTTAAAGTGCATAATTTAATACTTGTAAATGTTTTATTTGTACCTTAAATATAAATCTGAAAAATTAATATATTATTAATAGTAATTTTTTGTAATAATGTAACTTATATTATTACAAATTAAATTAAACTTWTATTATAAATTCATAGAAAATATTATTATCAAMGTTTTTATTATTTAGTATTTTAGCTATTRATTAMTACAACAAAACTAATAAACTTTCATAAGTTATTTTCCAATAAAAATAATTTAMTTGGAATATAAACTATGAACTTAAAATTAATATCTATATATATATATAAATTAATATTATAATTTTTCCATAATTAAATTTAATATAATTACAAAAATAAAACATTTTTAATTATTTAAATTATATAACTAAATATAACTAAAAYAAAAATAAAAATTAAAAAAACACCCAAAAACAACAACAATATAAATATAATTTTCTAATTAAATCGATTTAATTATTAAATTTTTTGTTGTCTTAAATAAATATTATATAWATTTTGTTGTTGTTGTTGTCGTCGATAGTTATTAATATTAATAATTGTTGYTTGTTGTTTATTTTTATTATTTAAATAAAACATTTTCAGTTTATCATKGACAAATATTACTAAATCACAGCCAACTAATAAATTAAAACCAAACCATAGACTAAATAAACTAGCAACTAGACATAGATATTCCTCCCAGGTATCAAT